TTTTGCGTCAATGTTACGTGTCGTTTATAAGCACGAACGAGCTGCCCGCATCTTAGCAAAACAGCTCCACTTCAATCATCATTTTTTATTCAAAAGCGAGGAGAAGTCTGCCGTGAAAATTATGGCGGTTGTTATTGGCTTGTTTCTTTTAGCTAATTCATGCTCTTTGCGATGTAGTCTTGTATATCGTCTCTATACAGAGAAAACTCCTTGTAATGATCAAGAATATAAAATACCTCTTATTGTTTTAAACTCTGCCATCAACCCTGTTGCCTACGCTCTGTTGAAGAGGGACATAAAAGAGGAGGTAAAACGACGCATTCGATGTACGCGTGTGATCTGAAAAAAGTCAAACAACTTTGTACTACTCTTTCAAAGAGCTCAGAATCCTATTGGTCCATCGATATCCTGGATAGTGGATTTTAGCGGCTATCACTACATACTTAGTGGACGAGATAAAAAAAAGAAAAGATTGAATAATTTTATCAAGAGCGAGCTTTTGCTAAATCAAAGTTTTTTTTCGTATTTTAAGAAACGCATCCCATTGTACATGGATCTGTATTTCCAAACCACTCTCACAGCTGATTAATTTTATAAGTGCAATTTTTGGAGTTTATGCTATGATAAATTTCACTTAAACAAGATCTAGTCTTATATCAGTTGAGATCAAGTGCTTTTTTAATTTTTGTCCGTTCAAAGTGACAGCTGTTCACTCGCTCTTTTGTGGCAAGAAGCCCTTACGATAACTAAGTACTTAAAGATTATCATGTAGTTTAATAATTATCTCTCCGTCCGTAGTAGAGAGGATACAACTCAATAGGGCGGAAGAGTTTCGCAATGGATATGTACACGATGCAAAAAGTGCGAATCGGACTTAAAGTAAACATCGCTGCGACGACAATAAAATTTTATTAATGTTGTGTCAAAATTTCCCTCAGAATTTCGCTGCACATGACATGAGCTTGACGCAACTCGCTCAGATTAGCATTTTTGTCAGATCGCTTTATGTTCTTTCTGACCAGCACGAAAAGGCAATTTTCCTCTTACCTTTTATTTCGTGACATTTTTGTCATATCTACTTCTCTTTAAAACTTCTTTATTATTCTTTATTTGATCATATTGACGCTGGAAAGTTTTTTTTTTTGTTTTTTTTTTTTCTGTCACTTGTCAGCAACAGTAATTTATTTTGGATTCTACTAGTTCGTTTTTATGCATACATTAGCATTTCTGTAGAGAGGTAATAAGACCGAGGCGATTTATTTATTTTACAGGCAACAGACAAGTTATATAATTTTGCTTCTGATCTTAATTGAAGTCAAGTGTTTTTATCTCATCAATATGGCTTGTATTTTTATTAGTTTAATAAAACGGTCATTCTTTATGGGTTAAGGGGGAGGGGTGGAAATGTGAAGGGATTTTGTTTGTGTCACAATAGAGTTTGCCAGATCTCTCCCCCCCCTCCCTCCGCCCCACTCATAAGACACTGTAGTATTCTGATGATCCCCCTCATTGGCAGTCAATTTACTATAGTCTCCCCTTAACCCCTAAACTCCCATGGGTGATCAAGGCAGAATTTCTCCTTACAATATCAATACAATATCAGCTAGATAAGTGATGAGAATGAAGAAAATTATCAATTTGGGGATAATTAAATGATCCAATACTTAATTCTCTAAATAAACATTATGAGAATTGTATGGTTGACACTAAGGAGAATCAAAAATTTGGTCTGGGAGTTACAACGAAGGGTTAAAACTTTGTTGAGGACGACTGATCGCCTTCCGTTCCCCTAAAAAATTATTTGATCTCCCCAAAACTAATCTGACCCCCCCCCCTCTCTTATGCAATTAGTAAGGACCAGTCCTTGAGGAAAATTTCAATCCTTAACCAGTTCATTTTATTGAGAATAAGGCATTTTTTTTCGCAACAAAACGTATTGTGTTAGCTTCTCGTTTATTGCTAAAACCAGCTGCTATCGTCAACTCATTGCTTACAGAGGCTACTGAAAAATCATCAATTTGAAACCAGTACAGGCAGTTTTAATTAATACTAGCATTAGCAGTTTATGATATCACCCTAAGGACATCAATGTTTGTTGTTAGAATATGCCTATCATCGAACACAGCGTTTCACACATATCTACTGACTCAGTCAAAAGCCGTCGTAGCTACGCGCCTGAAGTACCGTTTTATCTATCATTATGCAGTTATTATGAATTATCAACGTTATTTTTTGACTAAAATCACACTTCTGATTTCAAAGTGGAAACCTGGTCCTGGATCCTTCAGCGAAGAATAATGTGATAAACAACTTAGAAATGATCTATCTTAGCTTAAAATGTCCGCGTTCGAATACGTGGGAGGCCAATCGCATCAGCGACGTGACAATTTTCCCTCCCAATTACGGTTCCTATGTTGACTTGCGGAGCATCTCTGCTCCTCCGTGAATAATGACATAGTAAAACATTTCTAAATCCTTTTCGAAAGTCAGAGTTGAATATCGCATAAATGACAGGATCAATGACGCTGTTAGCATGCCCCAAAAAATAGCCCATAAATGCCAAAGTCTTTGGTGCACCGCAGGGAAAGTCCTCCTCGCCAAAGAACCGGATAAATTGGGTGATGTACACTGGAAACCAGCACACTGCAAAAAGAATTACGACGGCAAGAAGCATTTTCAAGACTTTCTTTCGGGATTTGTTCGATCGCTGCTGGTTTTCGGAAGTTTGATTACCCGGTACTTTTCTTACCCAAAGTTTGTAAATGACGCAGCTGTACAGAATTGACATGGTTAGTAGAGGAAATAGATAAAAAAACACAAACAGAACGATTGTAAAGGCTTTGTATCCTCCTTCGATGAAAGCTGGTTCCCATATCTCTACGCAGGTCCATCTTTGATTGCGTTCAAGGTACACAATTTTTTGGGCGTAAAGCGTCGGTGAATTAGCCAAGATACCCACAAACCAGATCAGTGCTATTGCACCGTACGTTTTCCGAATAGTCACGAACGTCTTCATAGGGTAAATTACTGCTAAGAAGCGGTCAACAGCGATAACTGTCAAACTCAAAACAGAGCTTGCGATCGACATAGCTTGGCTGAATGGGATTATCTTGCACAATAAATCGTACAAGACACCATTTGACCAATTTATGCCGCGTCCCGTCGCGAGAGCTTTTACAGTAACCGGCATAGTGAAAGTTGTAATGAAGAGATTTGCCACTTCCATATTTACTATCAAATAATTCGTGACAGTTCGCATTTGTCTGTTCAGAATGACAACGCATATGACCAACACGTTACCGATGAAGGAGCCGAACATGATGATGAAGTAAGCTATACACTGGAAGGCTTTCTCTGTTGACGTGTAAGGCTCAAAAGGACATGGATCTCTCTCAGTGGAATTCGTTCTGTTTGGGTCAACTTTGGCCATCATTTGTGGACGAAAAGCGTGCCTTGATCCAACTCTAACTTGCACTAATTTGTAATTAAAAGGAAACGTTTTCGAAGTTGATTAATAAGAAGCTGCTAAGAAGATCTGAACACCGAACTCTTTTAAGTCTGTAAACTCCCCTCTTCATTCAAAACTTAAAATTGGTCTCACACCGTCCTTTGTTTGCTGGAGTGTTTTCTTCTGTCGCACTTTGTAATAATCGTCGCTCTTTGTGACAACACCGTTTGCACTTTAATTTGTAACAAGACTTGCTCCAATTCGTTATTGAATAAGCTGATGCAATATGTAATAACACTTAACTGTAATAAAAACTGAGGACCCAAGAGGACCCAATAATAGCTGTTATTCGTGACAATAACGCTGATGTTGATATTGAAGAGACAGAAAATATTGCTAATAGCGATATTAGTGATCGAGACCGTAATAATAAAGGACGAAGACACCTGCTGCGGCGCTCCGGCTTTAAGATCTCCTCGCGAGAATGCAGATATCAACTCCAACTATGCAGACATAAGTCGGTAATAACGGTTTCTTGTATCAGAAATCAGCTGCTATCCACAATACCAGGCTCTACGTGATTTTAAAACAAATAGATTCATTCGCCGTGGGTCTATTCAGTAATAGATCACAGAAGACGTCATGATTTGGTAGGAACATCAGTGACTGCACCTCTTGTGCCACATTTTGAAGTCATCTCTGATCATTATTCACCACTTGGAAGGTTTATTTAGATCCAAAATTATCATTAGTTCCCAGTTGGCTTGATAGCTCAGTTGGTAGAGCGCTGTACCGGTATCGCAGAGGTCATGGATTCAAATCCCGTACGGGTCTAAATTTTTTTAAAGTCTCATTTCAACTACTAGTTCAGTAGTGTTCATAGCTCATCTCTGATCTTTTACTCTACAGGACGCAAGGCAACATAGAATCTATTCGGATAGGTGTTATACAAGCATTGATTTTTATCATTATTATTAATCTTATAATTACTACTTTTATCATTATCGTTCTGTTTAGCCTTAGCTGAGTCGTAAAGTGACAGACTTGTGCTATAGTTGTGTTTCTTTCTCTTAATGTGTGTCAAGCATAAAAATCAATTTTTTTCTTCGGGGCATACATGCAATTACAGACGACTTTCGGACGAAATTGCAATCAGATCCTGTGAAACGCCTTTACTATCTGCAGGATGTCAGGTGTATGGGAGACATGAAGAAGAAGTAAGTTTTCCTCAACTTTGTAAGATTTTTGTTAATGACGTATGGTAAACGACAATACCATCATGACAGTTGTAATAAATTTTTTTAAAAAAATAATTGTAAAAACTATTTTTAACACTTTAATCCACGAATCACAGCTTAGAAGTGACACACTACACGCAGTGAGTCGCTCTCTTCTTTGACTATTCAAAAATTCGTGGTCCCTAATCCACATTTCATGTAAGAGATACCATTCAGTCCTTCTCTTACACATTCATCCTATCATAAGAAACTGGACACTAGTACTTATGCTATATCTTTAGCAAGGAACGCCTTGCTATTTTTTGGCTGCCACGAAAACAACTTTTGTGAGTTCGCTGCTCATTTTATTTCCAAATTTGATCGTACCTACTCCAACAAGATTGATGGTGATATACTCCTGATTATGCCAAAAGTAACGGATCATTAGAAGCTTTTGACATGGAAATTAGAGAAGAACGTCCCTTTTTCATCAGACATTTTACTTCGATTACTCGAATCGTTGGCCTGTTTACCAGCGCAGGCAAGTTAATTTCTTATTTTGAATAAGCTTCACTGTGTTGCAATTTCAGGAAAATTCCAAGGAATAGACAAAAATACACATAATCCTGAAGTCTCATTGCATAATTTACAATATGTGCACGTTACGACACGAAAAGGGCTTTCTCCATTAACTTAGGATTCAAGACGAAGCTTGTAAAATTTTATCAATAATTTATCGGATATCACATGTTTTGTGGCTTGCTTTTATATGTATAGAATGATATGGCATGTTTGAGTTGTATATGTGGCTTTTGAGACAGTAATTTTCTTTACAGAGACCTAATCTGTTATTTCAGTTTAATACCTACAGAGAAGATTTCGGGAATTAGAAATATTTTAATAAGTTTAGTGAAGCCACTGCCATCATCATCTGTAAGAGATCCAGACGTCATGGGCTCTTGAAAACAATCGTTACTCTAATCTTCTTGTATGAAAGGTGGGGGAAGGATACCATGTAAGAGAATTTCTCATCAAATATTTGAACATTCTTACTTTTTAAATATTGTATTTAGCCCTCTGGTGGACAGGTGTATTTCTGGCTGACCAAGATGACAAAAGGGTAGCTGCATACCTTATGTAAGAGTCATACAATTTTTTTATTATACAACACACTGGATAATGCCTGCATTTTTATTATTTCTTACTTAATTAATGTTGTTTATTATATTTTGTAAAATTAGATAGACTTTTGCATTTTATAATTTTAGAGTAAATGTTGTGATTGGTTAATAGTCACTGTTGCACACCGTGTATTGAGTTATTCACCTTGCCTTATAGCTGGCTGTGAAACATACAAATGCAAATAGAGTTTAAAAATTTCAGGTATTGAGCAAAAAATGAGAGATTTTTTTATCTAAGTTGTATGTATTCTTATTTTTTTCAGGATATGTGGTTTTGCTGTTACTTTTTTTGAGATAACATTTATTTTGGACAAGTGTGCTTGTTGTGGGTAATGTATCAAAATAAATATTTCATTTTTTTTCTTTATAAATATGACAAACATGACAATTTGTATTCTGTTAGAATTGTGCTGTCAAATCTCTTGAAATAGATACCTCCATCGGACAAAACTTTGTTTAATTTGGATAGCAGAATAGCAAATTTTGATTTGAAATGTTATATTAACTCTTTCACTCCCAAGATTCAATTAGTAATTCTCCTTACTATCTGCCATACAATTTTATGTTGTTAGTTCAGAGAATTTGGTATTGGATTAACTAATAATCCCATAATTGATATTCTTCTCTATTCTCATCACCTGCCTGAGTGTTTGATATTGTAAGGAGAAATTCTGTCTTGGTCACTTGTGGGAGTGAAAGGGTTAAATGTAACATTTCAAATAAAATAAATATTGTATCATAAATGTTATGATACACTATTAATATCAGATTAAGTTAAGATCTGATTGAATCACTTTATTTCCTCTCTGAAAATTTACAAGCTTTCAAACACTAATTGTATTCAAATTTCCCTAAGAAGGGTTTTATAAATCTCAGAATCATTGTTGTCACATATCCTCTAACATCCATCAGCTAGACATCTCTTCAGGACAAACGTCTGCGGCTGGTTCAAACAGTGTCTGTCTTAGAGAGAGTTGATTATGACTTACTACAGATAACAAGTCTTGATAGAGGTGTTTTCAGTATTAAAGGTGTTGAAAGCAATCTGGAATTGCATTTGTTTCACTCTGTTTAAAATGAATTTGGGATTGGTCTTGAAGGGAGCTCCAATTTTTTCTATGAATCATACAGTCAGGAGTACATGTAAATTGAAGTCATCAGCTCTCTCTTCCTCACATTTTCTCATATTATCTTGATCTAACACAAAATTCTTATAACTTATTTACAAGTAAATGTGTTGCAGCTAGAAGGGAGAATTAACAATCAGATCCTGGGAGTTAAAGGGCTAAAATACTCTCCCTAATGTTTCTGTTCATTTTCAGCCCCTGATCATAGCTTTCTGTTTGGTCTCCAACAGTATTATAAACAGTTATTCTTGTTAACCCTTTAACTCCCAAGATCTGATTGTTAATTCTCCCCTCTAGCTGCTATATATTTACCAGTAAATTAGTTATGAGAATTTGGTGTTATATCAAGATATCAACTTCTACCTCATAAGTTTGAATGTTTTCATTACCTGTTTGCTGGATGATGTAAGGATATTATAAGGACAAGTTTCATGTTGATCACTTCTGGGAGTTAAAGGGTTATTATATTTGTTATTATTGTAAATTGAGATGCTTTTAAAGTAAAATGGATGAAGTTGTTAACCTCATTTTAATTTTTATGGCTTCTCATTTTTATCAGGGAAGGGAGTTGTGGCCAGGCTTTGTGGAAGTATGTACTAGCTGTTGATAACTGGAAGAAATCACTAATTTATACTTCATTGTCTGTCATGTGCTACTTGCATCCCAAGGAGTTCTGGCAAGCTGTAATTGCTGGGGTTTTACTGGATTTTACAGCATTGCTATATCTCATAAGAACTTTCAGAACCAAAAATGCACTTGAACCCTATAGATATAAACAACTAGAAGTTAGATAATAATTATTTGTCTCAAATCAAGCACATTCATTTGAAATGAGGCATCAAAGTTGCATTACATTTAATTACATAGTATTTAATACCATTAAGTATCATTGCAAGGCAGTTTGGCCTTGAGGCAAAGACTGCCTTCAACAAATAACACAATCAATGTAATCAAGTAACAGATGTCTATGAAATGAAGTGTATTTTCATAGGGAATATTATTTATTAAATGCTTTCAATGCTTAAGCTTTGGAGAAATGAAAACGTTCATTGAGCTAATACTCTTGACTCAAGAATTATTAGACATTTTAATCCCATTTACCAATGTTACACTTAACATTACACACATAGGCATACAAGATATTCATTTCAAAAAACAAATATCTCATATAATATGTATAATATATACTTCCAAACAAGATCCTTATATTTCACCCAGATTTTACTTTGCTAAGAAGAAATAGACCTGAAGCACATGAATCTAAGTAGCTTTGTTTTAACTAATGTTTTAAATTATAGTATAGAAATAATTATTAGTACTACTAAAACTCCAATCCTAAAAATTGAGAATTTCATTGCTAAGGATTCATTTGATATTTCTTCATTATTGTTCTTTTTCCAATAAACTATCAATGATAGCACCATAGTTGTTTGTTTCTCCTAGAAAGCTAGCATTATTTATGCCAAACTTGAACCTCACCATATTGATTGATAAAGCCACACTTAATGTATTTAATTATATAAAAAAGGAAAAAAAAACATACATCAGGACTTTGTATGTCAGAAATCATCAATATGCACCTAGAGTTTGGAGTTTAAATTCCTAAAAGAAGGATTTAAACCAGAATCATTTTCACCTTATGAGCTGGTTGGATATAGATAACAGATTAAGCAACACACAATCTAGTGTCATTGTGAATTTAAGGGATAAAGAGGAAATTTTTGGAAACTATTAAGACAACTTAGCTTTCAGGATTATTAGCGAGGAATGATCAATTTCAAGGCTGTCGATTATTTATTATATTTACTCATTAGAGATAAAATGAGTGCCTGTGGTAATGGATTCATTCAAAATATTTACACAATCCAAATTATTGAATGTATATTTCCCTCTACTCAATGTCAACCATATGCAACTCTTATGTCTTTGAAAATAAAAAGGTCTCATTGCAAGTCAGTATGGAAAATGTTTAATTTAACTCTTCAACCAGTAAGAGTGACCAGAATTTAATTTCTCCATAAATTTTCACCCCGAATCACACATTAAGGTCACCAGAAGAAAGAAAATGACCACCAACTGAAAAGGCTCTTGATTGTTAAACAAATTCTCCTTGTCAGCACCTTAGGAAATAAATAGACAAAAGTATGGAGAATATGCATACTGATGTTAGGGTGTACAGGCTGGAGAACGTTTGTTTAGGCTGAGTTCTTGTCTCTTTTGGTAGTTGCATCTCCGACCCTCTCAATCCTCTAAAAGAAAAGAAGTATTAACCGCGATATCTAACTCGTCACCAGGTGCATGACGACGCTAATTTGATTAATTAATGACAGGTTCACGGTGACGATGTTGGTGGCTTTCAAATGAAAGACGAAATTATTTTATGTATTGGGTGGTCTACAAACCATCAGGACAAAAAGGAACCACGAGCAAGGAATGATAGCTGAGATGAAGAAGTCTGCCAGCAAAAAGGAAACATCTTTAAGTGTCTTGCGCGTAATTGTTAGGAAAGGCGTTTCAGTATCTTGAATAAATGTAGCTTAATTAACAACTAGCGCAGGGGGCAATTGAAATCGTTGCAAATGTCATGGATGAGTGACCACAATCACTCCATCGTGAATTCAGCACCGATTTTATGGGAAATGGGCTCAAATAACGCCTTTAAAGTGTAAAGTGGAAACTCTGGTGAAATAGAAGTGTTGAAAAAAAAAAGAACGCAATGCCCAAATGCCCGGCAGCATTACAGTCGGTCTCAAATAGACTAAATGCTCTAATTACCATCGAAAGGTTCTTTCAAAATTCCTGGGAATATCCGATGTCTATTTGAAAATGTCAGGCGATTCAACAAATTAACTTGTTTTTTATTGGACAAATTCTTCGACCTTGAGCATACCGTCGATATGCACCTAGATGTTCGCTTCTGAACAGACTGCCATTTATTCGTTGGGTATTTAGTCTAATTTAGACCGTTCCTGGCTGCTGGGCATTTCGTCACAGAGAAAAAAGAAACCAAGGAAGAACTTCTTCTTACTATTAGCAAAATTAACGGCTGACACAAGCCTTGTAGAATGAAGATTTCAACCTCTTCTGCACTTAAATTGGCCTTAATGATTAAGACTTTACCAATATGACCTTATAATGCCTTTCAAGGGGGAAGAGTGGAAAATGCAAACTCCAAGCGGAGTGGTTCTTCAAATAAGCCAGGTAGCGTATCAAGGATGTTTGATACTTGGACACAACCTGAGAGAAGGTTATGTCGGCAACCACCACCACTTCCGAGCATATTAAAATAAATCTTTTTTTCGATGGATATACGATATATTGCATACCCAACTGCAAGTGAAATAAGTCTACAGAACTATTTTCGTGACTGGAAAGAGTTTAAGAACAGGGCGACTCGACTCGATATCCTTAATCCCTACTTTGATTGTTCTTGAGAAAATTCGAGATCGCCGCTTAACAGGTATGATTTGACTTTGGAAAGTGAGGATTTTGTTAACTAGATCTTCAGAAGTAAAACTATGTTGCATTTCAATAAAGGAGGTAAGTTTCTATAGAAACTGTAGTGCTGCGTCGATGGGAGAGTATAACAGGGTAATTGAGTGTTATCAACCGAGTTGATAACGTACTGATTAGCTACCGTAAGGAGTTTGAAGGCTGAAGTTTCCAGCGTTTCGAGCGTCAGCCCTTCGTCTGACAAAGGGCTGGCGCTCGAAACGTCAGCCTTTAAACTCTTTATGGTGGCCGGTTTACGTTATCAACTCAGCTGATAACACTAAATTACTATGTTGCATTTCAGTCGATCATGCTGAACCAGACCCTTGCTTAATGAAGAAGAATGACGGAAACGAGCTCGCGAAAAGTGTTAGTGATCGCATTCGATTTTCTCCTTGTTCGCCTTGCCTTGAGGCTCGTTCTCACTATTTAAGAATGCCAGAACAGGATCAGATCAAGGTCAGAAGTATACACACCAAAATTCCCGTGGCTTGCGTGGAATCCCGCGGGTCAGAGATACTTGCGTTCGAGAAAACTGATGACGTCACTGCTAACTGATCCGAAGCCTTGTCTGATGGTCTATCTTGGTGGCCATGTTGTACGCCATCTTTGCGGAGGCTACTTTCAGGAGAAGATTGTCATGATTCGTTCGAAATGCCGAAGGATAAGCATGAAAATAATGATGTTCGAAGAACTTATACTTTGATGAGTCCCGAGGATGTAGCTAACGGCAAAAAGTCGAAATGGACAGAACTGGAAATTACGGCTACGATTCGTAATTTGAGCCCGTCATTATGGCGGTTGGATTTCTTAACTGCGTTGTTCTTAAACGACAATCATCTAACAAAGATTCCTCCAGAAATCTCCAAGCTTGCTCAGCTCAAGCACTTGGATTTATCATCGAATAAACTACGAAGTTTGCCCAGCGAACTTGGAGATCTGGTCACATTACGTGAGCTCCTTTTGTGCAACAATAGTCTGAGGCTTTTACCTAACGAACTCGGAAAACTTTTCCAGTTACAAACCCTTGGATTGCAAGGAAATCCCTTACCACAGGATGTTTTAACTATAAATGAGGAAAAAAATGGAACAGCCAAACTTCTAGGCTATATGCTGGATAATTTAGCGGGTAAGTAAACTTAGTGTAAACATCTGAAGAAGCGAGAGTTTTTGTGGTGTCAATTCTATATTTATCACTGTCAGAGTAAGATCTTGACCCAAATAGTCTCGCTTCTTATTTTATTTCAACTTCAACAGTCTTATCTGTTGTTTTTTCTCAAGGTAAGTTGTCTGTTGGACAGAACTGAATTATTTGCTTGCGAACGGTGTTTTCTTTGTGTGTGGCACGAGGTTCGTTCGCATAATAGCGTTCACGAGGCATCGAATTTGCGTTATATTGATCGTTCTTTTCAAAGATTCGGTAGTACTTTCGTGAGCAATATATTTCATATGAAACTCTTAGGCAAATTCTACATTCAACAAACTGAGATCTTAGTCTAATCCTTATGTTAAACATCGTAAGTTTATCGTGATCGAGGTCGTTTGTATTAAGAAAACGAAAGTAGACCCTCTTGGCTCAACGAACAATAACCGTTTGAAACCGCCATTTTTAGTAGTAGCCCCACTTTCAAGCCACAATGGATTGCTTTGTGATAGCTGTTGAATCAATCTTAAGCTTAAAAGATGCAATCGGAGGGTTATCTCTTGTCATGTGTATAGTTATTCCTGTGTAATTTATTTTCAAAGACTGCATAAATGATGGAACTTTCGGCAGTCCGGAAGTAGATTTGTGCAACTTATTTTCTATGTTGGTTAATTTTCTTTTTCATTATCTCCGCTTAATTAATGTAATTTAGGATTTATTCTTGATCATGTTGCTTTAAAGGGATATTTTGATTCTCAAGCAGCAAACCTGTATGCAAAATGGGTTTCAAGATTATTTACCTGGGACTGATTTTAATTTGGGCTGAGTGGGTCTTAGTTTATTTGACAGAAAGGTCACTAGATTTGAAAACAAGCTCTCTATGGAAAGTCCATGTATTGGTTAATGTTTTCATTCTTTAATTTTAGCAATTGAATTCAGTGAGTTTGTACTAAAACAGGCTAAAAAAAGAATTGGATGTCATCTTAAAGTTTAATATAATGTCAATTCACATGCATCAAAGTTAGCATCTTCCTGTAAATTCAAGATGTAGCTTTTCCATTTTGCCCTCCTCTGGTTAGGATTACTTTTTGGTATATTGCTCTTTGCTTCTTCATTGAATTGAAAGTTGGCATAGTTTAAGGTACCTTTTTAACCCATAAAATTATTTCCAAACAGTTTGAGAGAGGTTTTTGTGGCAACAGCATTTTCAATGTTGTTTTATGCACTAAAAAATCAACGGATGCTTCATTGAACCCCTTTGTGGCAGAATTAATTTTAAGTTTTTTTATTTGCCTTAAGTTCTATAGTTCAGTTAATTTTGTAGACCAGTTCAGATGTCCTCTTTTAGTTTCTTTTTTTTTTTCTTTTGAAGTACAGTTGCCTCTGTTTTCTTTTCAAGTTTGAGTTTGGTAAGCATCACAAGAGATAATAAAAATAATAATATCTGTAAGATGTCAGTGCACCAAGTTGTAACCATTTTTGTTACCATGGCAAGTGAAAAATATCTTCGAAAAATCTATTGATGTTTGGTTGAATTATCAAACAAATAAATGCTAGGAACTCTTGTCTTTCCCTTTTTTGACCTTTCCATTCCACAACTCCCACATACTAGTAAACCTAAAATGATTGTATACTGAGTTGAAGCCAAACTGTAATTGTATATCCTTCTGAGGAGCAAAACTTACACCCATAGGGGAAGAGTCTGTTTCTTTGTTGACATGCTTCAAGGAAAGTGGGTGATTTGCCATGCTGGTCAGCCCTTTGGCAGCAAAATCTAGGCAAAATCAACGTGAAAAGATTTACCATAAATTTATGATCAATTTATTTTGTTGGAGAGTATGTCTGTGGGACAGTCTTAGAGAGTAAAATCTGAAGATCTTAAATTTTCCCTTTGGAAAGAACAATTTAGAGCTAGATACAAGTGAAGCTGTCAAGTGTAAATGATTTTGCAAGTGTTGTGTTCACAATCTTGTTCCAAAAAGATAAATTAAAGCGATCTTCAAGGCTTTTCTTTAACAGGAATGGCCAAAAATTGAATTGCCTTTTTATTTTCAAGAAACATGAGATAAATGAGGGGTAAACTGAGATAATAGGTTTTCAGATCACTCTTGCTAGTCACTGCCAGCTTCTGTCTCACATTGCGCAAATTTTAAGGCAAAAAGCAAAAGTAGGTGAATACAGTAGAATCCCACTAACTTAAACTCCCTTTCAAACACAAGCAATTTTTTTGTTCTCCTTGGGAATTTGAGTTAGCAGGGTTCTACTCTAATACCTAATCAGAGGCTTCTGAAGGGTTGCTAGCAGTCAGAAAAGATTGTGAAGAAATTAGAAGTGAGCCTAGGTTTTCTTGTCAATGAAGAGCTGTCAGAGACAGTAAACATGATAAAATTTCATAGAGTATGAACAAATTTTGTTGGTGAAAAGTATCTTGCAATAACTTTTATCACTTTTTCTAAGAATACCCTCCAAACAGCTTTGATTCCAGATGAACAATGCGGTTTACGAGCCATCAAAGTTATCAGGACTGTGTCCCTCTTAGCTGAGCAATAGACCAAAATTGTTTTAAACTTTATTTGTCACCTGACCTCAGCAACTTTGTATGAAATTGTTTCCACCACCAGACATCACAGTATCTTCTTTCTCATTCTTTTGCTTGTAATTACTCAAGTATCTATTGGCGAGTGAGTAGACATACCAATTTGGCTCATGAAATTATAAAATATTGCAGGTGCAAGTCCTATCTAATTCCCAAGGGGCTGCTTTGGTAGAAATCCTTATGTATGCACAGCTGTGCTTTCATAAAATGATGTGTGCAGATGGAAACTTGCACTTCAGTTGCAAGTTTCCATGGAGTTTAGCTGTGGGGTTTCAAAATTTTCAAGACTGTTTTTTTTACATCCTGATAAAATAGACCTTTTGGAGCTCAAAATGAAAAGTAAATCATTATGTCAATACATATACTTATAATACTTCATTCCTGAATGTGATGCAAATTATGGCTGGAAAGAACAAAGTGATCCTCTTGACTTCAAGTGAAGCTTTGTGACATAGGGGACACTCCTCTAGAACAGTAAATTGATATTTTGTGTCCCAAAAGTGTTGTTCAATGAAGGATTTTGGGTTTTATTTTAAATGCAAGAAATAGGTTCAACTATAGCTTCTTATTAGCAAGTTTACAATTCTTTAAATAAAGCTTTGGACTCAAATATTTCTTGGTTGTTTTTACCTTGTCTTTTATTCATAGGTAGATCGAGATCACTGAAATCTTTCTTCAAACACAAGTAGTTTCTGCTACCATATGTTATAAAAGAAATTGGTTCATGCTTTTAGCTGTGGGTATATCAAGTTATGGATGCACCTGGGAAGTTTGGATAGCACTCAAGAAGCTAGTGTTGCTCTCTGTTGTACCTTGAGCAACTCTTATGCTTCTTCTGCATGCATCCATAGCTCAATATACACATGCTAAGCATGAACCAATTCTTAAGTGTTGCAGGGAAACTGTTTGGCTCTTTACAACTCATGTAAGGCAACATGAAGTGTCCTTCCATAGATGTGTTAAATTATTTTTGTGACCAAATTTTTTTTTATCAGTGAAGAGCATTTTACAGCTGTAGATTGCCAAAAGGCAACTTTTTGAAAAAGGGAACATGGAGCCCTGCTGGTACATGATAATACTTTTAACTTATTAACTCCCAAGCTCTGAAAGCTAATTGTCCCCTCTAGCTGCTACACATTTCCTTGTAGATTGGTAACAAGAATTTGATGTTAGATCAAGATAACAACCTCTTATTGATCAGTTTGAGTATTCCCATTACATTATTTTTTCTGTGTTTTTGGGTAATATATGGATACTGTGGTAAGGAGTTGCATGAACATGATAATCACTTGTGGGAGTTAAAGGTTTAACCATTGCATACTGTTGATGTTCATGTTTTACACACTGCACATCACAATCCTTTGTTGATACAATGCTAGTACGTTGCTAGCAAGCTTTTGACATCCTTTGAATTTTGTTTTAGTTTGTTCTCGACCACCAGACAGGCAGTGGATTTCACTACAACCAGACAGGCCTAGGAATCCTGCATGTAAGTTGTTTTCTCGTTTACCAAGATGCTACTTAAACAAATGGATAGTCAGTTTGTTTTTGAGAGGAAGGAAATCCATGCAGTTACACTTCAGTCTGGTATAATTTATGCTTTTAAAATATGCTGCTGAATAAGCAAGGTTTTCAAACTGATACATTGTTTACTCAGTTTGTCACGGGCTCTCGCAAAAACAAATTGTGCCCGTATTATGTCATCATGATATACATGTAATATGTACTTACTAAATGAGTCTGACTCCTTCTACATTGTTTTTTTGTAAATGCAACACTGTAACTTAATATCACGTTAACCTTGTCTTGTTCTACCATGATGATCTCACAGTAACTGTTGGCTTTCTTTGTTTTCAGTGACCTTCAGTGTCATGTGCTATAACGTCCTTTGTGACAAGTATTGTACACGACAGATATATGGCTATTGTCCATCTTGGGCCCTTGATTGGGAGTACAGGAAAACAGCAATCCTGAAAGAGATTCTTCATTATGGTGCTGATATTCTAAGCTTACAGGTATGGTACCATGTCTTGTTCAATTAAAATCAAGTACACCATACAGAATGTCAGGCTTCCAACCTCAATTTAGCTGAAAGACTCTTGTAATGGTGACTTTGATTTCATTAATTAGCCACCTGAAAAAAAAAAATTTTATCATTAGAAAAGAAAAGGAAAGGGAATTTTTATAAAAGATAATTACATGGCTGGCAGTGCTTGTAGGCAACATGAAGGGAATCCTGTGTTCTGATTGGCTACTCTAGCAGGCAAGATGGGCCCTTCTTGCCTGCTTGGGATTTTCTGCTTTTATTCTGCCTAAGATAAAGATTGTGTGAAGGGAATGTATAGTTTGTAATGTTTGTAATGTATAGTTTATAGTAAGGTATAAAGACAGGTGAAACAAAGAAAACATAAATGATATTTGGGGTTTATTGTGCTACAAACGCAGTTGGCTTTCTTTCCTGGCTCTCAAGATAAACAAGTCATTCTTGATTCTTAGTAATGCAAAATCTTTTTGCTATTTAATAAATATAATAAATCTTTTATTGACCAAGCTTGTGTGGTTAAGATGGTTGGATATTAACCCTTCTGTTGATTGTGCAAGATAGGTAAAAACATGATTCTTATTAATTATTAACAGGATGTTTGAAATTCAACACCAACCTTGATAACTGAACTTGGATTGTTTTGTTTCTCTCAGTAGTTTAAGTTAGCAAGGTTCTACTGTATGCATTTCTACCATATTTGGGCTCAAACACATGACTTTACTTCATTCACTTCAAAGGCAGTCACTTAAAACATGTAGAGAACGTTTTGTTAATTAGATAGGAATAGAAAACAACAGAGTTTTCTTTTGATCCCTCTTGCAGGAAATTGAGACAGAGCAGTTCTATAACTTTTTCCTTCCTGAGCTTCAACAGCATGGCTATAATGGAATTTTTAGTCCCAAGTCCAGAGCAAGAACAATGACAGAAGAAGATAGAAAATATGTGGATGGCTGTGCCATATTTTTTAGGACCTCCAAGTAAGTCATCTGATGGCAACTTTGATAAGAATACTGCTAAGTAAAGGGACTATGCAGGGTTTTAAAGTACATGTAATTTTTTTGGTGCATTACCCAAGTTGTGGGAGTGGAATTTTTTTGCTACACTACAACACTGAAAAGAACAACAGCAAATTCCTACATTGAGTCATTTTCCCTTCCTATTTTGCTTTGAGAGTTTCTGGTATGTTTAACCTAGTGTCTATCTTAAAGTCCTTAGGGTGTCCTTAAACTGAACCCACATCCATAGTGAAGATTTGTTTTGAGATAGTTATACAGTGTACTCTTTTTGACCCAAGCCTCAAACTTTATTTCTTTGATGCCCAAGGTTTGCACTGCACATCTCATCAGAGTTGAAAACTTTTGATTCCTTAGGCTGGATGAATTACTGGGAAACCTCCTGCAATAAAGTGGTCTTCTATTAAAGACAACCAGGAATTCTCCAAATTAGCTTGTTAAGGGTAGTAGGCTCTTCTGATACCTTATGAGAAAGCAAACTCCTTCTCTGATTACATAAATTTATGTATTTATTTCAGATTTAGCCTTGTCAAAGAGTACTTGATTGAATTCAATCAGTTGGCAATGCAAAATGCTACAGAAGCAGAAGATATGCTGAATAGAGTGATGACAAAAGACAACATTGGAATCACAGCATTACTTGAGCTCAAGGAGGGCTACCTTAATTATGGTAATGATGTGAACATGCCGCGGCAGCAGGTGCTTGTGTCCAATGTGCATATTCACTGGGATCCAGAGTTCAAGGATGTGAAGTTAATTCAATCAGTCATGTTGATGCATGAGTTAATGACCATCATGCAGGAGATTAACCCTGGCTTTATGGTACAGGGAGGTAGGTTGAATATATTTTGTCTGGTAAAATTTCCCTGAATGATTATTATGAACCTAATAAAAATAAAGGCAGAGATGCTGCGAGAATGAACAATGGAACTTGAAGTAAAGTTGTCTGGTGTGTTTGAGGTTGCTCTCACAGAGTCTTTCTCCACCCAGGAGTAGTTATGGGTGTTGCCTATTTTTAATTAGAAACTATACAAAATTATGGGGACAAGTTACCCAACAATGGACTGGTGTCCCATCAAGAAGGAATAATTATTCTGTGTCATTTCCCAGCTTCTGACAGTCAGATATAATCTTTGGCATGATGTTGTTTGGGGCCAGTTTATTATCTGGCAAACAGTAGATGAGAACAGAAACTGATCAGCTGATTTTCCCAAATTACCTGAAGTATTTCATGTACTGTAGAATGAAATGGACAGCAGTTACATGTTGAATGGACAGTGAAGAATTTTCATTTGAGGTGTCAAGGTGACCAGTCAGTAGTTGAGGCTGTTATTTTTGGTTTCACTTTACTGCTGTGATGATATTCAGTCAGGTTTTTACACTAAAGAGTCAAAACAGTCAGTACTACTGATGATGTTCCTTTTCTTGAGGCTGCCCCCTTGTCGAGACTATGTTGTCTCCAGGGAACTGCATAACTCCTTCGTTACAAGTATAATGCTACGCAACGTGTACTACTTATGCCTTAAGGTTCGTCGTTTTTATCTCCTCACCATAGGTAAAAATGGCACTGCACCAAGTAAGTCAATCCCATTAGTGTGCTGCGGTGATCTTAACTCACTCCCTGAATCAGGGGTAGTTGAGTTCCTGGACAATGGGAGAGTCCGGATTGACCATGGTGACTTCTTGGACATGAAATATGATGGATTTCTATCACGCCTCAGCAATGGCAAAAACGGAGAAAAGTGTGGAGACCTTACCCACTGCTTCAAGCTCCAACGGGCCTACTCTGAAGACCAGATGTCTTACAGCAACCTTACGTATTCATTCACAGGTGTGATTGATTATATCCACTACACATCTGACCTTCTCGTTCCACTTGGCGTACTCGGCTCTGTCAGTCAGGATTACATCAAAGGGAACAAAATCATCGGATGGCCACACCCACATTTCCCGTCAGACCACCAGTCACTGCTCGTGGAATTCGAGGCTTTAAGCTTCAGCAATGGGGTACCTGTTTATGGGTACATTCCAAGCTCTCACCATCCCAGGTAGTGTTAGATTCTCGCGTGATAACAATGTTGTAAATTTGTAACAAAAGAGTTGTAAAGAGGCTGAGTTGAAGCAAGCCATTTTTAAGGATCTAGTCACTAGACGTGTTTTGTATTCTACCAGGAAAATGTTCACCGGCATATTTTCCCTTGATTCAGTTTTATAGACCTTTTTGACTTTTGTTTTGGTAAAAGGAGAATGGGAGCTGCTTTAAAGTTTAAATAGTTGGTTGCCAGATATAGTGCTGTACGTACAACTTCAGGTGTGAAGCAATATTGTTCGGCTTTAATTTAATTTATCTATTTCGACAGTAATTTATTGAGTTAGCCCAGTAGTGTTCATTATAATATATTGCAATTCATTGTTAACTATAATATGTGGCCTAAGCGTGATATTTAATTTCTTTAACAATTCGCAATTCTTTTGCAAACCATGGGCGGTCAAAACGTGCTGTAAGACGTAAATGCCACACAAATAGAGTTATCCTCTATATAAGAGCTATTTTAAAAAGAACTTGAATTTATCAAAAAAAAGGCAGGTAGTGAAAATTATAGTTTTCATTCCCATATCCCATCTTGTGTCTAGCCTTTAATGGCATTTTTCAATGGATGCAGAAATTGTGCAACTTATTTCAGACGAGCTCGTTCACTTACAAAATGTTCGTAATCTTCCACTTGTCGCTTAGAATTGAACAGTCTTCGATGCTGTTGTTGCAGTTGCATTGTACTTGCACATAAGACTAAATTGACACGTATAAGCGTCTTTGCTGTATGTACACGACATTGTACAATATCATCTCAACAAATACATTCGTGAACTATATCTTAACCAACTTGCTAAAACACTTTCATTTTCCTTTACCAGCAGCTTAACTCGACATTTTATTTTGGCGTTTTCATTTTGTCTTCCTTCTGTTCTTGGAGATTAAATGTGTACTATGCGTTGAATAATTTGGAAGGAGGTTGTGGGGGACTTAAACAAACTGTCTTGCATTACCTCCCACTATCTTCTCGAAAATTGTCATTTTTTTTCAAAGATCCTATTTCCGTTTTAGTGAAGATCACAATTTATATGATTCTTTTAGTTTTGTTTTAGATTTTATTGTTTTGTGCTTTTTTCCCGATTCTTTTTCTCTTCACCTATAGTTCGGAAATCATCTGAATATGCAGCCACGAACTATATAAACGCCTCACACAAAATGCTTCAGTTTACGTGCAATACCTGCATAATCGATTTTCATTTGTAGATCTTAGCAAGGTTTCATGTACGATACTGTGCATGTAACATATTACATATAGAGCGTCAGGTTATATAAACCTTGTACATATTCTACCCATGTGAAGCTTCATCCAATCATCTTTCAGCTTTTGACAGAGCGATTCACACACGATTGACATGTTGCGTGACGTGTGTAGAACCATACATGTCACGTAAAAAGAAGCATTCTGGTAGCTTTCGGCAGATTTGCACGAAAAGCTGAAAAGAGCTAAACGGTTCTGGATTTGCTTTACATGGTTGGAATAAGTGTATTAACAGTTTTTTTTTCTCCACGAAAGAGAAGGAAGGTTGTATCGTAAAGCGTTTTCATAGTAATATTTATGTGTAGTAAACTAGAGTTTTATTTAGAGTTGTTTAGTCAGTCAATGCACTGAAAACATACATGCAACTTACTTAAGGCAACTGGTATAATTACCGCGAACGAAACCTCTTCATATCGATCAACAATTTCAATTTCATCACGTTGATGACGCTTCTGTTTGCTCGTGGTCCAAGAACAATCAGGTAACTCAGTTGTGGACTTCTTTTCTCCTTCTCATTTGCCTTTCAAACGCATGTTCACGTTTTCAGATTTGAGTAATCCGCCCTCTAGTGGCTGCCTGTTGTCGGAAATTCTTTTAATAACAGCTTTTAGAGCTCAATTTATTTTACAGTATGGTGTATTATAAAAACGTGTGATAAATTACAGTCCCTTCAACGTTTGTTATATGTGTGGGTGTTCATAACACCCCATCATTGTTACCTTAAAGGACCTGAAATCAGTGTATGGTAAAGTATTACTAGTGGACGAAGGCATATAGATTGTTAGTGAAGCGGAATAATAGAGTGGAAGGTGCTGATTCTTCAGCACAGTTGGTGCAAGTTGAGTCCAACACTGGACCATATGGGAGACAGGATGAAGTATCCTGAGGGATGAAATGGTTATTTGTATTCATCTGTTCTGGCTGGTCAATGAGAGATGTCTGTGTTGTTTCATGACTATTTTGTAATGGTTTCTTTTATCATGTAATGCATTCAACTAAAACTTAGTTGTCAATTTTCAACCCGCTTGGTTATTTTAATCTCCAGTGCAGCGGAGATAATGAATAATTGATCTGTTTGGTTTGGTTAAATCATTATGGCTAGCTATTTATAGCCGTGTAGAGGAATTTATCAAAATTTCAGATGTCATTTCATTTTGCAGTATGTCATCACAATTACAATGAAACATCCAACCTTTTTCAATGACCAGTAAAACATTGGGATCATTATTTTGTTTTACCTACACAATTTTGCCAAAAAACGTTTTTGTTTTTCTCATGAGTGACAAAATTCGCACACTGTCATTAGTATTGCAGTATATTTTGTGCAGTTTTGGAGGGGGTGAACTTGATTTTCAGCACGGTGGACTATTTTTGAACGTGTTTCATAGTGTGGTACGTACACTGGGTGGGGCTAACTTGGACTGGCTTTTTATATTCCAAATAAAAGTGTGCGACTTTTGTTTTATTAGTTTTACACTGTGCAGTTCTTGCTTTTTTTGATCACCATTTGTAGTTTACAGTGAGGTGGTAGGTTTGTAGACCGGTTACAAGGGTTATTGTAGATTGTAACTCGTACTTTTTAACAGAAACTGGCATTTATGAGAAAAACGGTAAACTACTGGAATAAAATCAGTGAACAAAGTCAGCTTGGAATTTATCTCGTCTAATTTGTTTTTATTTTTGTTTTGTCTTGTGTGTGGCTTGTTTTTGGTTGGTTGTTTCTTTGTCAGATAACAATGAAGAAATGTAAAATGGTTTCCGTGTTTACATAGCCTGATGTAAACACGCGGGAGGTTGGGAGAACACAAGATAAGCGTAGGAAACCACGACGCGAAGCGGAGTGGTTTCCAGCTTATCATAATTCGAGAATTCGTAATCATAATTCGTAAACACGGAAACCATTTGACAATCCTTTTATAAAATAACTTATGAAAGGGGAACGAAAACCGTGTTTACATACACTCATGTAAAATGGTTTTATGGCCAATCAAAGCGCGCGTACTATTTGAATTATTTTATAATTTATTATCTTAAAATTGGTTCCAGAAAAGAATTTTGCAAGCACTTGAGAGGGAACGAAATTATCCTTAATGTAAGGATATCAGTTACAGACTAATCAGTTGATTTAGTATGTAGAGTTGGACTTAAATATTTGAATTTTGACAGTAAAGACGACTGTCCTTTGTCTTCTCATGGAATCGAGTTAGAAAGGACGTTGATTCCTTTCTCTACCTCCTCCCCCTTCCCACCCACACACCGTTTCCTCAATCTCAAACTAATCGTGGGCCAAACAGTAATAAAGGTGACTGCAACAGAATGACTTTTCATTCAGAAAAGCCAAGACCAGTGCTCCATAATCTAAATCAAACTCACATCAATAGGTGAAGGACCGGTCCTTGTATCAAGATCGCGCGAAGCACCGCGGGAAATGTATATTTTTATTACCAGTCCCCCCTCTTCCTGTAGTTCGAGTAGGCATGTATAGTCGGTACAAACTTAACATTTTTTTTATTGCGGTAGTTTGAGGGTTTCGAGTAAACTGCATGTCAACAGGACAGCATCTTCGAGTTGAAGTCGTGGGACAGAAAAACTAACGATTGATCAAGAAGTTATTCACCGTTGCCCATTTTTCCCAACGTTGTTAATCAATTCTCGAAGCTTCCATTTGATTGTTTGACCTGCTGCCAGTCGTGTTGAGTAAATCGTGACAGACCGGTTTCGAGATTTGGGAAGCACCGATTGTAACGTTCCTTTTCGTTCAGGATCAGGGGCAAATACAAGGGCATAGAGAGGTAAAATACTACCAAGAAATTCATATTGTCTTTGTGGAATTTGCTTTCTCATTAAATATGTTATTACTCCAATCAAGTGATGACGATCAATGTCTTCTTGAGCATTAGTATGACTTTATTCAGTACACCTTAATCCCTCCCATTGTGAATTTGAGTTATGGCTTTCTTTATCCAGAGGCTTTTGTTTCCAAAATGATTTGAAACGGGACCAAGCACTGTGTAGATTTTGTGTTTGAGTTCGGAGCTTAGCGCTGATATTGATTCAGGTCATCGTAGTTATTGAGTCAATAGATCAAACGTTGTCATAATCAATTTTTAGCTCTTTGTGACGATTCTAAGTTTAAGGCCAATACTTGAAATAAGTCCTAAATCACGCTTTTCAAAGAAATTTAAACAAATCGAAAGAAAAATTCCCAGTTTATTGGGAAATGATGAGTATGCAAGGAAAAAAGCAGCTGCAGTCAGCTCCAGTGAAGTTTAAAACATGTCGAACCAGAGAAACTAACTAATGACAAGAGGTATGCTATCAAAACATCCAACAAAATTCCTCGATTTCAAAGATTGCTTAGATTGAAGATTGATACTTAAAACAATGATCCGTATGTTTGATTGATTGAGACCCTCAGTTTTGTTGAATTCTTCTGTATATTTTCTTCTACAATATCAATTACTTGGCTAGCATCTATTAATTCATTTGATTAATCAATACTGATACCAAATAACTGCCTTCCACAATATTTATGAAGCCTAAAGTAGGTCACAGTGACTTTTCAGCACAGGAGTGCTTGTAAAAATCACATTTAAGTTATTGTGAACCTTAAAATATTTGAAAACATATAAATTTCAATTTGTTTTTTTCCTTTTAGGAATACAAATTGAACAAGAAATGAGTTACCCACCACCTTCCCCAGGGGGCTATCCAATGTATGGGGCTCCTCCAATGCCAGGAGGGGGGTCCCAGTATCCAGCACCGGGTCCAGCCTTAGGATTTGACAGCATAGCTAACCAACCTCCAATGGGGGCCCCTGGGGTATGTATGTAATTATGAAGAACCAGGGCTGGGTTGTTCAAAGCTGGCTTAAGATAATACAGTGTTAGTGCAGAATTTGTTTTCATATCTGAAGCTTTGAAAAGAAATTCATTTCAATTCTTTTTGTGTGTAATTTGATGATTGAATGCTCTAAAAAGAGTTGAGAAAATTATCCCAAAAAAAGGCTCTTGAATTAAGAAATAATGAAACTTGGATCCCTGGGGCAGAGCCAATCTGGCTTTGAACAACTGGGTCCAGATTGCTAGCTACTCTATTATTATGCACTGTGAAAAAACAACTATTGTGTGAGCTTTCATTGCTCACAGAGTGTACAGCTCAATCAGTGATCCTATTTGAAAGGTGGATATTGGTATGTGGATAAATTACTCTCGAATGGATAATTAAGTTTGTTTTGTCAGCACTTAATATATGACAGCACTGTGTTTATCTACTCTCAAGCATCATTTATTAACTGGATAGCAGTAACTAATAACATGGGCCAGAGACAGTCTACAATTACAGTCCTGTAATTATCAAAAATCTCATTCATGAAAGATTGTTCAGCTTCCTTGAAGAAGAGCTTGCTATTCATGATCTGTTATGTTCACATCTGTTATGTCCACATCTCAAGAGTCAGAATAGTTTAGAGGGAGGGTCTCAAAGCAAAAGGCTCAGATTTTTTCACATTGATAGCCTATGCCAAGCATTTTAAGAGATTTTTGCTTTTGCTTGCCATTGGGCAATTGTGATAACTGTCAGTGATCAATTATACATGTTACACTCAGTACCCACCTTCTGGACCACCAATGCCTATGCCAACTGCTGGAGGACCTACTGGTATGTATCCTGGAATGTCAAGCCATATGCCACCAGGAATGTCCCATCAATTGCCACCAGGTATGTTGAAAACTCCCTTTTAGTCATGCCACCTGGTTTAAAGCCTTTTTAGGCAGTATTTTACGGCAGATATTCTCTTTAAAGTTTCCTTTCTACCTATTTCAAGGTCAACAGGTACATGTGTAACATGTATCCCTATTCTAACAGACTTAAGTAGGATCAAAATTTCTACTTAAAATTGAGCTTTGGGTAGGTTTTCTTTTCTTGGGCCAGACACTTAACACTTGCAGTTCCTTTCCAGACCCTAGAATAAAAATGGGTATCAGTGAATTGTTGGGAAAACTTGACTACATGTGGGAGGTAACCTGTGATGGACTAACATCTAGGAAGAGAGGATTCTCCCTATATTTCTTTGTGCTTTAGAAATTAGAGTGAGTTACAACTGCAACTAGGTCCATATCAGTCTCCTATGCAGATTTTACCCATCCTTTTTTACTAATTTTTTTCAATGTTGTTGAAAGGGATTTTATGGTAATCTGTGCTACAGGTTAGGAATCTTTGGTTAGTTGCTGTTAGTTCTGTAAATTAAAATGGCCAATTTAGATGAAAATTTGTTTACAGCTAAATTTATATTGTATGTGACTTTACACCATTCCCTCAATGACTGAATTTCCAAGTTTCTCTTAGTTGTAATGATTGACTTAGCCAAAATATTTGAATACAATTAAAATAAATGTACTTTTTTAAATACAATTGTTCTTTTTCCCGTAATTTGGTTCACAACTATAAGATCTTATAATCTTGTTATCAAGTTGTTTTAATTTTCAATTGATATCCTTTTGACTTCTTCCTTGTCTGTACTGATGTCAGGTATGCCTGTTCCAAGCCCTAATGTTGGCATGCCAGCTCCTGTGCCACCCACAGCTGGTGTGTATGGATCAGCAGGACCATCTATGCCACAGCCTGGGTATCCTTCTGGTAATTTATCATTCGGGGTAAGAATCAGTTGTTGGACCTACTGACAGAACTTTATATAAAATGCTCTAGTCATGTGTTTTTCATTTTCACAAGTAAATGAAAAAAATCACATTTTGTTGTTTTCTCCCTTATTTCAATTTTAGGGTGCAGCAATGGCCACTGCAGCATTTCCATCTCACTACAGGAGTCAATTTGGTCCTCCTCAGCCCCAGCCTAATTTACCCATGGTGAGTTTTAGTATCATAATCTGGCTAGTGATGTCCAACTATTGCTTTCTTGTGTTCAGTAGTCCAAATAACTTTGAATATTTGGCAACTTATAGCAGATTTAAGGCTGATCTAATTTTGTAGCTGATAGTGTTACTAGTCATTAATATGTGAAATAATTATGATCTTCTTTTGTGCCAAATTCAACAACAAACTTTTTGCCCTGGAAAAAATGGAGGGTTTAAAACATTTCATTTTGGGTTGTATGTTTTTGTGAAGGGTCCACCCCCAAGTTTTCCTCCATCAGCTCCAGCTATGCCAGTGCAGCCAAGTGCACCACCGCCTGCTGGTCCAGGAGGTTCATCAACTGCGACAACATATTCCTCATCATCCTCACACTCGTCTTCCTACTCATCCCAATCTTCTTCTTCTGTGAGTTCCAGCTCAAGCACGAAGGTACTCAGGAATATGTTATACAATTATTTATACTGGGTGGAGTTGAGCATAAAGGCAAGAACTGCCTTGGCTGAGGTTGGTTTGTCTGCTGGAGCAAAAGCTTGCACCAGATAATGCAATCATGGTATTGGGGGCTGGGGGTCATGTTTTTTGCTGAAGCCTAAGGCCGAAGTGGATGACACAAATATTAATGTCTTGGGGTATAACAAAAGGAGCAAAAAATAGAAGATGAAAAAGAAGAAAGTGCCAGAACAAATTACGTTTTGTTTATTATCTTGTGGATATTTTTCTATCCTTTGAATGAGGGGGTGATTCTTTCATTGCCTCTTGTTTTTGTTTTTTTTTTCTTTATACATACATGTTTGTTTGCTTGTTTGCTTTTCTTTTTCAGTAAATGAATTTTTTTTTTCCAACAGCAGCCAAGAGGGCGACCATCCATCAAGGAGCTTGCCAATTTTGATGCGCAGAAAGATGCTGAAGTACTGCGGAATGCAATGAAAGGCCTAGGTGAATATAGACAATAGATAGTATTCACAGCACTATAGACAGTCTATTGTTGTTTAAATTAAATCTAATATTTTGACAGGCCACTACAAAATTTAAAAATTAATAAGAAAAAAGAAGTTCCTCTCATTACATGTGCATTTTTTTTTGTATGAAGTTAAAAATGAAAGACATGAATTCAAGGATCAGTATAATAAGAAACAAATTGAAAATATTACTTGCACATGATAGTTGTACTGAAACTGTGTGTTAAGTGCTGATGTTCAATGGAAGATATTTTAAAATGGTTTACTTAAATTTTGGGGTGAGTCAAAATTATAAGTGTCTCTGAATTTCATTAAAAACACCTTTAATTTACTATTTTAGTTTCAATTTTTTTAATACTTTTATCTGTCTTTTCTGTAATCTTTTAAGAATGTTTTTGTGGAGTTTGGGACAATGGATAAAGGGTTTGTCAAAGAAAAAAGGAAAAATCAAAACCTTTGGAGCTTGATTGTGTGTTCAACCATTAGCTTCTGAAGTCGTTTTAACTTCCACTACGTATTTTATAGGTCACAATAAATTTTCTTCCATTTATCTGTAGGCTGTGATTCTAAAGCCATCACTGGTCTTTTATGTACAAGAACAAATGTTCAGAGGCAGAAAATTGAGTTGGAATACAAAACGATGTATGGAAGGGTAAGTTCTGTTTTATGACATGTTAAAGAGTTAAACAAAAAAAAAACTCAAAAGAATTAAGAATTAGAAGCCCAGGGCTAAGGATAGCATTAGCATTAGCGTGAAATTATTCTTCACTTTGATTACTCATCGTTTTAACCCTTAAACTCCCAAAATCTGATATTCAATTCTCCCCTCGAGCAGCCAAACATTTCCTAATGAATTAGTTACGAGAGTTTGGTGTTCGATCAAGATATCAAATTCTACCTGAAAGTTTGAATATTCTCATTACTTGTTTGCTGGATAATGTATGAATATTAAAAGGAGAAATTGCAGGTTAATCACGTCCGCGAGATGTGATTTTCGTAATAGCTTCCGTAAGAGTTGTCAGTGTCCTCTCGCACTGGGTAAATAGCCACTGTGGGGCTGATCATTTTACCTGGCTCTATAATAGGAGAAATATCCTGAAATAATTCTGTACCGAACGGATGTCTTTCTCGGGCGTAGTCCCTTGTTCTACAGTCACGTTCGTCTTAAGCGCCATTTTATTGAGATCATTTATGTGGCGTATTTCTTACTTGTCTAAGAGTCTATTATTTGTAAACATACTGTAATCTCCTGGCGGAGCCGTCACGTTAGGAGAATGTTTAAAAAATGTCGCCTTTTCCAGTGCTCTTTTCATCCTTGACCATCATCAGTCAGTTTGCCTTAAGTTTTTGACTTTTTGGTTTCTTTCCTCAAGAGCAAATTATTTAAATCAACAGTTTTTTGCTAATGAACTTAAGGGCAATCTGCAAAGTGCCCTTAAACTTATATCGTTTTGTTTGCAGGATCTTCTGAAGGATCTTAAGTATGAACTGGGTGGTAATTTTGAGACTATTGTCATTGCTCTCATGATGCCATCGGCAGACTACGATGCAACGTCGCTGAGGAAAGCGATAAAGGTGTGTTTTGTGAGCTTGTGAGTTTTGTTGATCAAGTTAGATAATGATTAATTGGGCAAGCCCCCGGGCATTTGAACTTTTGGAGATTGGTTCGTTCAAATTCCCGTCCCTCGGGGCCAAAATTGTGTTCAAATGCCCTACTCAAGTGCTAGATTTGATGTTCATATTTTGTAAAAGGCAGCATGTGCGTCTAGTCATTGGCCAAGCTTTATTACCTAGACCTTGTTCACACTTTCTACTGATTCATTTGCACGCGAAAGTGAACACTTTACCTTCAGACACCTCCACATTTTAAAGATAAAACACGTTTATTCCGCATGAAAGACTCAACGCTGCTGATTCAAATTCCCTACCGCTTGGGCACAGATGACAGTCAAATGCCCGAGGGTTGCGCTGGGAGAGGATTTTGATATTGAACCGTTCTGATGAACTGAATGACACCAATTTCTGGTACGCTCTTCTAGGGTATCGGAACAGACGAAAGCGTGTTGATTGAAATTTTGTGTACAAGAACCAACGCAGAGATCGTTGCCATCAAGCAGTCCTACCAGCGGAGTGAGTTTAAGCGTCTACAATTTACGTTGTTTATAAATTTCGTCATTTCATTAAGACATGGTTAACTTTTAAAACTGTTCGTATGGTGAACACTTTTTGAAAAGCGCCATAACTGGCGAGAAAGTGTACTCTACATGGGGCAGTAGACTTCCACATCGAATTATGTGATAGGTCGTAGAGAAAAAAATGACACAGAACTCTCTCCGTTTGCCACATTCAAATTTCGAGTGAGCATGTTGTTTACACTTCAGCATCATTTTGGATCCGTACGTTAATAACAGTTACGTATTCCAGCAATGATTTGTTTGGAATAGTTTGACTGAAGCCTTTTTTTTTTCGTTTACCTTCTTTTCTGGAAGTCTTCAGTAGAGATTTGGAGAAAGATGTGGCAGGAGATACCTCTGGCCATTTCAAGAAGTTTCTCATCTCTTTGCTACAGGTGCGTGGATGAGATAAACCTTGGACAAATGATTTGTGCCGCACTGGCAGAGTCTTTTGAGACATATATAAGTCTGTGCGTTAGGCTGGCGAATTACTCATTAACCGTGAATTTTGATTCCTTTGTTTTTCATGGTTTTTTAGGCTTACAGAGACGAAAGCCAAACAGTTGATTTGGCTAAAGCGGCAGCGGACGCGCAGGTTTGACCATTTTAGTCCTTTGCAATAATTGAATTAAATCCTACTAGGTTAGGGTATTTGGAGGGTGATAGGCCAAGGTGCAGATGGCCTGTTGTCATGCTCAAACATGACTGTAACCATAACATATTTACGGAAGCCGCTTTATGAACTGCTCTTGGCTCCGTTCAGATAACTCGGCTCTCTAAAGCTTCATTTTGTTTAATTTGTGCTCTGACCTTTCTCTTTCTTTAACTGACACTTGTTGCTGCATTAAGGTACTCATAGTTGGCCCCTGTCAGATTAATCCTTTAAAGTTTTTTTAAAAACAGTATAAAATTTTTTCATCTTCGCCATTTGCAAGTTCTGTAAACTTTTGCAGCCTTAACCACCCCTCCCCCTGGGACCTCTGAGAAACGAGTCCTAGGGCCGAAGTTTTATGTTCCTTTATAGCTAAGCCAAAAAGGGCTCTGTCACCTGTCATTTGTATTCAGCTCCTTTAGCTGTGAAAGCTTAATCATAAATGCTCGGCAGCAAGAATAACCTTACGAACATATTGAATGCAGGTTTTGTATAAAGCCGGTGAAGCCAGATGGGGCACAGATGAATCAAAGTAAGTTCATTGGAGTGAATTATTCTGTTTTGTACCATGCTTGTGACTTTTACTCCAGTCATGCGTTCAAGGACTTTACACGTTTTAGTTTTCGTTTTCAGATTTAATACCATTCTTGTGTCAAGAAGCTTCCCTCAGTTGAAAGCCACTTTTGATGAATACTCTAAGGTCAGCTAGTCACCGTAGTCAAGGTTGGGTTCTTTATAATTGCCGCTTTTAACACAGCGGTCAAACGTTGGGCATGCGCAACGAAATCATATTTAGCGCACCAATTTCCAGCGCAAAATCTCAAAAGAAAACAAGATACAGCCGCTGTCGCAGCCAGAGAGCACACTACCTAACCATCACACCGTTGACATCTGCGCAGACGTTGGACTGCTGTTTTACCGCTTTCCATTTGCAAGAACTGATCGGATTTAATGTCCTGTCGATAAGCCTTTTTCACTGAAACACCTGTCTGCAAATTCTCTATACTCTTCTCAATACATTACCTAAGGTATTGAGAAGTTGTTATTCAAAATGATAAGTTGTCCAACAACGAACAGCTTCTGTAGGTGGTGATCAGGTGATCAGGTGATCAGGTGATCAGGTGATCAGGTGATCATTTCCTCTAATCTCGTTACCTTTATGTTTGATTCAGTGCTGATATTGTAATGAGAAATTGGATGCAAGTCAATGCGGGGGGGGGGGGGGGGGGGGGCTGGCCTTAAGTTTAACAGAAAGGGACCCCATCTCACACGCTCGTGCAGTGCGCTCACAACAAATCGACGCTTTCTTGCAATTTACATAAATCAGAATCCGCTCTCAGTTCAAATCGCTCGGACCCAATTAATAGAAAGCACTTTGTAGTTGTTGTTCTCTTAGGTCACCTTTTAGAAATGACGCGTTGGAAATCTTGTCTTTTCAGATAAGTAAATATGACTTTGAAGATTCGATCAAGAGAGAGATGTCAGGAGATTTAAGAGATGGGATGCTCACAATAGGTAACACGTTTGTGGGATCATAATATGTGGTGACATATCTGAACGCAAGGGCAAGTTCCCTTCGTCACGATTTTGTTTTTAATGTCGGTGTGTAGATGATAGGTGCAAATCAACCTTTTTAGATAGTTCAGTTCCTTGAATGAGAAGCTGAAGGTTAAGCCAGCTGCTGATAGTGGAAAATAATGTAAATTATAACCTCTGCTGTTTTTTTTTTCTGCTTTGTCTGGTATAGATGTAAACCCAAGCGATATAACTAAATCATTAATCTTTTCCCTGCTATTCGTATACTCCCTTTCCGTGTAGGTGAGAAGGAAGTCTGTCTGGAGGGTAATGTCAGCGTCTTTTGCTTTTATTTTTATTTTTTTCAGTCCAAATTGTGAGAAATGCTCCCTCATTCTTTGCTGTAAAGCTTTACAAGAGCATGAAGGTAGGCCATTCATTGAATTTTTACACCTGGTCCTGGGAGAAAGGTTTGGGTTTAAGTTCCCGCCTTTCCGTTGGGTGAAACGAGAGATTTCTGTCGTTAGCTATTTGACGAAAAGAATCCACTTTACTGGAAAAAGCAAGCGTGTCTTTGAAAATTAAACCGTGAGAACACAAGTTCAAAGCCTGTCAAGTGCTTTGTGTTTGATACCTTGGTCCATCATCATCGCAAAAGACTTCTATAAAAGTTGAAAAAAAAATATAATAATAATAATAATAATAATAATAGCAATGATAATAATGATAATAGTAATAATAATAATGATAATAATAACAATAATAATGATAATAATAACAACAATAATAATAATAATAATAACGGCATTAATAATGATAGTGATGGTAATAATATTTATCGGAGGAATTCAAGGATTAGAGCCCGGTACGTTTAGTAAGAAATAGCGGCGATTATTCATATGGGATATCGAACCTTCTATTGCATAAATGACCCTCTTCTGTTTAGAGCATCACATGAAACGAAAAAACGTAGATTTTCTTTTAATCTTTTTCTTGTTTTATTTGGAAACCATTCTTTATTCGCTCTAATTCTTCGCAGGGTCTTGGAACAGACGACAGCACGCTTATTCGAATCATTGTTACACGGTCAGAAGTCGATTTACTGGACATTAGAGACGAGTTTGCCAAAGTATACCATAAGTCTCTGGCTAAATTTATATCGGTGAGTTTTTTATTGTTTTTGATTCGTAAAACACAAATATAAGATGTTGAAAGGACCTATTAACCGCCGCCGGGAATTTCAAGAAGATATCCCGGGCATAAACCTTCACTGAGCCTCTACCCAGAGCAAACGACCTTTTAGCGCGTTGATTGGAACGAATCAGTACTGACTTAATGAAACTGCCATATATTAGTAAACTTATCATATAAAAAGCGAGACAGACCTTTTAAAGCTGGACACAGTTTCTTTTTGTGTTTTCAGGACGACACTCGTGGAAATTACAAGAAAATACTTCTCAATTTGATTACCGACAATAAGTAGGGAAAGACCCTACATACTCGTAGAAGAAGGAGATGTCTTCCCTTACCTTACCTGCAATTATCGAGTAGTGTATGATGTATCAGGTGCCCGTGGTATTTGGCAAAAATGGGGAAAAGTCTTGGATATCGCAAAAAATGTGATTTTTGCAGAGTTTTTCGGCATTTTTTCAGTGTTTTTGATCATCGAAGGGAATTCGTTAGATTAATGTATTATGCATTGCAGCCTTTGAGATAAAATTTCTTCTTGGTTTAACATTCTTAATATCCTTTTAACTTTCATTTATTGTTTACCCACCATAAAAATAGAAACCAGTTTGGTTATAAAATGTGTGCTTGTTTTAATAGTAAAGCTGAAGTATTCTAATTTATGGTATTCGACGTTCTCTTTTCCCTTCAACCATTTTCCCACGCCCAGAGTATTTCAATCCTCTACCGCAGAAAGAATGATTTGGTCTGCATTTAGTTTGATTGATTCGAGGTCCTTCACTAGAGGATATTTTCCTTTTATTGCCTTTTAGTTAGAAAATGACTAAGTTTATTGCAGGATAAAGCCGAGAATGTTCTGATCGCATTTATATATTTTTTTGTTGTGTGTAAGAGTCAAGCTCTTTCCTCGGAGTGAATTCCCAAGATACAAAATCTTGCGGTACATATATATAGAATGGTGTGTTTACCTTCCTTTTCTGCACATAGCTTTAATGGAAAACGTAGCGGCATATTTTATTTGATCGACTAATTTTTTTATATTATTGTTTTTCGTTGTTGTAGTTTAAATTTTCTTTTGGCTCGTTTTTTATTAGTATTTTGTTTGTTTTTTTGTTTGTTTGTTAATATCACAAGGTTCTGGGGCAAGAACGTATGGGGTGTAGTTAGTAACGTACTTTTATAACGTATTTATAACGTATTTTGTTCAAGGGGCGAAAAATTTACAGCTGCATATGCGAGACTGACAGTTGTATAATTATAGTTTGTGCAGTATCCAGTACGACTGCAGTTATTGCGATAATCCTTGAACTTGAAAATTATTAATCCCACTAAAGGCGATGAGCAATAAATTCCTCTTAATAGCTTATTATCTCTACCCGGTTTGTTCCTACAAGCCTGATAAGCACGATGGAACTTGCTTAAAATTATTGTCAGTTTCCTTTTATGGGATTGGATGATTTGTTTAAGTGACCTCGGTGGTAGTAGTGTCAGTGTGAACCTAGGTATACAAGAGGAAGTAGTACATTGCTCAGCATATTTTTTAGATTTGCCGCACGTGTAGCTCGATATCTCGTGTATTGGTGTTCTTGATTGCGACCGTCGTAAAGCACGGCTTTTTAATCCTGCTAGTTGTTGCACTGTAAAAGAATGGAATGGACAAGAAAGAATTAAATAAATTAAGTAGTTAATTCAAAACGTGCTTCGTACAGTCAACGATTATTCCCATTCTATGTATTATTTATAGCTTACGGAACTGAACCGTTTACAGGACGATGCCTTTATCTTTAAGAGGACTGGGAATTCGAAAACTCTTGTTCTTTTTACGAGTTGACCGCGATAACTAATAAAAAAAATTGCCACAGCAAAGTGCTCCGAAACTCCTTTCTTTTATTATATGGAGAAAAAAAAAACCTTTCGAACAAAGGAAGGAACTTAAAGAAATTGGTAAGAGATGAATCAGTAATAGTCAAAATAACTTAGCGGGGGAATTGCCCAAGATGAATAATTAAGGATTGGTGGTCAAATCGTAATTCGCGATTTTGTGAACACGTACCTTTATTGTTTAGCACCTTAGCGAGTTGGCAGGTGCGTTATTATCCGACTGAAGTGGAAAATCTTGCAGAGGATCGCTTGATCGGCGAGAGAGCGTCACTCAGTTTGCGGTTCAATTACAAGGTTGCCCTGAGGTTGTTCATTTTTAGAGAAGAGTTCACCTGTCATATCATGGTAAGTTGATCTACAATCTTTGGCGTCATTTTTCGCCGCCTTTTGAATTGTGCTCGATCGCTTTTTTTTTTTTACTCGATATCAACCCTTGTGAGGTCAAAGCTGTTAATCCTATTTTCCTGTTAAAAACATTACTTTCCCGACCAGTTTAGGGTGTCACTAACTGTTATGGATACAAGTCGGTAATGTTTGCAAGTCCGGGAACGGTGGAAAATCTCTTCCTTTTGTTGAGTTTTTTTTTTTTTTGTTTTTTTTTTTTTCAGTTACGTTGTGTGTGTGTGTGTCATCGAGTCCCTTCGAATCCCATTATTTAGTGAGATACAAGCCATAGGTAGCTGAACGGCTCGTTCACGCCATTTCCTTTAAAAGAATCTTTCCACTTGGAAACGACATTTCCTTAAAAATATTTGCAACTTAGGGAAGTGGTAACTAATACTCATTCATGATAATTTCCTTCAGTCTTGGGTTACAGTAAAGCCCATGCCTCATTTGTAATTGGCATTTTAAAATAATTACTTGGCAATATAAGATGATGCGATTTATTTTTTTTAATTCCTCAAAGTATTGGTAGGTAGGTCGCCACTTAGTGCAGTGCAGGGCAGTCTAAAAAATTTGGTAAAAAGATATCGCGGTTTTTTGTCGACAGCGAGAGTGTATTTCAGTTCACATCGGACAAGCAGGCGTTCAGATTGGTAATGCGTGTTGGGAACTGTACTGCTTGGAGCATGGAATTCAGCCTGATGGCCACATGCCTACTGATAAAACAATTGGTGGCGGAGACGATTCCTTTAACACTTTCTTCAGTGAGACTGGTGCAGGAAAACACGTTCCTCGAGCTGTTATGGTAGATCTTGAACCTACGGTGGTTGGTATGTTCCAAACGAAATCAATTGTTCTTGTTAAGACGATTAATATTGAAAATGTACCTGTACGTTTTATTGTGGTTTAGTTTGCTGAAGTGTTTCAGTCACAATCGATTTCACGCGCGAGTTAGCGTTGCGTCATTTCCGTGTAATGATTTCTTTTGTAAAACACTCTGAGGACCATTTTAAAAGAAATTTAGCAAAGTTAGTCTGATAATTTAAGGAGATTTTCGAGGTGACTTTTTGGTTAATATTTGGAGGCCTGATTATTTTTTCATGGGAGGTGGAATAGACGAAGATAGAGATAAAGCCAGAGGATGTTTGAGAAGGGGCACTGTTTGCTTTTTATATCGATTCTCTCAAACACCTGATTGCATCTCAACGTAACCTTTTAGAAGAAGCCAGCTAAATCCCCCCGGGAAATTTCCAGCCAAAGTCATCCTCTGCGTCTGCATTCAACATTCTACCTCGAGAGACGCTGTCTCGAGGATATACAATTTAATACTTTTTAATTGTGACTTTTTAAAACAAAGTGTTTTTGTTTTGATCCATAGCAATTCATTTACTTCTGAAACACAACTTTACGAATATTTTCTTATGTCGGATCTTTTCCTGCCAAATATCACTTCATTTTCGAATATTATGTAGGAGGTTTGTCACGAGGTGAGAACTTTACCAAAATAAACTGAATTTCCTTAATCCTACACCTATCAATGCTGTATCATAAGAGGCCTTTTCGTTCGGAAAGCCTCACCAAAAAAAATATGTCAACAACAAACTGCTTATGATTCTCATCAAGATGTTTCAGAAAAGCCTGATCGTGCCAGGAATGAATTATGTTTAAATACTTGTTGAAACATTATGGAAAACTTGCGGATGGGAGCTTTTGTGATTGATTGTTTACATACGGCAGGTGCCATCAACAATGTTTGGATTTTCCCAGGATATTGGATGAAATTTTTCAAAGCATAGTTTGTTTTTTTCAGATTTTTTCCGGTGAGATTTATTTGAAATCAGTGACAAGCCTCTTGCCGTGTTTTATTTCCTTATTTCACAATTGAAATCAATTAGATTCTTTTTGCTGCAAAGTTTTCTTGCAATGACTTAATAATTTTTACGCTAAGTTATCATTTTGTTTCACCTAATGAGTTATGGCATCCTCATTAAAAAACACCACATTCGTAAAATTTTTGGCATAATTAGATATTTTGAAGGCGTTATTAATCAGTGGTGGCTCATTGATCATTATCCAAACAGTTGGATTTCCGAGTTCGTTGCAAATTATGTTCATCACATGCTTTTTCTCATTTTAGAGCAGTTTTGAATTGAGTTTCGAAAAACCAAAACCAAAGTAATCCCAGCGACCAATCACAGAAAAGATTTACATTATCATCAGCCAATGAAAACAAGCAAACTGCTTAAAAGCGCGGGAAAGCACGAAGACCAGATTGCGATTGTGCGTCTGATTGGTGGAGAGGATGGTGCGAGTGTTCTGAATCAATCAAAGAGCAAAATTAAGTAAAACCAAAGCCATTCCAGACTACTTTCGACACCCAACTGAAATTTATCAAATGTCGAAAGCAATGGGATTATTATTTTTTTTTACTTCGCTGCACCCTTTTATTGATCTACGAAGCTTGCACTACTTTTCAAACCAATCAGATGCAAAACTAGAAATAGTAGTGATTTGGTCAGTCACTCTCGTTTTCACGCAGTTTAGGCAGTTTCCTCGATTTTACCTGGTCCACTGTGGATTTCACCTTTCTTGATGTAACGAATTTAAGAAAAGTATTGCAAGTATCCTCATGCTCATGCAAGTCATGAGTTCAGAATTCAGTTCAGGGATATGATTGTCACTCCCATGAAAGAGATACTTGGAATAATTGGAGGGCTTTAATACTTGTCTAAGGGCCTTGTCCTCGCTCGTCAACTTGCCGATACTGGAAGGTGTACGTTTCTCAATTGTTGGCTATTCTTAAAATGATAACAATAGCAAAAGGTATGAAAAAGATCCCAAATAGAACAGCGCCAGTCGGTAAAAGTAAATTTTGCCGATTCCTTTGCCTTTCCTTTCTTTTGTTTTCTTTTTTTTGTTTTTTTTTTTTCATCGAGTTTTCACTGTATTCAGGTTCTAATGGTAGAAAGTTTTCCTTGTGTTTTCTTTGGTTGCTTATTGTTTTTTTTCCTCTTCCCAGATGAGGTCCGTATTGGTACATACCGCAACTTATTTCATCCCGAGCAGTTGATAAGCGGTAAAGAGGACGCCGCTAATAACTATGCGCGTGGGCACTACACTGTTGGAAAAGAACACATCGATCTTGTCCTTGACAGAATCAGAAAAGTGGTATGTTTTTTATCTGAAGCAATAAGCTCCATGAATCAAAATGCTTCCCATACTTTAAATACTTGTCTTTATCTTCCTACTTCGTTTTCCAAAAAACTGCATTGAGGCAACGAAAAGCAACACCATTTGAAACTTTGTAATCTATTTTAGTAAGAAAACCTTTTGTGCGAAAGAAGTAATGAAACCGCTGCGAAGGGGTAAACTAAACCTTGTGACAAACCAGTAAAAAAGAACAAAGAAATTATTAATACTAATGAATGGAAGACTAAGAAATTCAAAGTAACGTTTTTTCAGAAACTTCGTCTATAGAAATATGAATAAGAAATAATGCGATATATTAGTTTTCAATTTCGTACAAGTCCTCGTTCATATGTCATTGTGGAACCAGGGTTGTGGCGGAAGTGAGACCATTTGTTTCCTACTTCTGTTTCCTACTTCTGCCCAACATGAGTTAAACACCACACCAGTTGTCACATATGGTTAAAAATTGTTGTTAATTCTTTTCTTAACTCTGAAAAATTTTTCATGGCCTCTCCAGCCGTACTTCCTTCAACATAAAAATTCCTATTCGACCAGAAAACAGGGGATGACGAGCGACTCAGTGAATGTTTCTTGAGTAATAGTTTATTTCTATTTTCATATGACATTCTTTAGGCAGACCAATGTACCGGTCTTCAGGGATTTCTTATTTTCCACTCTTTTGGCGGTGGAACGGGCTCTGGGTTTACTTCTCTTCTCATGGAGCGCCTTTCGGTTGACTACGGCAAGAAGTCTAAATTAGAATTTTCCATCTACCCATCCCCTCTGATAGCCACTGCTGTCGTGGAGCCATACAACTCGATTCTCACGACTCATACCACCCTGGAGCATTCTGATTGTGCATTCATGGTCGACAACGAAGCCATTTATGACATCTGTCGTCGCAATTTGGATATAGAGAGACCCACCTATACTAATCTCAACCGACTGATCGGTCAGATTGTGTCCTCAATTACAGCTTCCCTGAGATTTGACGGAGCACTGAATGTGGATTTGACAGAATTTCAAGTGAGTTGACGAACAATGTGATACAATTCTGTTATAGTAAAGTCAGACCAATCAGCAAAACTAAACATTAGACGAATTCTTTTGATTTTCGAAGTTCATATTCTATTTAGAAGCACTCTCTTTACCCCAAAAAATATTGGACTCCAGCCGATAGAGAAAACTCATCATTACAGTGTGGGTGGGGAGGGAAAGGCAAATAGTACTCCAAACAGACAGGGGATTTAGGCGCTCTCAGACTTATGCTGCTGGCTTTAGAGAATTAACTTCTACGACTGTCTATCACAATCAACAGTAGTTTCTTGAAACTGGTTTGAATTACTGTATAACAGACGAAGATTCCAACTCTTGTCCCCGTTAATGAGAGTCAAGGACCTTAGGCCAAGACATTATTGTTGGAGTCAGCTTCGTCAAGCGTCCTCCTGTGTAGAAAATAAAAAAACGAACTCGCAAGGTTTAGACTTGTTCGTCTGCCCTGAAGTAAGGACAAATTTTGACTTCATGTCCTTATGTTTGCATGTCTGTCCAAGACCTCAATACTCGACCCACGACTTACTGTTGAGAATTCTTAATTCTTCTTGACTCTTCTCTGCACACTTAACAGACCAACTTAGTGCCATACCCTCGCATCCATTTTCCTCTCGCCACCTACGCGCCAGTTATTTCAGCTGAGAAAGCTTACCATGAACAGCTGAATGTTGCCGAGATCACCAACGCTTGTTTTGAACCAGCCAATCAGATGGTCAAATGCGATCCACGTCACGGTAAATACATGGCGTGCTGCCTGCTGTTTCGTGGAGATGTGGTACCAAAGGACGTGAATGCCTCTATAGCTACTATTAAGACCAAGAGGACCATACAGTTTGTCGATTGGTGCCCTACTGGATTTAAGGTAACGGAGGGAAGATTGTCCCATATTAACCCTTTGAACCCCAAGAGTGACTGGCATCTAATTTCTCCCTACAACATCACCCCTGAATCAAAGATTAAGGTAACGAGAATGAAGGAAATCGTCACCACCTAATGGAGCTCTTGATTGTTAAAGAAATTCTCCTTGTCAGCACCTTAGGAAATGTATAGAGAACAGTATGGAGAATATGTTATGATATTAGGGTGTAAAAGGTTAAGGGAGCAACAGGCATTTAAACTGAGAAATACCGTCGCAGTTACTATAAATTTTTATATAATAAGCTCAGTTATGCACGCATTCTGACTAGTTCTCACTTATGATCTATTGAAGGACAGACGTATAGATGACTTCATCATTAAAACTTTTTTTAATTCTTCATTATCTAAAACAAATAGATTCCAAGTTGCCGTGCGTCTGTTCAGTAATAGATCACAGAGGACGTCAAAATGTGGTAAGAACATCAGTGACACACTCGGCTGCGCCTCGTGTGCCACTTTTTTTTTCTTACCACATTTTGACGTCATTTGTGATCTATTACTGAACAGACGCACTGCAACTTGGAATCTATTTGTTAAGTAGAAACAACGCACGTCAGGAAGCATACGTCAAGAGAGGTTCGTCGAGGAATGTAATGATGTCTACACAACTTTATTCAGATATTGGATCGGATTCATAAAATTTTTTATCTTTTTCTTTCTTAATTTATTCGGATTACACTAGATCCGCACGGTAAATGAAAGTTTGTAAATCATCTCTATGGCCTTACCCAGGGGAAATAACATGTTTTGGATAATTCTTTATTTTCACTGTGGTTTTCCGTAGGTTGGAATCAATTACCAGCCCCCCACGGTCGTCCCAGGTGGTGATCTAGCTAAGGTACAACGTGCAGTTTGTATGTTGAGCAACACGACAGCCATTGCAGAGGCCTGGGCTCGCTTGGACCATAAGTTTGACCTGATGTATGCGAAGCGTGCGTTTGTCCATTGGTATGTGGGCGAAGGAATGGAGGAGGGAGAATTCTCGGAGGCTCGCGAAGATCTCGCTGCCTTGGAAAAGGATTACGAAGAAGTAGGAGTGGATTCTCTTCACGAAGAAGGGGAAGCCGATGAATATTAAAGCTAACATGTTTTAATCTCGGTTAGATTAAGTGTACTTAACAATTTTATCTTGATTGATCGATTAATTCGATGAATTTTTCACTGCTGTGGTGTTACTCTTCCACCGGGTGTTTCCTTCGAGCCTTGGTTTTCATTCATACACTCAGAGTACTTGCTAAGGCACTACTCTCGCATTATCCCTTCTCGATCTATCCTTAGTTAAGGTGCCCAGCGTCAGCGCGCTTTTTGAGAATTGAATTTGCTTATAATTAAGTCACACGGACGGTTTAGAAGTGGATAACTTTTTATAATGCTTTGGGAAAGAAATGAGTCCGAGCGCAGAGAAATCCAGCAAAAAAATGTAAGTATTGTTTAGTTTTTTTTAATTGAGGTGCATTCTGTGGGATGATGCATCTGCGCTAAAAATTAAAAGCGGAATCCAATGAGAAAAAGAGCAACAGTTTAAAATCTCAAGAGCAATTTAAATATCCGCAATATTCGCCACCGCGATCATTACTCGAAGTTAGCCGGACGTCTGATGTTTCCAGAATGAGTTCACTCATTGTATTGTCCGAGTTCTTGCTTGATTTCTTTGATGATTTCATTTGGTTTAAGTTAATCTTTTAGTTCCTTTTCCTGTTTTGTGGGACGGACAGTAGTACTTCAGTAGACGTTTGGAAAAGCTCACGAAAGCGTCACTACAATGTAAACGGATCAATGTCAGTATAAACAACTCTGACGAGATCAGCTTGGTTGCCACGTGTGTGGGAAATGTCGTTCACCAGAAGAAATATCTGAAAAGCTTTTCATCGCGTCAGTCGTCAGTGATTTTTCCGTAATAAAATTAAGTATGTGTGAAACAACGTTGCTTTTGAAAGATAACCATATCCAATTTTTTCATTAATCTCCGGTGGAGATCTAGAAATTTAATCCTCTAAGTAGATAAAACGTACAAAGCGACGTTATTAAATGCACAAGCAAATCGGTCAGTAATGATTATCGACGTTAGTATCTTAAGTGTATCCATTAGGTACAGGAAAACGTGCGTTCAAGGAGACATCTGTTAGTTAAAACTTTGCTTTTTATATAAACTCTGCTATTTTTAAAACATTCACCTTTGCTCTTACCAATGTTTATGTAATTCATCTGAAGTTAATAAAGTCATCAGTTGAATTCTCAAAGAAACCGCCACATCAAGTTCCCGCGAATTTTACGCAGTTTCATCTGTTCTTGATATTTGGAGGCTATCCTAAAGCTATAAATAGCAAAAATAAAACATCTTGCCAGTTGAACAGGGAGAAAAACCCGCCCTTTGAATCTAGGGAAATGGACCAACTTTAGTTCAGACTTGATATGGGGTGGTATCAATAGTAGATTACACATCCTCCTTTTGGCTTTTCTCTTCTCGTTTGTTTGTCTATTCGTTTGTAGGGAAGAACAGATGGTTTACCAAAGTTTGAAATTATTCTCAGCTTCTCTATTTATATTTTTTGCGACGTAAGATTATCTAACAAAAATAATTAAACAACAGACAGAGAAGGAAAAGACAGTACGGCTTGTGTCTTGCTCTGGGTCGTAGCTCAGTCATGATTTTGTCATGTCTGTCGACTTAATTAGCAAATTGATAAGTGACGACCAAGAGGACTTTAAGTGGCATAGGAAAAATTTGGACTGGACCATTGGTCCTTGGACTATTGGACTATTTTTTTAACCATTTTCTTGACTATCAGAGATGGGGGGAGGGCAAACCATCAGTACACAGGGAGGGGTGGAATGTAGACTGTTATTACTCAGGTAGGGGTGGGAACTGGACTATTAGTACGTAGGGAGAACTGTGAGGTGGTTGTAATAGTCAATGCTACTAATTTATGTAGCTTTTACTGGGTCATACATACTATTTTGAGCGCCTTTTCGTAAATTCTTGCGCTGGGCTGTTGTGTTTCTTTGTTTTTTGTCATGTAAATGCAAACTGGCTCCTCAACAGTGGACTGTAACTGTTAGTGATTGATATCGCCAATTCCCTTTTTTGATTCACCTCTGTCCAGTCAAGCATGTGCCTTTTAAGTCGACTTATTCCAGTGCCTAATGATACTCACTGGTTATCACGAATCATCCATCAGTTGCTTCACGTTTCCCTTTGTGTATAGAGTATATCATGAAAAAATTGTAAAAAACGTGACAACCCGGTGCAAAACTTTTGACATGAACGACTCGTTCGAAAAAATGCTTTTATGATCCCGTAAAACTCCATCAATCAGTAGCATTTAGTAATAAACCCACCTTCCACCCCTCCTTACGCACTAATGATCTGCCTCCAACCCCACAGATGGTCAATAACATGTTCAAAGACATGGTCCAAAAAAGGTAAAAAAAAAAAAGAGTACAAAAATGTTCCAAAAAAAGTCCGAAGAAATAGTCCAAAAGTAGTCCATAGCCCAACAGTTCAATGGTCCGGTCCAAATTTTACCTTAATGACGTCTTATTAGACCATGTTGAAATGTAATAAAGTCGGAAACATGCGGTTTGATGTCCGGATGTTATGTTTTGGATAAAAAAAATCACATGCAGCTATTTGTATAATTAGGAGAGAGCATTATTATCTTTAAATAGGGCTACTCTAAGTACCCAACACAAAAAAAGGTTAAAATTAGAAAAAAAATGAGCTGAAAATCCTATTTTACTGATCCTAAGCTGGTTCTTATCCCAAGGCGAATGTGGTGCAATACACTGTAGTCACGATCGATCATAATTTAATTTGGCAGTCAGTTCAACTTGTTTGTTAGTCATGCGGCATTTTTTCTTAAATCATTTTTCCAAATGACATATAACTACTCCAGAATATGTAATGTACCTCTCAGTCTCCCTTTTCTTGGAGAACTTGACTGTAAATCAAAACTAGATTCTTATTACCATTTTTCTTGAAAATATACTGAGTCTCCAGAATTTACATTTTCTTCTTTGTTTACAGTAAAAGTCAAACCTTTCGCTCCTTTTCGAGTTTACCGTCACTGGCATTAATATCCCTGATAGACAATATTTGGCTGAACGTATCTTTTGCAGCTAAACGCACGGTAACATCTGCTTTGCCGCAGTGAGGTTTTAGTTTTAATTGGCTTAATAACTGTTGGCTTGACATAATTTTACGGTCTTTAGTCTTACGCCCTCTTACGCCCATTTGAAGAGACGGAATGTGCGTCAAACAGTAAATTAACTCCAGGCTGACATTGCGCTAATCGTATAACGTTCCTTCTTGATATGATTAATTGCGTTTTAATAGCAGCTCTCTCAGTGAGTTCCTTTGTTGAACTTAAGCGCGTGCGGGGTTGTTTACTGCCTCACTAAAAGTTTCCACGCTCCATCAATCACTAACAAGTCCAAGTGATTTTTTTGCATTTTATTTGTAGAATCAGATCGTATCAAACTCTTTACTTAGTACACTACTTCAGATTGTTTTCTTGTGTCCTATGCAGTACTTAAAAACAAACATTTTCTAATTGAAATCCTTTTTGCCTTCAAAGACATAAAACGTTCCGACTTTTTTTTTTTCTTGAGTGGTTTTTGATTAGGGTTTTCGGTCTTGCTTATCCATCTCCTGTGTGTGAACTAGACTACTTCAGTTACGCGTTTGCCCAGGATGTGGCCAATGTTGCGTTGTAGCAAAGCATCTCTGCGATAAAGAGCTCGAGGAAGAAAATTGGCGCGACGATCTTAAAGTCTTTATTTTAAACATCAAACTTGTTCTATTCTGGGCTGCTTTCTTACGTTAATTTCTCTCTTCTGACGATAGACTTTTTTTTCACTATTGTTTTTTTCTTAATTCAATTTGTCAGTTATTCGAGCTCTTGAAAGCTTATCTAGAATTCGTGTCAATAAGTGCCTTCAGTGCGAAGGATACTGTTCACTTGGATTAAAGCCGAGCGACCGGCTAGGAGAAAGTCTGCGCCTTCTACTTGATCCCGAAGGCTGAAGGTGCTGAAATCGATATAGAGCAAAGGAGAGTTACCTTCAGCCATGCTACTATTCCAAATAACCATTTTGTTTTTTGTCGCTGGATTGACCTGTCTTCGCCATCCGGTCGTTTATGGAAAGGAAGATTTGGAGACTTCGTTGGAAAAAGCTGACCCACCAAAGCACAGAGAGAAACGATGGCTATGGGGCGGTAAGACTGGCTCTTGTGTATTGCTTACCTTCAGTCTTGAATTTCACATTCTATTTCACTAAAACAACTAACATGCTCAACCCACCGGAGTCTTATCTGAGGTTATACCTTATCCGTATGGAATAAAGCCAAAACATGTTCCTGTTGAACTTCACTTTGAGACTTTGAACTTCACATATTCGTGAATGCTATCTTCGTAGTGTTAGCCTAGAAATCATGTTTTCTCTGAGAAAGCTTTCAGACAAATTTACAGAATACTTTGAACCATTGTGAACTAGAATACTTGCAAGAATCTTGGCAACTTCATTTTTGATCCGGACTGATTTATATAAACCTTTCTGGGGCTTCATAGTCAACCGCAAATATGGACTTTACTCAATGGATAAAATTGCTTTCACGCACCATTCTTCACCTAGTGATCCTCTATCTCAGTAAAAAGATTAGATTTAATGACTTGAAACAAAGAATATTTGTCAAGGGTTTTCTACATTTTGGCCAAGCTCCACCCTAGCTATATGATGTCTGGGAACATCTCAGTACTTCGCGATGTTTATCACAGTTATAGCAATGGTCACGAGATCTTAAGTAAGAACGATTTACTTGACACTACTTCCATAACTTTGCTGAAGTGACCCTTCCGCATTTTTCTTCGGTATTTCTTCAAAGTACTGTAATTTGCTATTCCCAAGGATTTTTTAAATACTCTGCTCTTTAGATGTCGATTTATCTGTTGCTTTTTTCCTTAGAGAATTTTCAAAAATAAAACCTACGTTTCTAGAATAGATCGTGAGACACCTCGATTAGCTTAATCGGATTTCCACTTTATTTACATAAAATAAATGCGGTTTTTTTTAAGATTAGCGTAGTGTAGTCAGGTCACTTTCGCTTAGTTTCCCAGACAGTCCTTTAGAACCGTTTGGAATTGAACCTCTGGAAAATCTTACTCACTTTAAACCGCTGCTTCTTGTTATTCGATAGCTCAAGACTAAACCGTTCACTGGAAGTTCTTTTCAAAATTGCAAGATTATCTCCTCTTACTTCAGTGAGTTTTGCCAGAACATGGCGCAATTCTAATCAATGTTAGCATGTTCGCAAAGTTAAAATATGCTTTAAGACTTTTCTTTGCAAAAAGTATTTGTGCGTGCTAAGAAGCCGATAAAGAGTAATACAGGCGGGCGGCATTTTTCAAGTAAGGAGCCCCTTCTACAGCCGTATGAATATTCGTGTAAACGGGCAATGAAAAGCTCATATATTTTAACACAAGTGCATTGCCTCTAATCCCTCTTAATTAAACTGTGCTCAGTCTGAACAGGCTTGTTCGTTTTTGGCAGCAAATGCATTGTTTTTGTTATTCTTTGCATAGCCATTCGAAGAAGTTAGATGCTTTTTTTTTTCTTTTTTCCGTAACGCAGACTATGAACAGATTGGAGTCTTGTCATATTGAGTTTTGCAGTTAGAATTGAAGCATTACTCTTATTTAAACAATGGATCTGTTCCACTAGATCCTTTGGCTGTTACTGAACAGTTTTGAAACTACGTGCTGAATTCGCCAAGAGTTTGTAAGTAGGTCTAATCATTGGAATTTTAGGCATGGAAAACATATCCAAGAAATAATATTTTCATAACTTTCAGATAGTGCAGGAATGTCAATTGCACTCACGGAGACAAGTTCAAAACGAGAAAGATTAATTGCCATTCTAAACGGTAGCAGTTTGTTTTAATTGCAAGATGTTGATCCATATCAAAAGATAGATAATCGATCAAATCTTTTTTTCCGGAAATGGACTGGGAAGAGGTTCTACTAAACAGTTCTCAATTATACCGGACACGTTTCATTTACGTGCAGCGAGCGAGAGCTCATTCCGATAACACCGAGGCACACCAGAGGAATACGAACGAATGTTTTGAATTCTTAAACACTTAAGACACACGACCGCCTTGTTTTCGCTCTGTGTCTCCTGCGTGTACATTGCTGGGCGCATGCGTAATGATTGCCTAGATAACACTCCGGAAAAGAAGATCGTGATCATTTTACACGGCAGCGCGAAACCAAAGGCAAAGAAACCACCTGAGCAGAGACCCATTCTCAAGTGCATGTCTATTCACATTTAATTTTCTTGGCTCAAATTAGGGTGTGGTTTCATTCCTGGATGTGAAAAATGCAGCGATGGGCTTATTTGCAACAAATGCAGACCAATTTTTACCCCTGTGGAGTACGAAAGGAACAAAAAGAAGATCATAAGGTGCAGCCGCTCCTGTCCTCCAGGCTACAATGTCACATCTACAAGGGAATATCCGAAGATTTGTGTTAGAACACAATTTGGTAAGTTGGATCAGAGGCATACCAATATCAATTCTTGAGCCTCAAACAACTCCCTGCAAAGCGGTTTATCTGATATTACTTGGGCACAGAGACGATGGTGCATCTATATCAAAAGAGGATATCATGTCTTGTCTCTATGTGTTTCTTTTCTTGCTGTACAGGTTGCAGTTATCGGGGTTCAGTTCTTGTTGCTGAAACGGTGAATCAAGTGGGCAGTTAAATTATTATATTATTATCGCTTGGTGAAATATACCAGATAAAAAGTCACACGTAAACCAGTCACGTGAATAAGGGGTTGATATCACGTGTATAGGTCATTAAATACCTGGCACGGAGGATTAAATTTAAACAGACACTATCCCAGCCCCCTTTCGATTGCTAATGATATGAATACAAACAACGCAAATAAAAGCGTCTATTGCCAATGGCAAGTTTTCAGCCTCGAAGGTGATCGCTCCTCAGTTAAAATTGATGATGACCAAAACCCTTTATCTCCTTGAAAATTCATTGCCCTGCTATTTAAGAAAAGTCGTTGTTCTGATGTTCAAGGTTGTTCTGCACGACATTGTGAAGACTGTGAACCTCACAACCCAGTTAGCTGCGTGAACTGCACTCAGGGATACTATTCAGTGCAAAAAAGGGTTATGGGAAACGTGAAATGCGTGAAACAGTGTCCAGATGGTTTCACCCCGAACCTGAACACTGATGGGAAGATGATTTGCAAAGATACACAGTCAAGTAAGAGTGATAAAATTATTACTTAGTTGTAGGTTGGTAGTTTGTCCTTGGGGGTTGGCAAAGCGGGGTTGCACAAGTTATGCCCAAAAACTCTCGAAAAAAGTTCTGTTGTTTTAGTACAGCTCTCAATTTTCTGATTTCCAAATTGTCGATATCAATATAAAAAGAAAGAAGAGGAATATTTAGAAGAAGAGGAAGGCAGCACATGAGCCAACGTTACATGATGCTTTTCATACAGGAGATCGGTATGCGCCAGGAACCATATGATTTTTATCTCCTCTATTTTGCTGCTTACCTACTTAACGTTTTGATATTCCAAATTATAAGCAAAAGGATCGAAAACTTTCTTTTAATTTCCAAAGAACTCGCTTACAATCCTAAGAGGACACACAAAACCCGAAGACAGTGACTGCATCTCTAAATTTTACCAGAGGTATCATTATCGTGGTCAAGTGTCATAATTTTAGATATACAATTTAATGGCGAATATTTAATTTGTAAGGTTTCCGAACCACACTTCTCCCTTAATTACTGAATTTATCTTTTGGACTGGAGGGATGTAAAACGTTAGTGAACGTAAGATGAGTCTCTCAATAGATTGCGTTACCATATTGCGTTCTTCAAAAACCGTGCAGAAACACACGTTAATTCAATTTGCCTATTTTCAGAATGCCAATCGTTTGTGCCTAAATGTGCTACGTGCCTAGATAGCGTACGCTGTCGAAAGTGCAGGAGTGATCTGCATGTCTTCTTCAACAAAACTGGCATGGCTTGTATTCAGAACTGTCCGAGGGGCTTCGTATCCGCCGACTCCCACTATTTCGGAAAGTACTGTAAAAGGCCACTTGTCGGTAAGTGACAAAATCGGATCGTCTTTGATAAGATAAGCTCTCAATAAGATTTGAAACCTCGACTGATTCTGTCAATGTCAACAATGAAATGAAAAAAATGAACTTTAATTAACACCAAAACAATTAAACATTTTAATGAAATAATTGAGATACTCGGTGCACTTTGATTTATTTAAAGACAAATTGTTTGTTCTACAGTTGCACTTAATATGCGTTAACCGACCCAACGACCCACAGCGTTGGTTTGGAGAACACTTGAGAAACTCATCTTCTCCCAGCATTACGCTGCCTGAATTCTTACGAGAATTTACGTATAGAAAGTACAATCGATTGAGTTAACTCTGTTCATCAGCAATACTGAGGAATAAACTTACATATGATAACTTGGTGTTTTTCATTGTATATGTTTGTACTGTAACTGTGGTGCTGTGTCGGTGGTAGAGTATAACAGGGTAATTTTGTATTATCAACTGAGTTGATAATGTAAATTGGCCTCCGTAAAGAGTTTTAAAGCTGACGTTTCGAACGTTAACCCGTCGTATACCGCTCTGACGAAGGGCTAACCCTCGAAACATCAGCTTGACGGTGGTTCATTTACGTTATCAACTAAGTTGATAATGCTAAATCAGCCTGTTCAGCGTTTGGTATGAGATCACATCAGCTTAATGAATTTAAAATTCATTAAACCAAATCAAATGGGCTTTAAATATGAACCCAGGTCACCTTACGTATGGTAAGCATTTCTTCTCTTTTTTTTCCTTGGCGTGGATAGAGTGCCGATCAATTTCAAACTGTGAGAGATGCCCTGACAAGATCAATTGCCGCAGATGTAAGCCAAAGTTTTACAAGCTCAAAACAAATCCGTTGTCCCATGCAAAATGTGTTTCGTCGTGCCCAGCAGGGTTTAAAAGGAAAGGAAGGAGATGCCAACGTATAAGGGAAGGTAACTGAGATCAAAGTGATGAGTATTTCAATGTAGCTGTGTTTTATTGGTAACTAGGTTTGCATGCAGCTGTCTTGCTCGCCATGTTTCCAAAGCAACCACTTGTAATTATAACCCATTTGGATGGGAGCCAGATACTTAGATCCTTTTATTTTACCGTGATTCCAGCTATACCCGACTCCAATTGCCCATTTCATTTACAAAGACTTCAACTCCCTCACTTCTATCATCTTTTAGACGGATGTTCTGGCGAGTATTGTTTGACATGCAAGGATGGTTGGTATCGCGTTAATTACAATAAAAGACATTGTCAGCGCAAGTGTCCCAAAGGCTTTTACATTCTTGGAGAAAAACAGAAATTCTGTCTCCGTAAGTACAATAACAAGATAGTAAGCCAGTTCCTAAGCAATTGCATAAAAATTGGTTCAAGAAGAGATGACCATGCGTCGAAGTTTCTGAAAATTAAGGAAAACAAAACCCTTGAGTTTGTCCTTCAATTTAAAGCCGGTTGTTATAAAGGAGAAGTTTTTGATGTGAAAGGACTCGGAAGATTGGCCAACTGGATCTCTTAACCTCACTACCTCGAGGCCGGATGATTTTAAAGAGGGTAGATTGTAGCTTAAAAACGTATTTCATAAAAATCATACATTAAGAACGAAGTAAATTATTGAAATAAAAGGGAGGTACTGAAACCAAAATAGGCTTTGAGACAAAAATTTGGTTGTTTTAAGCTAGACTATCGACTATCAACATCTTATTCTCTCCTTTTGCTACGTTATTTGCCATAGGATGCCTGGCCCGATGTGAAGAATGTATGAACGGTTTTGACTGCGGCAAGTGTGATCCAGGAACTTTTAAACTTGTCCAGGGTCTGCACACGTCTTGCGTGACAAGCTGCCCCTTTGGCTATGCGAGTCATGGTAACGTCAAAACCGGAAGAGTATGTACTTTTAAAAGGTTTGTTTGCCAACGAAGCCTTTGGCAAAGGGCACCCTCTTAAGATCCTTATCGCTCACTGTGTGGGCATATTACCGAGTGAGGCGCAAAAAGGTGCTATCCCAACTGTATAATTATTATTCAAAGTTAAGTTTTGAAGGTTAGCTATTTCTTATACTCTATTACGGTTGCATGGTCCTCAAACGTAGTCCGCGATCTTTTTTTAACTAGACTTGATTTAATTTTTCGAAATGATTCCATACCTCTCTCCAATCTGAGTTGTATTTTCCCTTATTCCAATACAGGATCACGTGATCAAGCTGACGCTATTGTGATGACATCAGTCCTATAAATAAACATGAAAAAAGGAACATGCGTGTCCAGTTAAATCGCTGCTAAAATAGGAGTTTGATTTGCTGGTTATTTACAACTAGTTTAGAGGAGATGTACCTGAGTACATGCATGTGCACAGTCTGTTTTAAAATTTGTTTAGAGCTCTTTCCAGTGATATTCGAGAGATAAACAATAGTAAAGTTACCTCTGGATATTTGAGTTGTATGACTCTCCGCACTCGCTTCTAATTCGCTGAATGTCCGGTCAGCCTAGAATTCCCATTTAGTCAGCTAAACCATGTTAAGAGAGAAAAGAATTACCAAATGAAAATTTAGCAAGTTTATAGTTAGTGATAAAGCATTTAAGCTGTGGGACCAGGCTGACCTCCTACTCCACGACCCTCTCCCCTTCCACTTACCGGCCATCATAGGAGACGCTAAACTATTCTTCCTTATAACCCAGACTTGCTATTTCGAGAAATTCTAATTGACTCGTCCTTGTAAGGTAAGGAAACAGGTCTTTTATAAAATAATTGAACGCGTTGAACAGACATGCAAACATTAATTTGAGTATCTTCGTAAACTTGAAGTATCAAACCGATATCATAAACAATAACAACGAGGACCAAAACAACAATGAAATAGAAAAGTCTAATGAAGCTTGGTTCTTTAAAAACTGTATAATATGATATGCCTCAGTCTTCCTTAAACGTTTAATTCCTTGAATGTCACTGGTGGTAAGGTTAGCTGTTTCTTCTGAAAAAGTATCTTGAGGGGTCAAAAGTTTTGCCTTTTTTTCTAATAACTTATGTACATGCAATCATCACTGCATCACAATACAGAGAAACTTCGACGATTGAGGGGAGAGTCCTTCTCAAACAAGCACAATGTGTTGAGCAAGAATAGCTCCTCTCAGGATTTTGTATGATTAGGATGCAGTAACGTAACTATTAGTGGATTAGTTGTATTCCGGCAACATAGTGACAGGTGGTAATAAAAGCGAGGAGCTACTCAGGAGTTTAAACCTTCTTTAATGCCTAAACACTCGGTGATTAGGGGCGGATATTGGAATTTTTGATAGGGAATCCAAAATGACCTCTCGACCCACCATAACCCACATCTCTTCTCCTCTGTAGGAAAAGAAATAAAATCCGTCCCACTTATAATAATATGCGATCGTGTCGTGAAAAGAATTTTGGTGTCAGACAAGTAATAAAATAAACACACAGGTCTCATAGGGGGAGGGAGGTGAGGGAGAGGTTCTATCCCTGTGGATCTGCCTCTGGTGATGAATATGGGTTGATTATCTTTATCATCATAACCTGTATTGATTGTCTTTTATTACGCGCTGATCTCCATAGTTAGTTTATCAATGAGTCACTTTGAAAAGTGGAAAATACAACGTTTTCTGAGAGGTTGTTTTTTGTTTTGTTTTTTTTTTTTGAGAAGGTCGTGTATCAATTAACCGTACGTTTGTAAAGTTTGGCTGGCCACGATGCACGAAATGGTTCGTTTAAAAATGAACCAAAAGACTGCAATTTCATGCAGAAATGATTTAATTTGTTCTAAAATAACCGTAAATAGACTTGCACCTCTATGATAGCGGGTGGATTCTACTCCTTTACCAGTTTCTCGAACTGTGTAACTTAACGGTAACAGTTCCGCATAAAAATTGAATTGTTTATCTGTGATTTTAAGCGGAACCTGTGAGGGGTTAATGCTCTTACCTTGATAATTCTCCTGCCGAATGCTTACCATGGTAAAAGAATGAAATTAAACTAGAAGCAGAAAATCAAATACATGAATAATAACCAGAGGAAACAAATAAACGCAAATAGTAAAAGAGAATCGGTAAGTTATATCAATGTTCCACTACTAAGTGATGAGAAAAAGTTAGCAAACAATTAAAGGAACCAAAGAAACACCAGAATGTGTGACGTAACTTACTGCATGTGCAGGTGACGAAAAATTTTTTAATATTCAGGAGAGATCAGTGCATCCTTTGAAGACAAGCTGAAACTAATAAAGCCAAGCCTGTGTACAGCCGCCTTCATCCCTCAGAAAAAATTTGCAATGAAGGGGGCCAGGGAGCTGTACACAAACTGTAAAAGCCAGATTCGTGCTTTGAAAACTTTTAAGGGCTTTTTGGGTTGACGTTATAGGGCTCTCGATGATCCAAGGTTTTGAAGGTACTGGGATGATGATGCGACTCACAAGACCAGTCAATTGGTTCAAGTCATCCTTACATTTCCAAAGCCTCTTTCTTAAAAAGAGGGCGAGTACAAAGCCTTCAGCGTGGAAATAATTTATCACTCTCAATCAAATAAAAAGTATTTTTGCAGGATTGGTTTTTCATGTGCTCTCATCTCAAAAGCGAGAGTTTTTATAAAGCGAAAAAGGCCAATTAAATTGAGATTTAGCAGAAATATATGATGAGTGCGTTCACTCAAAAGCTACTCCTAATGGCATATTTCCTACTGAGTGCAACAAATGAAGGGATCAAGTTGAATAAAATCATGTCATAACGCAGTTATGGTGCAAATGTCCCTTAAAAACACTTCGAATTTTAAAATCACTTTATCGTGCGTTTCACATTTCTTGCTGCAGACAAATCTTTCCAGCAGACAAATCTTTCTAGTTATAATTGTTGTTTTTTTTTTTGTTTTGTCGGGTGTTTTTTTTTTCCTTTTTTTTTTTAATAATCGGCTGGAGAGATCAGTGCATCGGCTGGAACAATGTTACAACGCCAGAAGAGCACTCAGTTGGATAATTATTGATATCAGACGGGGAAAATACGATTTTCCAATATGCAAATTTCAAGGGATTGCTCAGAAAAAAAAAATTCATAAAAGCATTATATTAAATAGTGTTAAAAACTGCGTTTGCTTTTGCGTCAGTCTTGTCTGACTTACGTGTGTAACCTCAAAAACCTCATCTTAAATGCAAAACCACCATATTCAAGTTCCGATTTGTGTTAAACCAGTCAATTGTTTCTTCGTTATGATTTATAAAAAAGCCGCTTATATTGCCAGCCGATAAAATTTTAAACAGTGGGTTCTGAAAGCTTTATAGAAATGAAAATATACTTCCCACTGTCTGAAGGAACAAAACAATACCATCAACAACAGCACAACAAAACAAACCCGAACAATCTATAATGGAAGGTTTACACACTAAGAACAAACAACTGAGAAAAAATAGAACTGACCAAGAAAAAAAAAATTTGAGTGAATTATGTAGTAACAGTATAGAACAAAAAGCAATTTCTCAGATTTAAAAGATAAATGTAATTGTAAACATATGATTTTTGGGAGTATATTTTTCAGTAAACCGATCTATAAGGCAATTTTTTTCCCGTACAATCATCGAAGACAAAGACGAGTCAATGTGATCGAGGAAGGAGCTGAACAAAGGGTTAGTCTTTTATATCCAGCCAGATCTCGTTTACTTGACAGTTTATAATTGGCTCTTTCGAGAATCGTGTCACAGACTAAAAGGTTTTGGATGCTGACTACAATCGGCCGGGAGGAACTGTCAAATTAAACAAAGGCTAGTACTTTCTAGCGCTGAATCAATACTCTTTATTTAAGTTAAGCTTTATGCGAAACGTAAGTAGCTAAGTCAAGCTGTTTGAACCGTGTTTGTCTAGCATGCCTGACTCAATAAATCTCGATTTTCAGCGCAGTTAAGAAAGTCTTATTAACCTTAGTTACCAGTAATCACCGATGGTTTTATTTATCTACACCATCGTAAAATCAGAATTGTGATATCTGTCAATAATTTTCTTGGGTTATCAACCATAATTTTGTTTGACGTCAAGAATGAATTATCTAGAAAAAAATATGACACCACCAGATTTCTAATGCTCAGGATTTCATCAAAACACATGAAATTAAAAATGGTCTCAAGAAAGTGTTAATTATGATTGCATATTGCTTTGTACCACAAAAAAGTTTTCTCGATGAGTATACTTCAAAAGTAAAATTTTATAAACACAATTTTGAAAAAGGAAGAAGGATGCGCTTCTCGGCGCCAGTTTTAATTAACCGCATTGACACTAATGTTATTATGCTTGACAAGAGGATGTGATAAGCACGTAATAGATAGCTGCTAACCCACCTTACTTAAGAGATGTGCCCGCTGTCCGTTTGACAATATCATCTTCAGTGCAGAGGCAGGGAGGTTACGCAGTTCAAAAAATCATATCTTTTAAAGACAAAGAGGGCAAAGAACCAACACCGCCAACATGGAAAGAAGGGCTCTTCTTATATGTCTCCTCTGGGCCAGTTTCTTTGCAAAAAGACCAGTAGCAGCTATGGAAAACATGAAAAGTGAGTCCAGAGAAACACACCTGCCTTCTTTGCTCTTGAACAATCAAGGTAAGAGATATAAACCTCTCAAGTATTAAGTGTCGTCAATAAAAATCATCTAGAAGGTTCCTTCCATATCTTTGAGGCTAATTCGTTGACAAGATGATTTCCTTCTGTAGGATTCAATTTTCTCTTAAAGTCACTTAAAAAGTAATATTTGACTTGCTTCTTGCAGTTCTCGCTGTAAATATGTTAGATTTATGTTTTCTTCAGGTTCGGTTTTTTTTCCTTTTTTTTTCCCCTTGATGTTGGCAAGTGGTTCATGGAGGTATTTGTCACCGACGGACGGCTGACAAGCCCTTTCCCGTTTCTTTGGAAGATATTGAAAAACCACAGGAGGTCATTCTTCTTTTGGGTCAAGGCTAGAGAACCATGTGTGCATCAAATAGTTTTCACCTGAAATTAAACCGAATTCTCCCGGAAACCGTTGGAGAAAGATCTCCTACCGTTAAAAAGTAATAATTTTAACCCTCTGCAGTATGTAATTTTCCCTATCAAACCGTCTCAAGGCTTTTTGAACACTTAGTTGGTAGAGAACCACAACACACAGAGGAAATTCACTTCTCATCACCACAGTTTTGATTCTACTCATTATCCTTGTCTGTGTCATTTCACTTGACCTCAGCGGCAATCACGGGTCTTTCGGTTATTGATATATCTCCAGTAAACACACCCATCGCTCTAGAAAAATCTGTAAAATTGAGATCATTTTTAAAACAATTATTTGCCAAATAATCTTGGTGAAGAGGTAAATGACCTACACGAGACGGTTCCAATGTCTCATACGAGTCAGTTGTTTAAACCATTTATTGGCTTACTTAAAATAGCGGTTTAAAGGAGTCTATATGATCAAAATGAACTGTTAGTACCAAACTGTTTCGAAAAGTAATGACATTTCAAATAAATTGGTGACTCGAGCATAAAACCTATATCATGTTTTTAGGATTTTGAAATCATTGATAGACGAATGAACATAGGCATATTTATCCCTTTCTGCCTTCTTAAGTAGTCTTTCACTTACTCCTCTTGAATCTTTGCTTCCATCTGCCATAGTGAAAAAAAATAAAAATAAATTAAATGAGATAAGTAAAACATACACCCAAAGTAAGCATTAAAAGATCGTACCAAGGGAAGCCATGTAACTTTGGGAGTGGCTGTTTGCTTCTACGCAGCAAATAGCGAAGAAGTTTGAAGTTTATCATCACAAAAAGGTTCAATGTCTAAATTTGCAGAGACGAAATCTAGTCCTGTTTCCTTTTTTTACTTAGAACTTAAATTTTAGATTGGAATCGCCAGGCGTAATTACACAATGTTATTCTTATCGTATTTCAGTTTGCAGTGTAAACGTTCCAAATTGTGCCTCGTGTCTCGACCATAGAACATGCCATAGATGCCAGGATGGCTTTACTTTGCTTGAAAGTTATTGGGGTGCAAGCTGTGTAGAAAGCTGTCCAGACGACTTCACTGCGATACAGACTGAGGACAACGGTGTCATCTGTAGAACTACTGAAGGTAGAAACGTCATGATTTCATCAAATGACACTCTCAGGAAAACCCTTCTCTGAAAAAAATGTCAAGATAATCCTCTTTTATAACATTGCAAGTATCAAGCTGTAAGACACAAATCTCAAGGGTGGTTATTGAAACACACATCATCTTTTGGTTTGCGAACTCCGTATAGACCGTCTTCAATTTAGCCAAATGTTTTGTCTGAAATCTATATTTATGGCCATTGTCAAGACGGCCAATAGAGAGCATTTGAAAAAGAAACTTATTAAGCGAGAATTCTCGTGGTTCCTTTGTCTAAAACCGCGGCCCAAGTTAATCTTCATCCCAATAACCGACCCTAAAACTATAATAATTGGATTCATGAATTTTAGATCATAGAATATTAAAGGACGATGCATCTTCTTCCAAATCGTTTACTTGTACGAATGACCCAATTTTCTGTCTCTTGGTTATAAATAGGATGCAGTAGGATACCGCATTGTTCCCAGTGTGAGGAGCAGTTCGATGATATCTGCGACAGATGTGAAGACGGGTATCTACTTATGCAGCAAGGGACTGGTGCCAAGGTTCAATGCGTGGCTTCTTGTCCCGCGGGTTTCGTGAAACACGGGACCAAATGCAGGCCAGGTAAGCAATACAGTTGTTCGTCTTGAAATTCATTAAAGGTATATCTTCTACACTAGTATTAAGCAATAGTTCTATCAGCGATATTTTTAATCTTAACTTACAGAAATGTGCGAAGACTTCTTTTGTTCTCGTTGTAAAGATGGTTGGGTTCTACAGTACAAACAAGGAACAAAGTGTCTGTCCAACTGTCCATCAGGGTTCTTCAGAAAAGAAGACATGTACAGCGGTCAGCCTTACTGTGAAAGTAAGAAACATAATGCGTTGATTTAACCCTGATTTCTTAGTTACGTCTTGTTCTTAGGAAAGGCGGTTAGCTATAAATTAATTTGGGGTTTCTTCTGCAAAGGATTATTCCCCCCACCCCCCATACCCCCTACCCCCCACACGAGGAGGATGTTATGGGCTATATGCATGGAGAGGAAAATTGCTTTTGCAAGTCGCACGCCGTAATTTAATAGGTTAACGGATAGAAAAGTATATTATGAAAAATAATCTCTCTCTCTCTCTGTCCGGTCTAGTGTGCAGGGCGAATTGCAAAAGTTGTCAAGATTCTTACAATTGTGATGTTTGTGAAAGTGACTTTTACCTTATCAAGGATGTGTTTTCCAAGTGCTTACTTAGTTGTCCAGCTGGATTTCTTGCTGCTTATAGTTTGGAGTCTGGTAATGTGTGCAACAAAGGTAAGCGAGGAATAGGTTATTACCGAGATGGACCGCTTTATCTTAAGGCTTAATCCTTACTTCTCAATTTTACCTATAAATTCTTTAAATGATCTCTCACAGGAGATGAGTTCCAGTCGCTCGTGAATAATGTCATCTGTCCACATAACGAATTATAACAGGAGGAAATGCCTCAGTGTAAAAATTCGCTAAACGATATCGGCTTTTTCCTGATCCTCCACAGATTCCTCAAAACCAGAGTGATATTAAATCATCTTAAGAGATATTTATGTTTTGAATTAGGATTCTACGTGCACCGTGTCCACACTCCTCAAACCTGTCATCTCCTGCCGATACGTAAAAGGGTAAAAAAACGGTGAACAGCACTACTAAAACTATAACGAAATATAATATGAAATGAAATAATATATATATAATATAATACGATAAATATGCATTTCTATAAGCTTGAAGTTGATTTTGCATATATATACTTGGCCATACACATAAAAAAAATTAAAAACAGCGCCATTGCAGGTCACTTTCTTCTGTCTTATCAGAGGGTAACTAGTTGTTACCAACTCGGGACTAGAACTGAGTTTTCCCTTTGAAGTAGGAGATAGAGCAGCAAAATAAGATAGCTTGGCTGGTCTCTCTGAAATTAGTTTGTTGACATCAAAGACGCATTTAATAAGACTTCCCCCCTCCACAGCCAAAAATGAATAACGAAATAAATGATGTAATAGGTGTTTTACAAAGGTACCAGCACCTTAATGAAAAATATTCGACCTCTTCGCGCCTTTTGAAATTTATGTTTCTACTCGGATACTTAGACACACGTGGTTGCTTGGACGAAACTTGTTCGCACTGCCAGGATGGTTGGTACCGAGTTCGTATCAGGAGAGACTTTCATTGTCGACAAAAATGTCCTACAGGATATTTTGAGATTATGAGAGAGGGGAAACCAAAGCTTTGTGGACGTAAGTATTAACAACAATAATAACAACAACAAAGTTTGGCAGGAAAATATAAGCAAGATAATGACAAATGGGAAACAAAAAGGAATGGGATGGGTAGCTGCTTTGAAGGCTATTTCTTGTTACCTGTTAGACAGGTTTTTTCACACCGTACGTTAAATATTCTAACCGTACAAACATATCTTTCTCTTTCCTTAACTACATAACGTCAAAGCTTGATACTAATTTTTTGGATTTTTGTTTATGTTTTAAGGGTGCCCGTATAACTGTCAGAAATGCCTTAGTCGCCGAGAATGTAAGCAGTGTAAGGAGGGCCTTTTCAGTGTTGTGCGAGGTGGCAGACTGTATTGCGTTTGGCATTGTCCTCGAGGATACATTCCTCTGGAAGATGATGGGAAATCATGTGTGAGGGGTAAACCTAAATCCTTTTTCATTTTTTTCAATAAAGTTGTACCAAAAACTTCCTACCATTTTTTTCTTAAGCAGAAGCGCAGTATCTTCCGTATGTTTCTGGATACATATTATCGCTCTACAGTTTCCGATCAAATTTAAGGGGGGTTTCCCTTGAGGAACGTGTATTGGTTTGGAAGAACAAAATTTGCTTCAGTGCATCTATTCTAGAGATCACGTGGTGGAATAGATGACACCGTTTTAAAGGCCACTTTAGTTTGCCCAATGAACAGTCAATATGTGGTTTGCTTACTCAAACGTCGTTTAACTGACACCCTGACACGAAAACCAAATTTTACCGCCCCTTTGTGAACATTTAAAGGTGTCTGTTATATATTCCAATAGTATTTTTTACATTAGCGTGTTACTGGCATTTTTATTCTTGACAGGTTCTTTGATTTATCGCTTGAACAATTAATATGTAAGGTTTCAAAAGAAGGGGGGCGGGGGTAACATTTACCCCGGAAGCCCTTGGGAACCCACTTCCCCCCCACTACCCTCATCTGCGCTATTTTTGTAGTCATGTTGGTTTGACTTCGCTGTACTTCAAACCTTATACTTTTAGCACTTAATTTTCCTAATAAGATTTGTTTAATTTCAGCAAATGACGATATTTCTGGACGCTTATAAGCTGAAGGATTAAACAGTTTCAGTTATCACATGCATAGGAATTGTGGAACAACCTCCGTCTCTTTATTTGAAGATTTCATAAATGTAAAAAACGTTCTGCGATAGTTGGCTGTTTGGTTTTCTTACTGTTTTTATGTAACTCTTAAACAAACTTTTCACCCAGTTTGCCTCACGTTGAAAAGACACTATTACATCAAATGTTAATCGTCATGTGTTAACTGCTGTACTGCTTATCTTTGTCACACGATGAATCAAATAATTAAGAGTAACTACTTGAACGAGATGTGGCTCTTTTCTTAGTTCGCATCGGCTCATTTTGATCCTCACCATTATGTCGAGTTGTGTGCATTGTATAATAAGGATCGGAATGGACCATCATAACACAACTGAACACACCCCAACTCAGCGCAATGCACATGGTGACAATTCATTTAAAACTTCACTACCTGTCAGTCGAAATTTCCCCATTAAGCGACTAATTTTGATTCCCCATTGATAGAAAAAAAATGTGCTTATATTATTGTGGACAAGGTTAAAGATCTAAATCACGGGAGGGAATGCTGTAGTTCTCTTATGGTCCAACTTCTTTTGACCAACACCACAGATCTGCCTTGCTCTGGTTACATATGATAACGATCATCACGTTTTTCTGACATCATAGTTTTTGGAAAGACATACCGCCGCTCAGGAAAAAAGGCGAAAAAAGGAAAGAGCTTCTGTTCAAACCCACCACCAGTTTGTACAATTTATTTAACGGTTCATCCAACGTTCAGATATGGTTTTATCACAGTAGTCTGCACATAAGACTCGATGCAAGAATGAAATCCGTAAGTTTCAGAACTTCTTGACTCCCCGCCCTTATTACACAAGATTTGTGTGTTTTCTCAGTGCAGAAGCGGACAGTTTCTGTGTGCGTTACCAACCCTAAAGTGTGCACCAACAATATAAATATCAAGCTTGAAAACAAGAAATTCAGCACTGCTCCATTTCCTCCCTCTCGAACAACAATATATGACTTTGAAAAAGAACAGCGCTCTCTAATTCTTTCAGAAGGCGGCTGACCACAACGTCTCTCGCGTTTCTAACTTGCTGGTCATGTAAAGAAGAGGTACTTTTTTTCAAACTTACTTAATGCACGCGCCAAGGAAATTGAAACACGCACGTAAATTTTCTCAAATAGGAAGACAAGAATCTTCGCACTTGACACCGACCCGCCTTTTTGCACATTAAACAATTTTATGGAAATTGCTATTTTGTTTTGCACTTTCTTAAAGTGAAAGTTCCCGCACAACCAATTGCATTAATATCTTAGCTGAAGATCATGATGATGAATATCGTTATGCTTGATGCTTGACTTTACAGGCTTGGACATAGCGCGTTTTTAAGAATATCGAGACAATAAGGCCCGCAAACCATTCAAAAAGCGGTATTCCGCACAAAAGGCCAAGTACTCAGCCAAAGATGGCCATCATATCAAACTGGAAACAAAAAGCATTAATACTTACCAAACGAAAATTTTGGTAAGCAAGCGAAGAGTTTGAGATTCCCTGACTGTTTGGAAGTATTTTGTTGGTTAATAAACACTGCTATATCCATGGGTTTGAACACGACAAGCATCGATGAATCCATGTTGAGTCGCACCAGATTGAATTCATTATTGTCCTAACTTCAGATGAATTATTTATCTTTTTTATTGCCTTATCGGCAGTATCTAACCAGGCTGGCCCAGTTCAAATGGGACTGTAAATAGAGCGATGGAAGGAAGTCTTATTTTTAGGCAAGCAATTCTTACGTACTGACTCGACGCTTTCCAGTCAAACCCGTAGCTCTCAGAGTTTTTCTTTTATTTTTGGCAACTTTGTGCATGCAGTTAACTCAGTTAAGAGCCGCCATAAGTTATCAGACTAAACCAAACGGTTGTAGATTACAAACAGCGTTCAAGTTTTTCGATTGAGTTGGTAAGACGCTGGAACTGAAACAAAAATTCAAAACGAAGTTCAGGTGAGTTGGTGTACTGAGAAGGCTAGTCCATCCCGGTGTGAAACAAGTTTAAATGCGTCGCTGAAACCGATCAGTGAAACGGAATGCGCATGACTAAAACAGGACAATCAAGTTTAAGAAACAAAGCTGCTGATTAAAACTCATTGACCTTATCAAAACGTAAATAGAAAGATTATTCAAAAAATAGAACGTCAAAATGTTATTTGAAAAATCGTTTGTTGACTATCAGTCTATCTGGCTTGATCATGATAAAAACTGTGCACGTCATACTGGGGGTCTTTGCATCGGCAGAAAATTATTTTTCAAATTTATACACGTAAATGAACGAGTGAAAGTTTGTCTTTTGTGATAATATGCCAGCTGGACGACTGAAAAATAAATTAGCGAACAAAAGCGAAACATTATCAACATCAGAAATGAAAACAAAGGCAAAGGGAGATTTCCAACGCGGCAATCATCAAACGGTCGCTCTGTTTTTTAATTAACCAAAAGTGACTTTCAAAGCAGAACCAAGAAACACAATTTCCTAAGTTGGAAAAGGAGTATTCGTTATTTAGACCCACTTTTTAGTTTATTAACCAACCGAAAGGAAATTTTCTGGTTTCTAGCATACCCAAAACCCATAGGCACTCTCATTACGCAATCATGGACTAAAATGAATTTTAATATTTGTCCGTCTGTGGCTAAATAAACCATGCCATGAAAAACTGATGGTCCCGTATATTTCTACATTTTTAGATTTACACTATGGTGGTATATGAGCTGTGCATAAATCGTTTACTTTTCACTCATTCGAGAAAGGCACGTTTGCCATGAGGAAAATGATCAACTATCTTGTCTATCTTATGAGACACAAGTACTATATTCGTGGGAAGCTAAGCCGAACCCCACAGCTGAACAGAATCTGAAGAAGGAAAGTCACTCTAAACGGTATTATTATGTTTGTAGTTATCCGGTCGATCGATGGGAGGATGGCTATTCTTCTCTAAAACGGCGCATGCTTTCTCAAATGAGTGATATCTTTGATCTAGACCGGGAAATCTTTTCTTTTGTGCTGGGATTGTGTAAAGAGCAAAACCTAATTATGGTTATATTTCAGTTTGAAATTAGGTAAAGTATGAATTAAACTCAAAGGGAAAACAACGAGATTTGAATTGTATTCATGTGCAAATTCTAATAATTCAAATAACACAATTTTAGAACATTGGAAATAAGACAATCTACAGAATACGTGCATTAGAAACAAGGATCTATAACATTATTAAGATTTATTTCCTGTGAGTTACATAAATGGTGCTACGGAGAACACTTGAAAGTTTTCCTACCTATTCTCTTTCAAAATATCAAGAGTTGGTCCAACTTCATCTGAATAAATACGAATGAGACTCATGGACAATAGGTTAGATAAGGAATAAACGCAGCTTTTATCTGCCTGACTGACATAAAGACATTTAAGTCAATGATTTGTTCTTGGTTTTTCTACTCGACGTAATTTAATCCTTGATCCTTTGACCAATCAGACGTAAAAGGCTGTTAAGGAGGAAATAGAAAAGCAAATTTAATATTTTTTTCTGACACAACTGTTTGTTCCTAGTGAATCTTTGGCTTTTCATTTTAAATTGTCAACTGTTTACCAGCGGATCACTGAGTCAATGGCCAGTTATTTTTTTTAAATTACGAATCGACTTATTCATCACCTTTGTCAGAAAATCACAAGTTGACCATTAATTTAGAGTGACACTGAAACCGCTGACTTTGTTTCAGAACTTTTCGTCTTTAAAAAGGATTGCCCGCTTACTTGGGTCGCCACACTTCCTAAAACAACAAATTAAACACAAGTTGGCGCACAGCGAGTTGATTGTTACGTTTTTAAAATTATAGAGTACTGACAACAGTAAAAGAAAGAAAATTTATTTCGCAAGATTACGTAGTTACAGCAAGGAAAGACGAAACCTGTTTGTACCGCCCATAAACAGCTTCTAGATAATCGTCCAAAAGCCACACAGCTGACAGGTGTGTTTCTTTTAGAAAAACTGGTAATATCTTTAAACTACAAAGACAACCCTTGTGATAGATAGAAGAGAAAGTGACATGCCGAATACAACAGCAAACCATACGCGCGGATTTAATCCTATTCAACCATACGTTTGGTATTGGGTTTTGAGGGGAATCATTGCATTGTTAAGTATCACTGGGAATGGACTTGTCATCTACTTCGTTGTATCCAAACGACGCCTACGTGTAAGCAATAACTGGTTCGTGCTCTCCCTGGCAGTTGCCGATTTTTGGGTCGGTTTGTTTACAACGCCGAGTGAACTTGTTTGCACGCTTTACTATCGTTGCGATTGGCGTTTTCAGTTCTCATTTTACAACTTTCTTCTCCTTGCCTCTACGTTAAATTTGTGGGCAATGGCAATAGATAGATATGTTGGGATTGTACATTCTTTGCGTTACACATCACTCATGACAGGCAAAAGAGTTTTTGCAATGATAAGCATGGCGTGGGCAATCTCACTTATTGCGCCGTTTGCACGTCTAATTTGGTTGTTTAGTGATTCCCCTGCTCTGAAAAAGATCGACAAATACTATCGAGTTGCTCTTGATCTTTTCTTCGGCGTTTTCTCGTGTGTCGTACTGTTATTCATTTACATCCGTATATTGTTCATTTCTCGCAAACTCTCGAGACAAACAGCCTCACAAATGAAAGACATTAACTTCAATCACGGTCAGAGTGAAGATCGCGACATACAGAATATCTCATCAAAACGTCGTCGACGGCCTCGAAGAAATTCAACTTCAATTGCGGTTCTTGGATCAGTGATTTTCTTATTTGTTATGTGCTACAGTTTAAACATCTATATTTCTTTTTGTTCAAATTTTCAACTTCGCTCAGTAAGCACTTTTGTCGGTTTAATTTCTTTGTTATTGGTACACTGTAACTCGTGCGTTAATATAGTGGTGTATGCGTTCATGAAAAGTGATATTCGCAGAGAATTGAAGCGCTTGTGTCGATGTGGAAGCCCAAGAGATCTTCAGTCTCAGTCAAGAGAATTTTCTCTTAATCAAGCTGGAAATACGAGTGGTACGTTGTAACCTTTTAACTTATTATATCGTCACTCTTTTTTCGTAACAGTAAGTGTTATATCAATTTAGGATGGAAGATGTTTAGCATACTAATTTATAAAATAATTCAAATAGTACGCGCGCTCTGATTGGCCATAAAACCATTTTACATGGGCGTATGTAAACACGGTTTTCGTTCCTCTTTCATTAGTTATTTTATAAAAGAAATGTAAAATGGTTTCCGTGTTTACATGGCCTGATGTAAACACGGAAACCATTTTACATTTCTTCAGTAATTAAGGGGAAAAGTTTCTTAAGAAACTGTGGTGCTACGTCGATGGGGTAGAATAAAAACATAATTTGATTTTATCAACTGAGTTGATAATGTAAATTTGCCTCCATAAAGAGTTTCAAAGCTGACGTTTCCATTGAAAGCCCTTCTTCCTTTGCTCTGACTCAGAATTGGAAAAGGACTTGAATGCACAAGTATATTTGATCGTGATCCGCGTATAATTTTTTTAAAGAGGCGTATATGAAAAAAGAAAAAAAAACGATGAAAAATGGAGCTCGTATTTACACAACTCTGATCTTGTTCTTCATTTCTAGTTGACCTTCGTTAGTGCCTTGAGTAAATTGATATTTCTTTTCATGATGTCACATCATTGCAAACTTCTATCGGATATATATTATGTCACCCGAGTTAATCTTAAGACTGACAGGTTAAACAACGACCTTTAAGGACTAAAAACTTCGGGATGTGAACGACAGAGTGATGAACAGGATAATCTGAAACCGTAACACTTAATCATTAGCTTCTAATTTGCTTTCTTCGATCAGGAAAAAGAGTCATTTCCGCTGCGAGTTATGTTAGGATTATTTTCCATGCTATAAAGGTGGGACATAATGAATTGAAATGCAAATTCGCCTAAAAAAATTAGCAAGTTCAGCTGATTACTAAAGGTTATTTGATGCTAAGTTTCGGATCGATAGCCTCTTTTCATTCTAGCTCATTCTGCGGTTCATTTTTTAATCTTTTTGCTTAAATCGCATGAAAATTTGACTCCTCCTTTTCCATTTCGTTTGTTATGTGTAAAAGGAGTTTTCGTTCAGTCCAGTCAGCAGTTTCTCTTTTCTGTTTCTAATTGTACACTGACCTTCCCCTCTTTTTTGTTTACGCGAAATGCAAGTTAGCGCTCTCTTCTGTTTCCGAATTTAACACTGACCTACCCCCATGCTTTGTTGAAGTAACACATCCATGAAGAGGCTTTCAAAGTCAATTGTAAACTTCTATATTCCATACTTCTTTAGCTGGTCAACAAGGAATTTGTGTCCAGGTAAATAAGGATTACTCGATTAAATCATTATTTTCGGTATTCGTTTGTGGTTTACGATCAATACGGACCTTGTTGAGCACTGACAGACCGCCGAGATCTTCGTCACGCCGTAAAAACTTCAAAATACTCGAGCTTTGTAACAAAAGGTAGCTTTTGAATTACCACGGGTTGCCCTTCAAGATCCTTATTACATATAAGGCAACGCAGATGAACCAAAACCGAGCTAAACGGCCCTGAATCAGCCTGAAAAACTCACTGGGCACCAAAAAACAAAACCTTGAGCTGCGGAGGCTTATTGTGCGAGCTTGGGCTGCTTATGATGTCATTGGCAGTTTTGTAAAATCGCAGCCATATAGTATATCTCTATACTGCCATCGATGAATATAGGAAAGACTGAAAAGTTAAGAGAGTAACTTTACCTCTCTATTCCTTTTAGTCCGTAAATTATTTTCAATGAATGGGGAACAATTTACCTCGTCCGGAAACCAAACTACCGTCTCACACACTTCAACTTACCTAAACATCATTTCTATATTATCCTAAGGCTTGTCCTGTATAGTGTACTTGTTACTCCCGGAATCCATCATTATCCAGACCCAAATATTTGAAACGTTTCCGACGTGCAGTTTTTCCCGTGTTATTGTTAGTTTTTAAAAGTTTCGTTCTTGCAGTTCTCTTCAAAGTCATTGAATCTGAGAGTGTATCATCAACTGGTAACAAGCATATTTTCCTTGAATTTTTTCGAGGTTACATTACTTTAGTCCTTTGTCGATCTTACCTTGACCCTGATTGAGTGCCTCCATAACTCTGTTATGCTTTCGTCAAAACAACGCTGGTCTCAATACCTCGTTGTTCTCGCACTTTAAAGTATTGGACTTTCATCGAGAACACAATATCTCGTTGTCATAATAAATGAATAAGCGGTTGTGAAGCCTTCTGAGCATTGACATAGCTAACGAATAATTTCTTAAATGGAATTTTAGTCAAATCAGTTCCGGAAGAGGAAACTGAGGGAGGATGATGTCATGAATAAAAGTTGCCTATATTCAAATTTGACTATAACCCATCAGGACTCTCTAGAAGCCAATACCTGATCTTTATTACTTCGAAATCACTACGGTAGACTTTATGCTTTTAAAACTATCGAACGCAGAATAGTATAATACTAGTTTTTTCCTTATAGGAAACGAATAGGGAGTGATTTCCTGACACCTAAAAAAAATAAATGACTTCTAACATTTTTTTAAGAAGACCTCACGCAAACATGATATGATATGATAAGTAAGTTACGTGATAGCATCTCTCCTGAAAAGGGTTTTGTTTACATCGTTTATAGATTATACGTAACTTGGTGGTTTAATCAGTTCGACCAAATTACTATATTGCAACCGTGAGACTCGACAACGAGAGGAATAGGGAGTACATTGAAGCTACCAATCGTCGAAACTAATGAACTGAATGGTGGCAAAAACAACGAAGAGAGAAACCTGTGAAGCGACTTGAATGATGCTGAAAGCAAATGGACGAATTCTCAGACAGCTTTGACTGAAACGATATGATTAGACACCATCTTTGAGATAAAGAGCGTGGGCGTCAAAATTCTTTAATCATGGAAAACATTTCGCATTCAAGCAACGACTCAAATAATTTAGGACATGCTCTGATTGAGCCTCAAGAAATTTGGTATTGGACCATCAAGGTTATCATCGCTTTTCTAGCAATTGTGGGTAATGGCATCGTCATCTTCTTGATCGTTTCAAAACGGCGCCTACGCGTCACGAACAACTGGTTTGTGCTATCCTTGGCAATTGCGGACTTTTGCATTGGCTTGATAACAACGTCCACTGGAATCCTTTGTACGTTTGGATTTCAGTGCGACTGGCGATTACAAATTGGAGTGTACAACTTCCTGCTTTACACCTCCACACTAAACTTGTGGGCGATGGCTATCGACAGATATGTTGGAATTGTACATCCATTGCGTTACATGTCACTAATGACATTCAAGCGAGCTTCAGCGATGATAGCTATGTCTTGGTTCACCTCCTTTCTTGCCGCATTTGTCCGTTTGTTTTGGCTCTATGGTAGAGTCGACAAAACGATCGATAGGTACTATCGCATGGTAACTGATCTTTTATTCGGTGTTTTCTCGTGCGTGATGTTAGTGACTGTTTATGGGCGTATCTTTTACATCTGCCGAGAAAAACTCAGACAATCAACTACACAAATAGATCAAGTAATTTTTAATCACTCCTCAAGTGTTCCACAACGCCTTAAAAAGGCCAGAAGAAATGCATCAGCAGAAGTTCTAGGACTAGTGATTTTATTGTTTGTAATTTGTTACAGTCTTAATATCTGTGTTTCATTTTGCTCCAATTTTGATGTGTGCCACCTTAGTAGTCTTGTTGATACTATAGCTTTGTTGTTAGTGCACCTTAATTCTGCGGTGAATTTTGTTGTGTATGCCCTCATGAAGAAAGACATACGCAAAGAATTACAAAGGTTTTGGAGACCGATGAGATGTGATAATCCTGTTCATCTAACTGAATGCCGAGTTACCTTGGTTTAGAAAGAAAGACTGTAAGTTTATGTATATAGTATAAAACCAAACTCAAAACACATCAAAGCGGTCATTCGGTACAAAGGTAAATAATACAAACTCACTAACGAAAAAGGCCCGTGCTAAAAAAAACAGTTTACATGTTTACGGACTTGATCTGGATGTTTTAGCAAGAATTTCACCGCCAAAAATATTGCCAATTGAATAAGCTAAGATATTACAACAGACAAATGTTGGCAACAGAAAAAGGGCCACCGTAAGGTCATTTGAAATAAAAGTTGGGCGTAGTGTCTAAAACGGAGACCGGCTCAGAAACTACGCCCACCTTTTATTCAAATTACCTTACACTGACCCTTTGTTGTGACAAAAAAAAAAAGGTTCGCCACTTTGCTAAACGTTATTGTTATAACATTTACATACATTTATTGAACACATCCCCATCTGGGGCTTTTCAGTGAACAAATTGGATTACAAAATTAAAATACATGCAATATAATACGAATTATATATCTTTAAATAAATTATGGTCAGTTTAAAAATTCATTCAAAAGGTCATTTTTTAGAGCTCTCCTAAAGGAAGCGGGACTCTTACATAATTTAAGGCTTGGATCTAACTTGTTCCAGATAGATACACTTTAGTAATAAACGTTTTCTGTCTTGTTGCAGTTTTAAAAGAGGAGTGATTAGTCGTTGAAAGTTTCTGGTTATACGTCCAGATACGCGCTGCCTCTTGTTATATAAATAGATGTAAAGTATTCCGGGGCTTGACCCGTCATGCATTTAAATGTTAAAGCAGCATCTCGGCGATACAGTTGTGTTTTTACAGGGAGCCAACGTAAGTTTCTTAATACAGGAGAGATATAGTCATACTTCTTTACGTTGCAGATCTAATTCGCGCGGCTAAGTTTTGAACGTAATGCAATTTACGAATATCACAGACTGAGGCTGATGACCACACTGATGAACAGTAATATAGTTTACTGAAAACAAGCGCGTTTATTATGGTTTCAAGCAGTTGTTCATCGAAAACGAATCTAATACGGCTTATTTGAGATAATTTCGACATGCAAGACGATACTACAGTAGAAATATGACTATCAAAAGATAGCGTGGGGTCAAAAATTACGCTAACGTCTTTGACTGATTGAGCCGGGTTAATGTCATTTCCTAGTAAGGATAATTTCAGAAAGTCCAATAATTTCGAAGACATTCCTCGGAAGACATTCCCTTTGCGCGAGTCGAACTTCCCGTTTGACTTCACGCCTAAAATTCCGATAGCCTGACCCAATAGCCGGGTCGTTTGTTTGTCTAGCTAGTCGTTGTCAGCAATCTCTTGTCCTCATCAAGCTGCGAATGTTGTAATTAATAAACGAATTTGGTCTCGCTCTTTGTCTAATAATTTTGACGGGTCCACGTTGATCAAGGATTTGATGAAATAATGAATTAAAGGTGTCGAGTTTGCCTTCGTTATCTTCGAATATGTCGAATATAGACCAAGGGGCACTTGATATGTCAGCCAAAAATGCATCTTTTTTAAAGTTTTTGAAGCTTCTAGGGGATATATACGTAGGCTTTGGGCGAGGTTTCTTGAGATTCAGTGATGCAACAATGAGATCGTGATCGCTTATCGAGTTTCCTAAGACACTTGTTTTACTGATGAGGTTTTTGTTGGAGGCAAGTTATTACTCGCGCGCAAGGAGTAACTACAAACTCTCTTGCTACAAACTAAAAAAACTATCGAAACATGTTTTTAAAAGTGTCTTTTATTTTCTTAAATTCGTTACAAATCTGCTGCTGTCCATACCTTTTGTTCTCTAGTTCTAAAAAAAACGAATTTGAATTTTAGTATTCCTTTTTTTTATTTTTCATAGGAAAATGGAAGAAAAACAACAAGGCGTTTTTACGTTTCTATCTCTAAGAAATAGAAATGGTGGCCCACGCAGGTCTTTTTGATACAAAGGCTTTGTCCGCTTGTTTCAGACACCTGAGTCGGCTTTTTGACGGTTCCCGTGTTAGATTTCGGACACTTGCGTTCATTTTTGGGCGATTCCGTCGGTTCTGATCGACTTCGGACTTAAACGTCCGTTCTCACACGTTTCCATCCGATTTCCAACACTTGTGTCCGCTTTTCAACGGCTCCCTCAGGCTCTGTAAACCGTGCGGGGATAATAGACTGGGTACAAACAAGGGAAATCCAACATGGCGGCATGTTTGGAGAAGAGTGCTGGAAAATTACTCACTTTTATTATGACTTCAAAACTTGAAAGAGAACGCTCCTTAAGCTTCTCTTTAGTTGGAAATTATGTTTTTCTTCGGTCTGGTCATATATGTATGAAGGAATGGTCACAGGAATGTACAACCAGACAAGGACTTGAAAGAGTTCATGCGAACTCACATCCTGAATGGCACAGGTACATGTAGTAAACAGCTAATGATAGGTTAAGTGAACCTCAAATTACATATTACCTCACAGTTCATTTTACTGTACAGCACACTGTTTAAATTATTCGATTATAATTAAGTGCCTTATCAAGCTAATCAAAGCCTTAGTCAATGCGGGAATTCAAATATTTCCAAGGAAGCTTTGCTCGATCCCGTGTCTATTCTTTTACAAAAAGTAAAAATTCGTAGTTATATAAAACTACGTACATGAAATACCTTAAAAAGAACCCATTTTAGCTAGTTAACCATTTCTATCCATGTCAACTGAATAATGTCAAGATCTTTAAAAACAGACTCCTTTTTTCGAGCAATTTGGTGAACATCAATCAATGATTTGACAAATATTGAAACAAGAAGCAAATCCGGTTTCCAATGAAAAATTTGCATACGAGTCAGAACAAAACGTAGTAGCAACAGGTAACCTTACTGTAACACAGCACCATAAAAATAAGCAAGTAAAACTAATTAGTGTTTATATAAATGTGGATATGAATGAACCAGTTTTCAAGAACAGCATGTTCACCGATGATAAAAGCTATAAAATAAGCATTCGTGCTTGGGTTTAATTTGCATCCAGAAGGTGACAACTGGTTACAAATGGGCGATTTAGCTAATTCTACCAAGTTATAAACACACTGAGGATAAATATATTTTTAACAAATTCCCATCCCATTGTGATGAATGTTTTATTGTACAAAGTGAGAAATAGCTATTTTTATTAAAAAATTCCACTGGAAAATGATAAATCATTTATATATTTTGATTACTAAGTCACATTGGTAACAGCATATCGGGAAGGTCAGTTAAAATAGTGATTGAAACAAACAAGTTTGCTTGTTGTTGGTAGTTGTGTAGTATTTTAGTGCTATAATACATTGTAGCCTTTACACCCTAACATCAGTATGAATATTCTCCTTACTGTTCTCTCTACATTTCCTAATGTGCTTACAAGGAGAATTTGTGTAACAATCGAGAGGTTCTTCAGTTAATTGTCATTTCCTTTATGCTCATGATTTTGATGTTTGATTCATAGGTGATATTAAAATGAAAAATTAGATGCTGATAACTCTCAGGGATTAAAGGGTTAAAATGATAAACTGCCAAAAATAGAAAACAAAAGGACTATCTCATACATACTAGAGAGGCAGATGTTTCAAGCATACACATGCAAGTGCGATTTTTTGATGCACACAATTTTTAAAATTTGCAATCGCATGCAATTTTTGGTGCATTTTATTCACATTTTTTGGTTGATACATAAGCAAGCAGTAATTGCACACAGGCCTGAATTTTTTTCAGATCTTGTTTTCACTACTGCTTGAGTAGTATTCATTACTGTGGAGATTGCTTTTAATTATTCACTTCTTTATCTGCAGTTCACATGTATGATTTCATAATGATGTTCTTTACTGATTGTTGTTGTCATTTGATGTTTTTTCTTTTTTTGTATTTTAATTGAAAAACTGAATGGTATGGTAGCTATATTCACTAGCTGACTCTTAAGGCACACTGTTATCACTAGGCTCTTAACTAATTTATTCAAAACACAAGTGATTTCACACATAGTTATTTCATGACTCTAATAAACACTCAACCACCTGAAAATACAGTTGTGTGATTTTGTCAGTGTTCTATATGCTGTGAAAGGTAAGTTTTCCTTTCAGTTTTATCAACCCGAATCCTTAATGCTTTTTTCGGTTGAGTGATTTGCTACATCACCTACCAGAATGATGCCTATGCATTGGTCATGGAGTATGGCTTGACTAGATTGAATTTTTGCCAAGACTTTCTTCCACCACAGGATGTAGTCCTGAAGGAAATTGTTTATCCCAACTTAATTGGACAACATTTTCTCCAGGATCATGAAAGCAAAAGTCTCCTGCTTGTAAAATGTGGTAACATTATCAGTAGGTATCTTTATGTTCAAGGCAAGGATGGGAAAGGTTTCATCACCTTTTAAGACACTCCTTATGATTACGATTAGTAAATATTTTAAACTAGCTGTTCAGTGTATTTCATACTCAATCATCAAATGTAATGTGAAATGTCTGTCCAAATTTAATCTGTTAATACCATTATTCTAGTGGAAAAATTACCTTTAGCAAGCAACTGTGTTAGTATTGTGTTATCAGGTCTTAAATTTGTGCACTATAGAAGCTTACTTGACCTTATGACCCCCTTTTGGAGGTAGGATTTTTGATATTACATGTGCCAGGTTTTAAGCCATATGCATCATGCTCTGTTGTGTAAAGAACAGAATATGCATTCCAAGTTACTCAGGAATGTACTGGGGATAAACTTGATGAAATCTTGTCAAGAACATTTTAAATTTTTACTGATCTTAAAAATATGATTCTTACCAAACTCTTAGACAAACTTAAAACTTTTGTAAAGATTCTTACAAGATTGTTCAAAACACTAGTCTAGAGTCAAACTGTTACTTGTCCTTGAGGATTTCCATATCCATTTGATCTTTCCAAACCAAAGCAAAAAGTTTGCTATCTTTAGAAAGAGACCAAGCATGTAGCAGCCAATTGTTATGAATATGACAGGAGCAACAAAAAATAAACTGGAGATATGAATACTTGACAAATGCAAAATTTGTGGTTCACCCGTCCATCAGCATGAAGTTTTTTACTTATATTCTAAGAACAAAGTCGTATATCGAAAGGCAATCTATTGTTATTCCCATTCTGTTTTCTCTTTTCAGAGAACAGAGAGCATAAGCAAGTATGTGGTTTTACGGAGATCTTACCAAAAGTCACGGTTGAGCAGTCATCACTGGACCTCCTCTTCATGCAGAGACCGGATTGTGGCGAGCCCCTCGTGGAGGACATCCCTCAAAAAATGAAAAAGTTTGATCGAAGTCAGTAGACGGTTTGAGATGTGTAACCGAGAGTTATTGAAAGACGAGAAGAGTTTTCAAAATAGAAAAATGGAAGAAATATTACGATTCTCTTCCACGAGACTTGGCAAATATTGATGTTGTTGTAAGGAACTGCGTCCGTCGTCTTGGAGGTCTGCTTGCGTATTTAAATTCTTCTTTTTATCTGGCAAGGCAATGCAGCTCAGTTTATTCCTATGGGAAAAGAGTGTCGATGAAGACTTTCCTTCGGACGATCAACTCCGACTGAATGTTGTTAACCCTTTCACCCCCAAGATCTCATTAGTAATTCTCCTTATTGTCTGCCATACAGCTCTTATGGCGTTAGTTCAGAGAATTTAGTATTGGATCAACTAAAAATCCCATAATTGATATTTTTCTTTATTCTCATCACCTGCCTGCTTGATATTGTATTGATATTGTAAGGAGAAATTCTGTCTTGGTCACTTGTGGGAGTGAAAGGGTTAGTATAACAAGTTAATTGGGTTTTCTCAAGCTAACGTTTCAAGCGTTAGCCCTTTTTCACTCTAACGAAGGGTTGACGTTCGAAAGGTCAATTTTCAAACTCTTTACGGTGGCCAATTTACGTAATATCAACTCAGTTGATAAACCAAATTACCTTGTTATACTCTTCCACCGACGCAGCACCAGTTTCTTTAGAAACTTACCCCCTTATATTAGAACGCTTATCATCTTCAATACTAAATCCGCTTCCCCATTTATTCATTTGTTCTTTATATAAGATCGTTTGATCAAGAATGGAAGAAAAAGACTGGAACATTTTCGCGGCGTTTTGTGGCCACAATAGGTACGTAGCTTCGAAATAAATGATTTGATTTGTACTAAGGAGACTTGAATACGGATATGGGCGCATTGAGGGTGGGGGATGGGGGGGTGTTTAGGGGGGCTAACTCACTTCAGGCTCGTATCGAGCCATATTTTTACGTCATTAGTCCGTTTTTATCCAAATCCCATGCAGATTTTGTGAAGTTTTATTTTCTCAAGTTGCAAAATACAGCTCAGTTTTCCTTTATCTTTAACGTATTTCTTCGACATATTGAAGATTGAAATACTGTATAATACCTTTTAATCGAAACACCAAGAGAAACGAAAGACAGATAGACATTACAGATAGTTCAAGTAATCAGGTTGTAAATGATTGATTTTTTTTGGTAAGTTCAAGTTCAACAGAGTTCGATGAAGTATTCCTTCAATTCCTCTTTGTTGAACTCAGCTGAATCGAGATGAAAATCATCCTATTGCTAGTTATCCTGTGTCTTTTTAAAATTTAACGAAAGTTAACGAAGGGCCCTCCGATGGCTATCCGTCGGAAAACTGATTTGAATCACAAATAATTTTGAAACATCAATATTCATATTTGAGATTATTCTTGCACGTGGAAAGACTCTTACGAAGTTAAAGAAATGTCAGTGTCTCTTTTAGCTTCTCTGTGGCCGGGAAATGCGTCATTTCAACCCAAATATCTTGCATATCGTCCATTCTGCCAAGGCGTCGATGAGAGTGTTTCTTCGAGTCTGCTGAAGCGAGTGGTTTGAATTCGACGACGAAGAAGGATGGATGAATGTCCTTTTGTCACAACTTTTCTCAAGGTGAATAACTTTTGTACCAGTACTTTTTGGATAGAAATATAGCGTTCGTGTTTCCTTTTGTTGCACTGGTAAAATTAATATCTAAGGGTTAAATGTAAAAAGGAAGAGCATGTTCAGTTCAGTTTAAGTCAAATCTTCAGAAGTAGCCGCCATGACAGTTCTTGAGAGGACCTGTCGTTTAATTGTTTGATCGCTCAATATCTTACATTTTTTTTTACCTCTTCACTTATATTTATGCTGTATACAGTTTCCTTCACATCAGTATATTTAACGTTAGATTTGTTCTAACGCACCTGAAATTACCCCTGCTTCCAAAACCCGTCAAAGAAAAGAGAGTCGAGCTGTCTATAATATTTGACTCTGGATCTTGGTTGTGCTAACCCTTGTTATTTTTTAAGTTGGGTGCCAGGAGTCAAATTTAGCTTAGCGATCCTTGTTTTATGCCACAGAGCATTTACCAAGAGATGGAAATGAAATTTCATGTTGACTTTGTTCAATTAGGGACATGAAAATTGTCAATCGCAAATCTGATGGCTTTAATGGTCTCGACATTGATCCTCATCATTAACATTAAAAAAAGTTATTACCTTAAAATAGGTATGCAGGTTTCTAAAACACAAATTTCTCTCATCAGGACAGCGTTAGGCACGGAATGAGGCTGTCACCAAATCAAGGCTAAATCGAATTGAATTCAAGGGAGGAAAGGAAGACAAGGCAACTTACTAAAACGTGAGTTACTTGCTCGTTTGATTGTTTTGACGAATGAGCTATCAGCGCATTCAAGTCTGGTCTGCTGGTCTGTAATTCACGTTTCATCCTGGGTTTATCGAAATGTCTGCAAATAAAATATACCCAGAGTAAAAAAATTGAGGAAAACTACAAACAAAGAAATGAGTTAGTTTTCTTTAATGCATGTTTTATTTCCGGTGAGTTTCTCTTTGATCGAGGTGATTTTCAGTCATTAGGTAAAGTAGTCAATACTCCCTTGTTGTTTTTGTTGATGATAAAATACTAGAGTCTAAAAGTCTAAAATCTCAGTAATTGTAAAGCTCTTACAGTTAAAACCAAATTCAGCATATTTCAAAGTCGTTGCTTCTTAAACGTTTGTTAAGGATTGATATAAGGTCTCTAAAATGTTTGATGCTCCCACGATTTCTTTTCAAAATTAGATATTGGGTACTTTATTTCCGTAAAAACCTTGAGTCTAACTTTCTTATTCTGTAATAACTGCTATATTTCAATTTTTTTCGTGTTCTATTTTAAACCCCCGATAAGTTTGATGGTTTTTGGACAAAATTACAACCATTTACCTCATCCAATAAAACCTTTGAAGTTCAATTTTCAAGTGTCTAGCCTTTCAAGTTCAGACGTCAGGTTTTAAGCCTTTGTAGCTAAAACTAAAGAAAATAGCATGCTCAAGAAAAAGATGCTTTGTTCGCAAATATTTATTACATTTAATTTTATTACATTTAATCATTAGCTTATGAGATTTACAGAATTTAAAGAAATTCTCGAAAGTTAACTTCTAAAATCTCAGTTATTGAGGCCAAAACCAATTTAAGGAGACTCCATAGGGTTTTTGTTCAATGTTGGCGCGCGTCAGCGCAATATTTTTCTAAAAAATTTTTATGTTTTCGCATTTCAAGGTTACTAAAAGCTATGAAAAGGCAACGAGCAAGGTTCGAACTATCGTTTGCTGTTGTAAATATTATCAAAATGATTTACGTTATCAAGCTATGGCTCTACGAAGGGGGCCGCTCGCCAGCGATAATTTGGCTTTGCCTTTGATTTTCTACGATTCACTTCGGTGAAATCTCTCACAATTTTTAAAATTTTTCACAATTTATGAAAACTTTCCTTCCGATAATTTAAAAGCCGAAAAAAATAGCGGTTCCAAAGGCAGTTTCCTCGCTATTTGCAATTTTGTGTCTTCTTCCTCTATTTCAAAAGCTGTCTTGTGAACTTTTTCGTAAACAGGCACTCGGAAGGGCAAAAATTTGTATAGCAGTCCAGCAATTCTTAGGGAAACGCGATAACTCTTACTCGAAAGATCTTTGTCGCAAAACATTACGTAATGGAATAGAACTTTGCCAAGATCGATATCTAAGCATGCGTAGACTATCGAATCTGTCACCTTTACGCGAATATTCTTTTTATTCTCTAAAACCATTTAGTATTTAGTAAGGAATTCGAACATAGATGCAGCCTACAGTAGTTTGTTATTGTGGCCAAAAACCAAATAAAAACAGTTGCCTCTCCAAAACTGATTCAGTGCACGTTGGGGCTCAGAGGTTCATCTTCAGTCTTAGTTAAATGAAATTATTTGATGTATTTCAGTCTACTATCTTGTGCGACAACCTAAAAGCCTGATTGAATAGAGAAGTATGATTGAATTGAAGTAGTATTTAGAAGTATCGGGTAGTTACTCGATGAAGGTGGCTCCAAGGAGTTTTAGTCCGATTATGGCGCGCGTGCCAGCGATGTGTTTTCAAGGAGAAAAAAAAGGCAGGCTATTGTTATCTTTAGTTAATACTAATATGAAGGTTTTCGTTATTATGCTAAAACGCTACAGAGGAAGGTGTTCACTAGTGGTAATTTTGGCTTTGATTTTATTTTTTTTCCAATTTTCATCCTTGAAATCTTACACAGTTCACAAATATGAAATTTGTCCAGAGTCCAAAAAAAATAGGCGGGGTTACAAAGGCAGTATCTTCGCTTTTTGCAAATATTTGTTTGCTGCCCCTCCCCCCCCCTCCACAGAATTTCCCCCATGAATTCGTTTTCATTAATTTGCAATAGGAAAGGCACAAATGTGTAAAACTCTCCATCAAATCTCAGGAAAATCTACCGAAGGAAACGCTATGAGAGAACTCCAAAACGTTACGTCATAAAGATCGATACCTGAACATGCGTAAAGTTTCGAACCTGTCTCCTTTTCGTAATCTTTCCCTCGGTTTTCTATTTAGTCGACCTTTCTTTTTAGGCCTATGGATGTTATGGGAATCGTTGTGAAACTTTAGGGTTCATTATGAAAAAAAAAAACCAGATTGTTTTATACACCTTTTTACAAAACAATTGTGCGATCGTATCGAGCCGCCATGTTTTTTTTGCTGGTTTTGCTTCTTGGCATTTTTAAAGCGCGCGCTTTGTTTGCCTCCAGATTTTGTGCGATTAAAAACCCTAGGGAGCCTTTTGTGCTTATTTCAAAACTATATTTGTTAAAAGTCAGACATCAATTACGGCAAATCATTTTGTAAATATTATGTGACACATACACTTGTTTAAAATTCCACCGTCTCGTTAACTTTCTAAGGATAGCGAAGTTTACCTAGTTGCGCCGTACATGTTTAATTTTTTTTTTAATTTTAATCTAATTTTATTTTATTTTATTTAACTTTCTTTAATCGTCGAATCAAGGCCGCACCCTTCCTAAGGCAAAATTGCTTATTACAATCCGGTTCTGTAGTATCGCCTATTCACTGTGAACTAAAAGCGTGATCTGTATCCTGCCACCTCGATCACATTGTTACATCGCGTTGCCAAGTAACAGTTTGACAAAAAAGAGAAGTCAGTCTTACTGTCATTGAAATATTACTCACAATTTTCAGGTACAGCAAGCTTGCGATAATTTTTGGATTCTGCGACCGTTTTTCTTTTCTTAATCGTAAATGTAAGGAAGAGCACAGTTTTTCGTAGCTTGAAATAGTTTTTGAACGGACGAAACAAGCGCTAAGAAATATAATTATAAATTGTAATTGAAAATCAAATCGCATAATTAGTATTTACATTCCGGCATGATGATCTCAGAGGAATAGCTAGCAAACAGTTAGAGAGTTATTACTGGAATGTAAGAAGTTTAACCTGTTTACTAAGAGATTGTGAACTGTTTATATATTTGTCCTGTTTACTCAAACATGAAGAACTCAATGTCTGAACGCAAGTATGAAACCTAATTTAATTTCAACAATAGATGAGAACATTTATCGGCTGAAATATTGAATATATCGGTAAATTCGAGTCGCGTTCACTTTGTCTTTCCTTTACGGAGCGCTTCAACACCGGAGGTTTTAAACGTTGATTTATAATTATTGTACATTGCTAATGGTTTAAACGTTGATGTGTCTATGAGCGACCCACACTAAATCATCACGGCTTGGAAAAATTTAATTATAGTTTCATTTTTTAATTTATCGATTTATTTTGTTTACTTGCAGGTCGACAGATGCACGAATAGAAAACAAGAAAAGGCTGTAAGACAATATTTATCCAGAGGTAGAAAACAAATGTAGCCCATTTCTTCCAAGATGCAGCGAGTCAACTAAGAGACATTCACCAAAGTCGACGACTTGAAGCCAAACGTGAGCAAATGGTGTGACGCGATTTTGTTGGACTTTGAAATTTTATTTGTCGGCCTAATATCCATGGCATGGACTGCTTAAAAATTTTTAATTTTCCCGCCAAAAAACTTAGAAAAAATACGGGTACCTTTAACTACGCATGCGCCAATTTTTTATTTAGTCTGTAACTAACATCTGTTCAGATGTGGCTTATTTTCCCGCCAAAAGACTTAGAAAAATCGGCGCCTAAAAATACGCATGCGCCATTTTTTTTTTTTTGTTGATCGAAGTTGTACACAAGCGAATATAGTTAAGTTAATAAACTTCATCTTTATTTCCACTTTGTCTTCCTTTTCACTCAATAAGCTAAGCTACGAAACATTCATATTCAGCAAAGCTTTTATTTGTTTTAAATTCTCTCTAATTACAAGTTAATTTTCAATTAAATGATGAAAAGGTGTCAAGAAAAATTTTTTTGTACATATATACTAAGACTTTTGGCGGGAAAATTTGGGCCAATTTGCACAGAATTTCCCCTGTCATCATTTTCGGCAAAAATTTTAACAAGACTTCCTTTAAAATTTCCCGTGCAAAAAAAAAATAGAGGTAAACGCCAATTTTTCTACTTGTAAAAAACAAATCAACACAGTTCAAAAAATTTCATTTCTTTCAAAAGAAATTCTGACTCAACGATGTCTTCCCTTGCCTTTTTGATCTACGATTCTTTGCACGAGATGATGTATGGAAGTTGTAAACGAAAAAGCATCTTGGCAAGCTATAGAGAGCCCAATCAGAACTGGATATTCCAATCAAATTTATATGCCAGTTCATACCAACCAATTTTTTTTTAAGCCTAAAGCTTGCCATAAAACTTTTTCGGAGAAAAATATCCATCTCTAAAGCCGACGAATGTAACACAGGACACAGGTTGGAAAAGGATGAGATACATTTATCCAAGATTTTAAACTAAACTTGCGAAGCAATGCGAAAAATCAAAATAGTTTTCAAGTTTTGTAGCAAACTCTTTGAATTTGATTTCAGCCGTCAAGGCTCAGACAACTCACAATTGGGCTCCAAGTTTCTTAAACTAAATTCGCCTTAAAGTCTTAATTTTATTTTAGTCACAAGAGCGAGACAAATGACAATTAAGCTTCATTTTTGGTACGATTACAGCAAATTTTTCCACCTTTTCAGTTTCTGTCTTATTGCAATAGTAAACTTGATTGTAAGATGAAACTACAATGTTTGGCAATGTTATTTTTTTCCTGTATTCCTGCGTTACACTGAGCGACGGCCCATAAGATCTTTCTCCCACTTAAAATAAGGAGTAAATGATTTAGTTAATTAACTATTTTAAAACCAAATGCCTGGTCGGAAGAGCAAAAAGTCGACCATCACGATATATGAATTAAAAAGGTACTAGTTTTTTATCACAAGGACACAAAACTGAAACGTGAATTTGGACATAACTACTTTGCATTTTTGTTTCGCACTTCGGTGTGATATAATCAACTAGCTTTGTACAAAGATGTCAATTTATTTATTAGAATGTCTACATTCGTATGTTCTACAGTTCCATGTTATTCTTCATCATTAGAGAAAACACAACACAACTCTCTTGGTTCGGCAAATCATTGAATTAAACCGGCAATCGTGTAATTTGCTTTTCTGATTTGCACGTTTGTCCGGTAAAAATAAACTTAGCTGACTGAAATTTCAAACGGTTGAGAGCAAAGTAATAGCAAGGTTTATTCAATTTTCTTGTTCTTCCTAATGTTTTTCAATAGTTGTCTTCATTGTTTATTTTTCAAAACATAGGTTCCTATGTTCGCGTTGATTTTCGTCCGAACTGTAAAACTGTTTTTCAACTCTTTGGAAAATAATTTTCCTTCGTTCTTTTCATCGAATGAATGAATTCTCAAAATATGAAAACATACATTTCTTTGTCAATTTGTACTGGTCTAAATAATGGTAAATTTCTATTAGATCTGTTTCTCGAAAAAACTCTGCAGCATTTCTACCGAATAAAATCTACTCGAAAATGGAAACCGAAAAATTTCTTGGTCATGTACCAAACGGTAAATCAAATCTATCGAAATATGAAAACCTCTATATTTCTTCGTCAGTTTACACTGGTCTGCACTACAGTAAATTCCAGTTTTACTTGTTTATAAAAAAAGGTTCCGAGGTATTTCTTTCGATTGACATTAACTCGAGATATTGAAACCTACATTTCTGCCTCTACCTATGTTGATCTATGTAACGGTAAATTTCGATTTGACCATCCGATTCTAGAAAAAAGCTCTACTGCATTTCAATCGAATTATTATTATTTCCATTTAAAAACCTACATTCTTCGTCAATTTTTACTGGTCCCCATAGCTGCAAATTTGTTTTTGATCTGTGTCTAGAAAAAAAGGCTCTAATCGAAGTATGAAAACCAACATTTCTTCGTCAATTGATACTGGTAAAAATAGAGATAAATTTCGATTTTTTCTGACTCTAAGAAAAGCTCTACAGCATTTCAATCGGATGGATTTTATGCGAAATATTGACCTATATTTCGTTATCAATTTACATGTATGCTGGTCTATATAACAGAATATTCAATCAATTTAGTCAGTTTCTTAATAAAGCTCTTGAACAGGCATTTGAGTTTTAAATGTTACTTCTCCATTAAGACCAACTTCAGTTGATTACACAAAGTAGTGAACATGTTAAGATGGCACTGTACAAGAATTTTTCTTTATGTATAACAAACAAATACTTATTTTAAAAGAAAAAGCCATACCGAGAATAAAATTTTCTATTAGATCAATATGTTTTTGGAAAACGTTTATTCATGGTGGCATTTTTTGAGGAAATCGTTTGCACGATTTTGCACCCGAAAAGAAATGTTGATTGGCGTGAACGGAAATAGTCATCGAGTCAAGTGCTTTTTTGTTTAGAAGTCGAAAACTACTGATTAGTCTGTTTTGCAATAATTTAAATGGATGTCAGACGAAATTGGCGTTCGTCAGTTGATCAGCTGACAAGTTTAGAGCGTTCTTGTTTGGCTTTTAAGTCGTTTGTAAGTTGCTGGTAATTGTTGTCTCCTGTCGATGGCAGTCTCTCTTCTTAGTTTGTTAACCAGCTTTTCAAAGTCAGTCGGTGAAAATAGTGTAATATTGGTTGAATATCAAGCAACGTACCAGTCAAGGGTGTGGTTTGTTTGTTTTGTCTCTTCCGAAATGAGATTTTAAAACAGGTAAGATGAATTTAAATATTCAAGAACTTTGAAGCTGATTTGGTTTTTCTCCAGGGTCTTCTTTTGTTAGAGTGCCACCTCAACAAGTATCACCTTATTGCGACATCAACTAGTATATAACTGTGATTCGAAGTGTTACGCAATGTCATGAGGGATTAAAACTTGGAAATTTACGATTTCAGTTAATGCTTTCTGTGGCCAGGTTTTAAATCAATTCCTAATTGCTATTTAAGTTAATTCGATGGAATGGAATCATCTGAGATAAATTCCACCCAATTATAGCTTGCAGTTCCAAGTTCCGCTCAAAGTTTGCGTGACAATCCGCACCATAACAAGCTATTCCAAAAATTGTGGCTTTGAAAACTTTCACTTACCGGTAACCAGGTTTACTCCTGCATTAGAGACTCGCAATGAAAGAATAGAGACTTCTTAGAAAAGTAGGACATATAAAGAGCCACCATTTTTGCTACTGTTACTCAATAATTACAAAATTCTTATCTTTCCGGTATCCACTAATAATTCAGTAATTCCGGTGTATCCTTTTGACAAGAATCTCTGTCCGTCCATCGTTTCGACAACTTTGCTTCTCCTGAAAATATAAATTATGATTATGATCAGGGAATGCTAACTGTCTCAGAACGAAGACGCTCAATCTTGGGACCTTAAAATTTTAAGTTCCATAATTTTTTCGCACATAGAGCGCATCTAAAGGGAAAAAGGCCAAAACTTTTAAGAAATATAATGTTGAACGAAGCGAAAGCCACCGAGTTATTTAAAGAACAGTTGTCACCTATTCACGTGGCCATCTTCAACTTCAAAATGCCCTCCTTGAAATCTATTTCACTGATTCACTAAAAGATAGCCATGAATTTCTCTGGACAAATTTTACAATCATAGTTTCTGCTTTTCTCGAAGCCAACACCCTAACTCAATCAGACTTTAAATTGGAGAGCCGCTCAGACAAAGCAACCGACTTCTGTTTAGTCGTTTTAACTAGATACGACAAAATTAAGCTCTCTGAAGGAATTCGGAACAATATTTTCACGAATAAATACTCACTTTGTATTGTCAGTAACTACTGAGTGCTTCTGTTACTCTTCTGTAATGGCCCAAAGTCTTCTTTCTAGTGTGGAACTTTATTTTCAGTACTTCGGAAGGTACGTCTACACTCTTCCACAGACGGCGTGGTTTGCTGAAAATTCTTCAACTCCTGATGAATATGGATAAGCACGTGCAGCCAATGATTGACTGATGCGTCACTGATCTGGTGCAAAAGAACGAGAGGCTTAATGTGAAATTAATTTGCATATGAGAAGATGGAAAAAAAAAGCGTCATTAATTGCACTGTATAGAGTTATCTAGGGTATTAAAAGAAACTATGGCGAAAATAATGGTTTAACTATGGCGCTAATGCTTTGTCTTAAAAGAGTATGAGATTTTGCGGAAATCTTTCCCTCTCTCAAAAGGAGAAAAATATAATGAGAAACCTAAAAGGAAACAAAAATGACAAGATTCCCCGCGCCAGGATTTGATCCCTGACCACGGACCGCAACATGGTGCGGTCAGATGCTCTACCCACTGAGCTGCGGGGAACTTGTCACATCTAATGTTGAATTGTAAACTTATGTTTCAGGTGTCCTTTGCACTGCAAAGATCAAGCCTAGAAACACAGGCGCTATTCCTAAGAAGGAAAAGAGAATCCTTTGCCATGGTTTGCAATTGACTCAATAAGCAAGTAGAACTCTTTCCATAAACTCAGATTTTCTTTTCCTCTCAATGATTACCTGTTATATTTTATTGGAGAGTCGCAATGGCACGTGGTTCACCTGGAGCCTAACAGCGGCAAAAAATTGAGCCGTTAGGCGTAAAAAGTGACATATTCTAACCGTTAGTCATAAAGAAAAGGTAACCGTAAAAAAACCTTCTGGTCACCATAAAGGTAAATTATTGAAAGTCAGCCGTAAATGGGCCAAAATTGAAACCGTAAGCTGCAAAAGCCATGACCCCATTAAGACCCTCCTATATTAGTAAGGAATTTTTTTCTATGCATCACGTCAATTTCACATCTTGGGCAAAATCATGCAATCTGTTTGATGATAAATCATATGTGTATCAGTAAATGAGGACATCAAAGACCTACTATCAGAAAAGACAAAAATATGATGAGAAAACCAAAAAAGAAACAAAATGACAAGATTCCCCGCGCCAGGATTTGAACCCTGACCACGGACCGCAACATGGTGCGGTCAAATGCTCTACCCACTGAGCTGCGGGGAACTTGTCAACACTAATGCTGAATTGTAAACTTATGTTTCAGGTGTCCTTTGCGCTGCAAAGATCAGGCCTAGAAACACAGGCGCTATTCCTAAGAGGGAAAAGAGAATCCTTTGCCATGGTTTGCAATTGACTCAATAAGCAAGTACAACTCTTTCTATAAACTTAGATTTTCTTTTTCTCTGAATGATAACCTGTTATATTTTATTGGAGAGTCACAATGTTACGTGGTTAGACAAGAGCCTTAAAACGGCCAAAGTAAAAAGTGAAATATTTTAACCGTTAGTCGTAAAGAAAAGGTAACCATAAAAAACCTTCTGGTCACCATAAAGGGAAATTATTGAACGTCAGCCGTAAATTGGCCAAAATTGAAACCGTTAACTGCAAAAGCCATGACCCCATTGAGACCCTCTTATATGAATAAGAAATTTTTGTTCTATGCAGCATGCAAATTTCACCGCTTGAGCAAAAGCATGCAATCTGCTGGATGATAAGTGATATGTGTATCAGTATATAAGGAGATTAAAGACCTATCATCGGCAAGGACAAAAATGTGATGAGAAAACCAAAAAAGAAACAAAATGACAAGATTCCCCGCGCCAGGATTTGATCCCTGACCACGGACCGCAACATGGTGCGGTCAGATGCTCTACCTACTGAGCCTCAATTTTAAACTCATGTATTAGGTGTTCTACGCACTGCAAAGATCAAGCCTTAACACATTGGCGCTATTCTATAGAAGAAAAAGAATCACTTCTGCAATGGTTTGTAATTGACTCAATCAGTAAGAAAAACTTCGTACTTCTATTTGCTGTTCCTTTTAAGAAGTATCTATTTTTTGTATACAAGTGCATTACTTCTATTTTGCTTCTTGAGCAAAAGCATACAATCTATTCGATGATAAATGATATGTGTATCAGTATATCAGGACATCAAAGACCTATTATCAGCAAGGAAAAAAATATGATAAAAAAAACCAAAAAAGAAACAAAAAAACAAAATTCTCTGCGCCAGAATTTGACGTTGATAAGTGACACACTTGTCAATATCATAGGCTCAGTCTTAAACTCATGTTTCAAGTTTCCTTTGCACTGCAAAAGAACAAGCCTAACCAAAAAAAGAAACAAAAATGACAAGATTCCCCGCTCCAAGATTTGATCCCGGACCACGGACCGCAACATGGTGCGGTCAGATGCTCTACCCACTGAGCTGCGGGGAACTTGTCAACGTCTAAGGCTCAATATCAAACTTATGTTTTAGGTGTTCTACGTATTGCAAATATCAAGCCGAGAAAAATAAGCGCTATTCCTTAAAAGGAAAAGACTCTCCTTTGCAATATTTTGCAATCGTCTCAATTTGTAAGAAGTAATTTTGTCCACTTCGACTTGCTGTTGCTCATGTTTTTTTTAAGAAGCACCTGTCTTCTTTTATTTTCTAAGAAATTTATGTAATAGTGCACTATCCCTATTTTACTTCTTGAAGAAAAGCATACAATCTAATCGATGATAAATGATATATGTATCAGTAACTGAGGACATCAAAGACCTATTATAAGCTATTAAAAAAAAGGATGAGAAAACCCGAAAAAGAAATAAAATGACAAGATTCCCCGCGCCAGGATTTGATCCCTGACCTGGCTCAGTCTTAAACTCATGTTTCAAGTTTCCTTTGCACTGCAAAAGAACAAGCCTAACCAAAAAAAGAAACAAAAATGACAAGATTCCCCGCTCCAGGATTTGATCCCGGACCACGGACCGCAACATGGTGCGGTCAGATGCTCTACCCACTGAGCTGCGGGGAACTTGTCAACGCCAAAGAATCAATTCTAAACTTATGTTTCAGGTGTCCTATGTGCTGCAAATATCAAGCCTAGAAACACAGGCGCTATTCCATAGAAGAAAAAGAATCTCTTCTGCAATGGTTTGCAATTGTCTCAATAAGTAGGAAGAAAATTTGTCCACTTCGATTTGCTGTTCCTTTTAAGAAGTACCTTTCATCTTTTATTTTCTAACAAATTTGTGTACTAATGCATTACTTCTATTTGACTTCTTGAGCAAAAGCGTACAATCTAATCGATGATAAATGATATGTGTATCAGTAAATGAGGACATCAAAGACCTATTATCAGCAAGGATAAAAATATCATGAGAAAACCAAAAAAGAACAAAAATGACATAAATGAAATGAAATAAAATGACAAGATTCCCCACGCCAGGATTTGATCCCTGACCACGGACCGCAACATGGTGTAGTCAGATGCTCTACCCACTGAGCTGCGGAGAACTTGTCAACATCTTAGACTCAATTCTAAACTTATGTTTTAGCTGTTCTACGCACTACAAAGATCAAGCCTAGAAACATAGGCGCTATTCCATAGAAGGAAAATAATCTCTTCTGCAATGGTTTGCAATTGTCTCAGTTAGTAAGAAGAAAGAATGCATCACCTCTCTTTTCCCTGACCACGGACTGCAACATAGTGCGATCAGATGCTCTACCCACTGAGCTGCGAACTTGTCGACATCTTAGGCTCAATTTTAAACTCATGTATTAAGAGTCCTATGCACTAAAAAGATCAAGTCTAGAAACATATGCACTATCCGATAGGACGAAAAGAATCATCTTTGCAATGAATAAAGAGAGTAATTTTCTCAAGAAACTGTGATGCTGCGTCGGTGGCGTCGTCGTCCATTTAGATTTGCTATTCTTTTAAGAAGAACTTGTCTCCTTTTATTTACTAAGAAATTCGTGTAGGAATGTACTTCTTGAGCAAAGTAAGCAATCAGTTCGATGATACTTAATATGCGTATTTTAAAACCCATAAAGACATAAAAGACTTTTTTTAGCAAGGAGAAAATACGATGAACAAGAGCAAGACAAAAACAAGAAAATAACGAAAACCAAACTGAAAATATTCTCCGCGTCAGGATTTGAACTCTAATGACAGACCGCAACATGGTGCGGTCAGATGCTGTGCCCTCTGAGCTGCGCGGAACTTGTCTTTAAGTAGATCCGAATTTGAAACTAATGTTCTAGGTGTCCTATTGACTGCAAAGACCAACCCTAGAAACATATGCGCTTCCATAGGACGAAGGAGAATCCACTTTGCAATGGTTGACAATTGACTATTACCTATTTTAATTTTTTTTAGAGTCTCGATGGCTCGGAGTTAATAGATAGCAGTAAAACGGCCAAGGCATCAAATTGACAAATTTTAACCATTACACTTGTCCTATACTTTGCAAATTTCCCAATTATGACATAATTATTCTTCATCGCAGACGGTAAGTGCTTTTACTGAATTGGTCACTTTTCGTCGAGGACCTATCTGCACTCGATGAATACTAGATTCTTCCCTATTTATATAGTGCCTCTCAGGTACTAAAATGGGAGTTAATATTAACTGAGCTACGAAGCCAAACATCGAGATCGGGGCACATTTTATGGAGCTCTTCTTCCCTTGAAGGAATCTGATACAGTTTGAAATGCGGAAATGAAAGTCAAATCGCCACCGGTGGCTTTCAATGGTGGCGAGTTTGTTGTGGTGGCGAATTGACCGTAAACCGTGTTTGATAGTTGAGTTAACGACTTGCGTTTGATAGTTTAGTTAATGGCTCTTTCGCATTGCTTTGTGTTTGATTGTGACGTTAGTAACTGGCGCGCTTTACTTTGCGTTTGATTGTGACGTTAATGACTGGCGCGAATTACTTTGCGATTAATTTTTATGTTATTGACTGGCGCGCTTTACTTTCTGTTTGATTATTACGTTTTGACTGCGCGCTTTACTTTGTGTTTGATTATGGCGTTAGTGATTCGAGCACTTTGTTTTATGTGATTGTTGAGTTAATGACTCGCTCCCCTTGCTATGTGCTTGGTTGATGCTTTAGTGACTTTCGCACTTTGTTTTGTGTTTGATTGTTACGTTTTTGAATAGCATGCTTTCCTTTGTGTTTGGTTGATACGTCAGTGACTCTCGCACGTTGTGTGCTTTGCTTTGTGTTTGATTGTTGCGTTCGTGACTCGTGCGCTGTTTGGGTTTTATTGTCACGTTTGTGACCTAAGCGCTTTTCTTTGTGTTTGTTTGATAGGATTACAGACAGCACGATTTCCTTTATGTTTGATTGTTTCTTTGGTGACTAGCCTACTTTCCTTTGTGCTTGACTGTTTCTTTGGTGACTTGTGCGCTTTCCTTTGTGTTGATAATCGTATGACTCACGCGCTTTCCTTTGTGCTTGATTGTTACGTTAGCGACTTGCGTGCGTTCCTTTGTGTTGGCTGTTCGTTTTCATGAAGTGAATGTCACTACCGATTTTACTACAATCATCTGCATTTAACAACATTCGTAAGCAATAAAATTATTTCATAAAGTCAGTCGACTACTTTACGACAGAGAGGCTCTTGATTTAAAGAAGGTTCCGGCCCCTGATGCGCGCGCATTGATGTATAAACGCCAATTTCAAGCAGGCGGCTGGGTCTCATCGACTCTCGTAAAGTAACCAGGCCAAATTGAAGTGATTCCTGCCTTACACGGCACTTAAGGAAGCGCTTTAGCTCCGTCCTTATATCCCTTTTTAAAAGTGAGTACACGACGACATTAACAGCGGAATTTGAAAATATGAGAATTCTGGAGATTTGAACAATTTCGTTGCCTACAGAACATAGGCTGAAAACTTCACAAAATCCACGATACGCTGACAAAACCCAACAAAAGACAAACAACAGGACCACTGATGCAAAAACCTTGAGATTGGATCTCTCCCGATTCCTTTGTCTCCTTCGTGTGACATAATTGATGCTGCGGTGGCGGTCCATGACATTGCCCTGCGCAGCGATTCTTCGACTGTGATATCGAGTTATCAGATACAGATGGATATGGACCAAAATCATCATAAAACACGGGATTACCTCGAAACAGACTACAATCAAGCCGCTGTACATTCTGTTTATGGTGTCTTTGGTTTCGGTCGAAGTATTCCATGACAATGATAAAAGTGACAAACTAGTGGGTGCTATCCATGCAATAAGTATAAATATCGAGACCTTCGAAGGAGTCATTTCTGACGCGTATGTCAACGGTCTTGTTATGGCAAGATATCTATCTCCTGTCATTGCACACAAATTCCCAACGGAAACGTATAAGATAAGATTATAAAATGTTAAAAGAGCATGCAGATTTAGTTGTACAAAGAACGTGTGGATGATGTAAGTTGGTATTACTAAGAGTCCAACCAGCAAATCGGAGAAAGAGAGAGAAAGTATGAACCAATTGGTTGCGACGTGCAGTGTTCTCCTCGTCGCAATGATGTATATAACCAACATGTTCCCACACACTGTTGTGATTCCGATGATGACAATCAAGATCCAGTACCAGTACGCCTCCTTGTCACGTATGGTATTCAACGATACCATCTCTTAAGGGTTATCAGCTCGGGCTATTCATCTACATCGGCTATTAAACCAAAAGGATAATTGTTATGGACTGAAGCAGAAACATTTTACAAACAAATCCTACTGGGTTAAAAGGCCGATTGTCCAGAAAGCTCATAAGATATCGTGAGGAACCAGCTCAGAACAGCAAATGATTCTCAGAGCGATTTGACAATAACTGACAACGAAAATTCTAGAGTTGATCAACCACCCAATGGAAGGAAAGCTATCCAAGCCGTTCAAATAGAGGATGTTGGCATAACACCTTTCATTATAACCTTCTACCAATCCGTAAAGTAAACTTCAGCGTTTAGTTTCCATTTTCTTTCTTCTCTTCAGTGACAGCTGCCTTCTACTGTTTTACTACTTGGACTAACATTCATGTTACTTTAGCTCAGCTGATGCGAAGTTCATTGTCTTTTCTAAATAAGCTTTTGTTCTTTAAAAGTCTTTATGAGTCATTTGTAATTTTCTGTTCATTATTAGGTCGCTTAGATTATATGATGTTTGCCTCACAAAGGAAAGAACCACATCGCAGGAGTAAGCGAAAGTCTAGGGTACGATACATTACTAAATCTTCAACGGAATATTTACGTTGATTGAATAAAAGCCTCAAATACAAAAGGGAATTTCCAGTTTAAGTGCTGGAAAAACAATTTTAGATATCAGGAACTGCAAAAATTTAGTTTCGTTTACGCAGGTAGACTCCCCTCTTCCCTCCCGTTTTGTTATTATTTCTGTTTTCGATAAAAACGTAATCTCTTAGTCGAATTGTTGGTTTAGAAAATAATGAGACCGTTTGTGTACACTTTTTTCAATTGAGATCGTATAGAAAGCAAAGAGCACTAGAGCTTTTATAGACCACATATATATCTATACCTGTACTCACCTAAAATTGGAGCATTGGGAAATTTGGCTGCAGACTTTTTTCTTTGACTGTTCAACAAATGGTCGACACGGAAATGGTCGGTAAGGAAATCACTTGTGCTTCCTATGTGTGGTCCTGTGACTTAAAATAATTCTATTTTTTTTTTCCTTTATTTACACAGCTGCAGAACATGTAATGTATTCAACGACATTCCAAGTTATGAATATTATTTAATTTTGAGTGAGACCGATTTCAAAGCTTCAACACGAAGTTTTTCCGTTAATTTCGCTATTGAATTTATTTAACTTCAGTACAGTTTTTTGATTATGAAACAACGATGGTCCAATGCGCTAGATCGTTCAGATTATGCTGAAACTGGTTTTACGTTCACTAATAAACACTGCACGGAAGTATAAAAAAAAGAGTGCTTATAAAAATGGAAATAAATAAAACTGAAAATAACGAAAAATATTAACAAAAGAAACATTGAATTATAACACAGAATGAGTTGGTAAATAAAATGAAAAGGACGGATAATTTTCTGAACTTGATATTAGATTAACTGAGCGAAACGTTATTGGCAATGTCACCAGCGTGGGGCAAAAAAATCTAAATTTTCATCAAAAATCGAACGCAGATTCTAAGCTTGGCGTTCCGCCTTCGATACTCCACCACTGACCAAATAACAGACGGCTGTGTTGTGGGTTAGGCCATCATGAAGTTCACATGTGACACGCTTCTTGCATTCTGCTAAGATCAGCAATTTTTAATAATTCTTGAGAGAAAGTGGGCATGGAAACATGGAAAATTTTGAGTGCGGTAGTGGATAAAGAAAGATGGTATGTCATTTTTTATTTTTGGCAAACAACTGACCGAATGGAAAAAACCGTTTCAAAAATTAAATCGACTTAAAATTAAAATGCAAAACTGTCTCTTTTTATTAACGACAGCGAAATGGCAAAAATATTCCTGCACTTGATAGGTTACCATGCATTTTCACCAGTAAATATCGCTAATTGTTTTTCTTCGATATATCAGCCCTGCGGTAATATTCTTAAAGAATCATGAAAACGCATTTATCAAAGTAGCCTTGTGAAAGTTCTGCTCCTGCGGGTATAGGTGTAGTAAATGAAATTTTTATCTTTCTTAAAAAAAGGGAAATAACAGCAACAATTATGACTACTTCTGAGCTAGATAAGCGATTTTCCTTCTTTCGTCAGCCAAAAAAATCGGGCGGGGAGCAAATGAATTAGCCAGCTTAGAGAGCATCTTTTTTTTCTTTATTCTCGTTTGCATTTGCTATTTTTTTGTTTTGTTTTTTTTCTCTTTTTGTATGTGTTATTGGTTTCTTTTTCACTGGCGCTGCTATTTTGGAGTGTGTGTGTTTTGTGAGACCGAAATCTTGGTAATTTCATTATTCTCCATATTCTGTCGACATTTTGTTTCTTATAGATTAATAAATACCTGTAATGTTATGCTTATGAATAACGAATCGACAAACAGACATGGTTCGCTGACTTATTTGAAAACACTAAGTGTTCTCAGCTGCTGACTGTCTGATTTTTGCTCTTGAAGGTATCAGAACTTTAGAAAAATTTGTACAAGTAAACGTTTGTTATTATTGTTGTCGAAAAATGGGTGAAAGTAGATCAGAAGACGCCGACGCACGAATGGTAAGATGAGACAAGTAAGGGAAGCCTTTTCGTCGCAATTTCGATAAACTTGACACAAGTGCCTTTATTCAGTTTTTGAATGTGATATTTGTCACGTTTTGTTTTTATAATCCAACTTAAATTCTCTGGAGAGTAAACATTTTGACCCAGTTAAATATACATCACGTGTAATTAAATGCTAATATATCATTTTAATAACTGAGACAGACACGCACCCGTAGTTGTTGACGTCTCTGTTGCTGCAATAAGTTGTAATCTTTTAAGTCGATGGAAAACTTGACAACAATAACTTTGCGTTTCCAACCTGATTAATCCAAACGCATCAGTTCTTGCATTTGCCAGGAGACTCAAAAGAATCGGGGCTAGATCTAGACACATCATCTGCGCATAGTACTGCTCGGAAGGAGCCCTCGATCGTATTAATGCCGGTCTTTCGGTAATCAAGGAAAGCATGTAGAATAATAATTTCGGAGAGTCTTGAAGTTAACGATAGGAAATTGCGACTGACGATATTTGGTGCGTAAGGAGGCAAAATAGGAGAGCGTTGTGAATCACTTCACTTGTTTTCTTACAGACTGAAGTCTGATAGTATCGGTTACAAGAATTCCACTCAAGATTCAGGTATCGCCGCTCATTTGAACGTAGCCTGTTTTTATTGTTAAAGATCTAGACCACCCTTAACAACTGAAGATAGAGAGAACAGACATGGCAACGTGAGGTAGCCAGTACCATCGTCCCGATAATTGTCTCCACGTTGGATCGACTCCCTGCTAACATGTAATTTCACTGCTATAAAATGTGCTAAAAACAGATGAATAACACATCCGGGATACAATCATCCGAAAGACATTATTCACTGGAGCCTAAAATAGCCTGGTATTGGTCTGCACGGCTGATAATCTCTGCTTTCGCCATTTTGGGAAACGGAGTTGTTATTTGCCTGATAGCGACAAAAAAGCGCTTGCAGATTATTTGTAACTGGTTTGTGTTATCTCTTGCTGTATCAGACTTTTGTGTGGGGCTTTTATTAACGCCGACTGGCCTAGTATGCTCGTACCTGTTTCCATGCGACTGGCGTCTTCAGTTAGCCTTCTACAACTTCCTGTTATTTGCATCGACATTAAACTTGTGGGCAATGATGTACGACAGACATCACGCCATCGTGTATCCTCTGACATATCTGACGCAAATGACAACACGTAAAATAACAGTCATCATATCCCTACCATGGAGTACATCAGGTTTAGTGTCATTTATTCGCCTTCTGTGGTTTTATGATAATACCCTAAGAAAAGAGATAGAGTCATATTATCGGGTTTTCGTGGATTTATTCTTTGGTTTGTTTTCATGTCTTCTACTCGTGATAATCTTTGTGAGAATTTTGATGATAGTTTTTAGGCACTCTAGGAGCGCTGCCTCTCAAGCAGCGCATTTATCGTTCAACCAAACCTTCCGTGTCGAGTACAAATACAAGCGAGAAAGGCTATCAGCTAAGATTCTTGGCGCAGTTTTATGCTTGTTTGTGGTTTGTTATAGTCTCAGCATATATATCTCTTTCTGTTTAAATTTCAAACTTTGCTCGCCCTCTCCTCAATTACGCCTTGCATCTATTCTCTTGATTCATCTAAACTGTGCTATCAACTGTTTGGTCTACGCGCTGCTTAAAAAAGATTTCCGCACAGAGCTGCGAAAATTGCTTAGATGCGACAGTGAGCTCAACATTGCAGCAAAGGTCGAAGGAGTGGGTCTGAATATTTTTAATCACACCTCTCGGTAGTTTCAGATTAGTCGAGCGGAACCTTCGTCTGTTTCGAAATGACAATCGTATTCATCTTATTTTATAATGTTAGTATTGCGTGCAGATGGAAAATATACTGAATAAATCATGTCAAATCGTGCGGGAGAAAATAGATTTTCTTATTTATTTAGTGTCGAATGCGTCGAAACTGTTAATCTGTAGTCTTAGATTCAATACGTTACTAAGTTTTTGTGGGTTCTGTTGGTTTGACAGTTTTTTCTGCAAAGCAAATTGATCCATTCTTATCGGTGACCATTACTACTGAGATTGTAATTTATGTGTTTCGATGTGAGTCGGTAAATGGCTAAAATGACGGGTCTGGTTCCTAGAAATCTGCTTATGATAACCTTTTCAAAATTAAAAAAATCCTTGTGAACCTAGTTAGTTTAGATTTTGGATACGACAGCTACGCAATTAACCAGTGGTAATTTCAGTTTCAGTCGTTTCCCGTTTTTTAATTACATATTACTGCAAGCCGTCTTTCTTTCATCCAGTTCAAAGTTTTCGCACCATTGCATACAGGAAGTGTATACTTAACATGGAATTCCCCACTCAATAACGAAGTGTTCTGCTTTATATTTGAAGGCAGGACAGTCCAGCTATCGATGTATCGACAACTCGAACCTCGCGCTAACTCGAACCAAAATCGATTTCCCCTGGCTTTGAGTCATACGATTGCTGCTATTTTACCCTCGGTAACTCGAACCCTCGATTACTCGAACCTTCCGCTGACTCGAACTAATTTTCGTTTCCCTTCAGCTCATTCTCTACTTATTTTTACCCTCGATAACTCGAACCACCAAGCACCACGTCTGTCGTCACGTGACACATCTGAACAAACAGTATACTGCAGTCCCGTTACGTTGGGATTTTTGCAATAATTTAGTGTTTCATTTTTACTAAACCTCTAATTAATTAAATTTGGCTAAATGTATTCTGTATAAATAGATGAGGCAATAAAAAGCGTTTTTCCTAACTTCTGATCCTTTGTTCTCAACTCCCGATAACTCGAACCATTGGAGTTTGTAATATATATATATATACTCCAATGGCAAGAATACCGTAATAACGCAGTCATATCGTGAAGATTCAAAGAGGAGGAGGGTGATGTTTACTTCGAAAATAAAGGGAAAACTTAGCCGTCTTCAATTCAACGTGGTTTTCATTTCTTGGTAAATACTAAATCCCTCAACATGATAGATAGGAAGGGATTGCACGAAAGCAAAAAACCAAGAATTTTTCATATCTGTCAATCATTGTTTATTATGATGGCATGATAAGTTTTCGAATTCACTGGTATTTAAAGAGGGGGCATTGGGATTTTCGGTTCTGTGGTTTTGGCTATTTTTTAGTTCGGTTTTTCGGTTTTTGCGCCAAAAAACTTCGGTTTTGGTGTTCATTGCGGTTTGCGGATTTTCCGTTTTTTAGCACTTGGTTTTCGGTTTTCGCGAAAAATACTAACGGGTTTTCCCGATGCGGTTTTTGGTTTTTCCTATTTGACCTATTTGGGTTCCGGTTTCTCTTCGATCTAAGCAGCAATTACGCGCCTCCGCTGATCTCGAATAGCCGCTAAATGTTATCGAGAGGAATGCGTGTCAAACCAATTGAAATATCGCAAGAATCCCTAAGTAGCCTTACGTGTAACAGTACCCTCCCCCTTCCCCCATGGTGGGGGGGGGGGAGGGGAAGGCGCAGCTACATGTCGGGTACGGCTACACGTCGGGTACGGCTAAGCACGGAACACTGCCAGAGTTTCTTTATCAACGCCACATGTGACTGATTGATTCAACATTCCAATAGAATCTCCAATTTTTCAGGTCTTAGTTCGCAAATGGAAATGTTAGATTAGGGATTTTCGATGAAACTTTCCAGAGCTATAACTATTTGCGACTGCAAAATTGCAATCCTATTCAGGACTTTTGTGCGAATTTCCTTAATTTAGCTTGGCCCCATTACCAGCTGCTGAGTCCGCAGAGACCATGCTCGAGGTCCTTGAGAGAACAGCTGTTAAGGTTAATTTAAGCACATACTAGAAGATACGAATGCCAAGTCCATGGCATTCATTAATCCTGTAATGAAATTAGTGTAGTTTACTCTGTATGCTCCACTTGTCACCACTGTATCGGATCGATTCAGGGTTTTAATAGCTGGGATGTGAAAATGTATCGGTTTCGACAGTTTTGCATGCGGTTTTCGGTTTTGATCGAATTTTTTTCAGTTTTTCGGTTTTGTTAATTTTTTTCTACGGTTTTGCGGTTTCTAATAGACCCCAATGCCCCCCTCTGTAAGTGATAAACTTTTTAACACCGAAAATTCATTTCATTTTATTCTTGTAGCCGAAATCGAAATTTGATGGTCTGCCCTTTGGGAGCAAAAAAGAGCTTCTAAATCTCAAATCTAAATCCCCACAGTGCCTTGTCGTAATTATCGCCATACCTTTAGTCCTAGTTTGATTTGAACGATCGCACTGATTAAAAACATTGAGATTCTGAATGTAGATAGCTAGTTATAACCACTAAATAAGTCCAGCATATTGTTCGAGGACATTGTTCGAACATTTATATGTGAAAACGTGATGCATTTGAACTCTGTCTACATAAGCAAGTGATCATTTACACAAAAAACCAAAGTGGAATGAACTTTGAATTCCTATGAAATAGAACACGCGCACCAAAACAAATTCAAACAGCGTCCAGGGTCGTGAGTTATTTTTCATGTCGTGTCATAACGTACAAAAACAAAGACTCCAGCGAATTCTGTCAACAGGAGATGAAATTAATACCTTTCGCGTGTCGAGCTGTGTAAAAAGCTCTTGTTGCCCAAGATAGGTTGGAAATATTATTCTTGCAGCAGGGTACCACGGAAGGGACATTCCTCAGCAGCAAAGTAAAGGTCCATGTAAGCATTAAACCACTGCTAGTTGGGAGACTGCAGTCATGAAGCTTTATGTAGGGTTCATAGTGTTCCTGTTGTACTGTTTTGGGTAAGTTACTCGCGTGAGAAATACATGTCACTAAGTAATGGCCGAAAAAATCTCGGCGTGGACATGAAAAAGGGTTCTTTTGCTCATGAAAATTAGGAATCTTGGTTTTGATCTCGATGCGAAGAGGTTGATGAGCCTCTCGCAAGATTTTGTAAAATCAAGGAAAGATCACTATCAAGTTTACACAGACTAATTGATTCTATTCAACTTAGTTTCGAAATTCAAGCCAAGACGTATATCCACGTATCTTTTGAAAAGCAATTATGCTCTTCTACATAAGTCGAGGTTAATACCTCAGAACATGGTATACAGGTATATAAGGAATACAAGCTCTGCAAAGATTTAAAAAGAGACACACAAGTCAATACGCCGTGATCATTGATTTAACTTTAAATCTTTATAGATTGTGTTCGAGTCATCTTCAGCGTCTCCTACTTTGTCTCGATGAAGAGCCATTGGAATTTCATTCGAGCAAAGCGAGATCTTTGTCCGACAATAAAACATGTACGTCGTGTTAACATGATCGTTTTTCAATAGAGAGCGAGAATAATGTTGAAGCGAAGTTCCCCCTCGCCTCGGTCTGTTTCAAAATAAGAGAAATAGATATTTGGGTAGTGATAATTTGTTTAACATCGACGTATTTTTAATATCTGTGGGTAAATTAGGACTGACTGAGATAATCAACAGTCCACTCGCATCTACTTCAAAAAAATACCTGAGATCTGAACTAAGATCCATCACATTGCTAACCAGAACAGGGAAAAAATTATGTGTGTTCCATGGACAAGATCAACTTGCAATTGACATTCAAAACAGCGTTGACACTGGCGGCCCCGGTCGTGCTGAGTTGAGGAGAATTCAATGAGCTATCAGTGGAAACCATGTCTTTAGATTCTTTTTTCTCCCCGAAGGTGAAATTCGGGGTTTTCCCGTTGATGCATATCAATCAAAATTCAAAGGAAACGTATATGTTACTCACGAGTAGCGTTGAAATTATGGCGCTTGATAAAGATACGCCTAGCTATAGTTATACCCGATCAGTACAGTCCAAAGCCAATTCCTCACGAAAATCAAAACAGACGTTAAATTGCTAATTAAGTTAATGCTCTCCAAGTGAGTGGGAAGTGCTATCAATTTTTTTCGCAGTGACACGAGCAGTGCTAAAAAGGCACGCCGCTCTGATTCGTGGTGTCACAAAGCACCAGGACTGTCTGTGAGTCAAAGAAAGCTTTGCTTCAGAGTGCTTGGACTCGAGACTGCAATAAAGAAAGGGATCGAGAGAGGATTATCAGAATGCGAGCGAGAATTTCAGTGGAGTAGGTGGAATTGTAGTGCGCTTGTAAACAAAAGTCTTTTGGAACGAGCACCAGGTGAGTGCGTCAGCCATGCTTTGTTTTAAATCAACATGACTTTGTTTTTCTTAACTCCAACATCTGTTATCATTGGCGTATTTACGTTTCTTTATGGTTGTAGGGAAAGTCCAAACTGACAGATGTAAAAAGGTTAAGGATCAAATGGAGTCTTAATGGCCACAGAAATGTGATTAAACATCAAAATTGCACACAAAGGGCAGTTTTAATCACCCCAGTTTCCACACTGCTTGTTATTCCTCTGTTGAGGACGTACAGAATGTGCGGAAAGTGCTATCAAAGAGTCATGTTTTATTTCAAGTTAACTTTTGTTCCATGCTGACAAAATAACGTCGAACAGCGAGTACTTCCTGCTCTCCTGAGTTGTGGGCACGAAATCAAAATCGTCCCCGCTTGAAGCTAATTGAAAGTTTTTGGCGTATATCGAAATTAACACAACGGTACCCCGACCAGTTTAAAGGTTACCATTTAAATATTATTTTAGCCCGATCCGGAGTGATTCATAAAAAGAAGCTGTTGGTTTACTTCGGCGACCTTTGTAATTGCATTTTTTTTGGCCCTATTTCTGTCAGTTTTCGTTCTGACTCTGATCTGTAATTGCATGCGCCGATAGGCCTCTTTTAGTCATCTCGCTCAGCTTCTGCAGTGAGTGTCTATCTTTGTGTCCTATCTGTTCCTGCTCTTGAGTGTTCCTTAGTTCACGTTGTTTATGAAGAAATTCGTCTTTGGTGTCCTCATCTTCAGTATTTTTCATTACGTGTCTTTACGTGTCCGCTTTTAATTTGTTATGCTAACATCAAAAACACAAAACTATTTTCATCTATACGCATACGCACTAATACAAAACATGAGGGTAAACGTGCCTATTAACGTCTGGGTATGTGATATTTTTACGTTCTTAGTACTCCAGGTTTCCTTCTTATTCCTGAATAAGGTGGAATTTTTTCTTATAACATTTAATTATCTCACTTTCCAGCTGGGACAAGAGAGGCGGCGTTTACATCTGCATTGCTATCAGCGTCAATAGCCTACAGTGTAACAAAGGCCTGCACAGCGAAAAACGTCACGGAATGCCGCTGCGAGGGAATCAGACGTCCCAGGTACGGGCAGACCTGGAAACGGAAAGGTTGTAGTGCAAATGCTCACTTTGGAACTTACTCATCTGAACGTTTTATGCTGAATGACAGGAGAAATAAAAGCGCTATTGATACACTTGTCATGAAGCACAATATCAGAGTTGGACTTCAGGTGAATACAGTAGGATATTCAAGTTGTTATCCTTTTACTTCATTTGTGAGCTTTTCCATCCTTGCATTTTATGAAATAGTTTAAAGATAATTTTATGGTTAGATAGTAGGGTCCCCATCTGTCACAAACCGTACTGTCTTTAATTTTCGGCGTGAGTTTTCAGAAAATCGGTCTTGCACCTTCTTTTATAGGAAATTGACACTCCCAGGAGAGAAACACGAGTTTTCAACGATGGGGTTTTACTCCAGATATAAAAAACATAGTAGGATGCGAGAGAATATAACAGTTTACAGTCTCTTGTAGGATGTAATTGTATATTTCTACTATTTCATATCAGGGTGGGGATGTAGGGGGCGTAAGAGCTTATCTACCCCTTTCGTTTAATTGAGCAATTGTAGGGGTCACTTGGCACTGTCAGCCCCAAATGATTCGCACTTGTGCGGCAGCAAGATCAAGATTCAATTTAATGGTGTATTATACCAAAGCATGATTCTAATTACTTGTGAAACATTTTTCAGGTTCTACAAGAGAATCGAGTGGCAAAATGCACAGTGGGAAAAACTGGGAGAGTTAAGTCTTGCCATCTAACTTTACCACCACTCCACAAAATCAGCCGAATCATTAAGGGAAAGTATCACTTGGCCACAAGGGTTACTGCGCACAAACGAGGAAAGAACAATTCACCCTTTCTGCGAACCATTGAGCGGTACCGCGACAGACCAAATGGAAAGAGACCAAGGAAATCATCTCTGGTTTACATCCGTTACTCTCCCACCTACTGCTATCGGCAGAATGAATACGGCATTCCAGGCACGCGTGGCCGCCGCTGCCAATTGAACTCTCTTAAAGAAGGTGACTGCACCTTGATGTGCTGTGGTCGGGGCTACAAACGGGAGGCAAAACTTCAGAAGAGATTTTGTGACTGTAAAACGAGTGTTGATAAGCCATGCAGTTGTAAAGTATGCACAGATGTGATTATGGAAAATAAGTGCATGTAATGGGTCGCCTCTAATCTAATCTAAGGTTGAAATCAGCTCAAAAAGTAAGACAAAGATGATAGATGAAGTATTGTAGCCGCTAAGATGGTTAGTTGTACAATAACGATTTTGTTCCGTTTTGTTCAATTGTATCAATAAATGCTTAGTAGAAAATGCAAATGAGCACCTACACCCATGATACCCACGCCTATCTTAGTCTCTTAGCTTTAAATTTTCTTAATGGTGAAGGTACCAACTGAAAACGAGATTGTTGATACGGAACAGGAAAAATGGTATTTTCGTGGAAGAAATTAATATGAGACACAGTAAGAATAAAAGCCATGATTACATTTGTTACCAAACAACAAAATATTGAATTCGGTTGTCGCTTCGCTTTTTTATTATTCATTTGCTTGCTTATAACTGACTTTTTCCCCCCCCAAAAAAATTACAAGAGTTAGGAAACTCATCATACGGATCAATGACATTACATCAAGTCTCAAGAAAACTTTTGGAACGTCAGTCTGTATCAGTACTTATTTCTCATTAAATGAAGAATTAATATTAGCATGCATATCCTAAAACAATGGATAAGCGCCCACTAAACCCAAATATATTTAATAGTTTGCTTCTCACTTCCGAGCGGCTCGTGCGGGATTTGGTTATAATTGTTGCAGAAATAAGTGAGTTAGAATTATATTTTTGCGCTATATTATGTGACTGTTTTATTATAAGCTAAAAGAACTGCTCACCTCAGTGCCGGTGGCCAGCGATGGATATCCATGGAAAATGAACACCATTAGCCACCTCCACTTCGGATAATAGTTATTAACTATCATAGATGCTGTAAGCAATGTGGCTTGGTTTAAAAAAGATTTGACGATCGGGTCTTCATGACCATACTCAGAAAAATGACGAAATGGTTCAAAGAGCGAGTTCAATTAATTTTATTACTGGTTTAATTACCTTGCAAACGTTGAAAATTTAATATATTGACATAAATAAAATTATTTATATGTTTCACAGGAGGTTACATTTTGGATTGCTTGAGCGGAAACGCGTAATTTGTTATTTATACTTATATTTATCCCTTTGTTTGTATTTAAAACTGTGCAGTTCAAAGATCTCTAACATCGAAAGTAATATAGCTACTTATCATAACCAACCCGAGGTAACAAGCTTGATGCTGGTTTACATAACAACTCATGAAAATAAATTACTTCTCATTCATTGCCACGGTACAACAACAAATAAAACTAAATTCCCGTTTTATGTCCTTCTTCAAAAAGGCGTAGACGAGTGGATTTATGGCAGAATTTACAAAAATCATCAAATCAGATACTCTGAAAAGACCATCATTGATAACGCACAGTTCTAACTTACTGCAGAGCGAAATCACTGTGTCAAAAGACCAGCAAACAACAAAAAGGCCTATGACAGCTCCCAATACTATAACACTCGATAAATCTGCAGTCTTCCTTTTACCTTTGCTTTGTTGTGAGGTATGAGAGGCTCTCTTGCCCGCATCTGCTGTCGCCTGTTGCATGTTATCTCTGTTGTTGACTTGACTGTTGAAGTCGAGCTGAGTTTGGTGTGTTGCAACCTGCCGCGCGTGTCGCCTTGCAGTTACGAAAATTTGGATATACATGGCTGGCATGACAACGGTGGGTATCACCTCGAATGCAGTGATAACAATTAAAGCATGAACTTTTTTTCCCGTATTTTTAACTGTTTCCGAACTTGCAAGTGTCCAGAAAAGCGGAGAGAAGGAGAGATATGCTGGAATAATCCACGAAACCAAGATTGTGCCAAAAAGTCGCCTTGATGTGGCATATGACTGATAACGCAGAGGATATAAAATCGATATATACCTATCCACTGTCATGGCAAATAAATTCGCTATGGATATTAAGGTGAACAGGTTAAAAAACATGAAATAAGTTGTTATATCACAGTCCGACCAGAAGTCACAGGCGATGATGAAAGTGGGAAGAAACAAGCCTACCAACAAGTCTGCAAAAGCAAGGGACACCACAAAGTAATTGGTTTCCACATGAAGTCGTCTTCTTGTAGAAATGAGATAGATCACTACCCCATTCCCAAACACTGCAACGAACCCGATAAGCGATGCGAGGATAATGTAGTAAACTGGCAGTGAACTTGAAGTGTTGTTATCTAAATCCACTTTGGGTAAAGTCAAGTTTTCCTCCATTGTAGAAGAAAAAAGTTAGGTTTCCTCCTTGTGTTTACTCACCGCTTCAGATATTAATTGACCCAGCGTAATAAGTAATGAGGAAAGCTACCATGTCTACTTAACACGCAAATGAAACTGAATTAATTTACCCGAGAGTCAGGCTTTTCAATTCAAAGAAAACAACTTGGTATCCTACATCAACTTGATATTTGAACTGAGACACCGTTATCACCAATAAAAAGATCACTTATAAATTAAATATTTTACGTATATTTCCTAATTGACACTGATGGTGTTCAGGAAATATATATTTATTAACATTACCTGACAGCCGTATGAAAAATAGCCCTCTCCAACCCTTTAAATTACAATTAAGGTGAATAGAGCCTTGGTGAAGTATTGACATGGAAATTTGTACCATTTTGTCTCAGGTGTGGCGGCTTTGGTTTAAATTTGAATGAAGCCTTTTTAACTGAAAAACTGATAACAGCGCAGCTGTTGATATTCCATATTATAGAAACCATCAGGATAACAGAACATTGACAAATGTTCATGTCACTCGTAAACTAATGTTGTATACCTCGTTTCCCTATTTTAGCTTCAAAATCATCCACTCTAACATGTTATTCATTTTCTTTTGCTTTTTGTTTTTGTACCGTTGCAGTAGCAGCAATCAGAAATATAGATAAGATAAGAGGTAAAACGTGAGTCGAGGAACAATATTTGCAGTATATCACTGATTTATCTATGTGGACGGAAATGTGTTTGGGATTAAAGATTGAAAGGGGACCGCTTATTGTGCTTGTAGTCGTCAAGGGAAACTCTTGAAAAAAAAAAGTATACCAAATGAGACGAACTAATTACAACTGTACTGAACAAAGATGCACCCAAGGCAATGCTTTAACACTAGTTAACACTTTTTTAATTTTACGCAAATGAGCCATAAAATAAACAAACAAAATAATGTATGAACATGTTCCATTACTCCATGCTTTGCACCAAACAAAGATAGTTAACGTAAATATTCGCCTTTGGTTCAAATCACCTCATCGTAATTTTATCACAAACTAAAGCGATCATTTCTAACTTGAATTCAGTCCTGAAAATATGCGATAATTGGGCGTGGCAGCTGTTTTCACCTTGAATCAGACTGAATGCTGCATATGTGACGAATCTTGCTCGTTGCCATGGAAGGTATGCACCTTTAAACGTTTGGAACACGTTTTTCACTCTCTGATACAGACTGTAAAACGTTTTTGATCAGGTGAAAATGAATTTCAGCTGCACTTGCCTTGCTTGTATTATCTTTTAACCTTTTGAATTCTTTGATTACATCTCCTATGTTCGGCAAATATGTTTGAGAGTGCAAAACGTTTTTGTCGTCAATGATAACGGCAGGTCAAATTTCAGTTTCCTTTTCTTTTGTCTCTGTTTGAATGTAGTTATGTAATTTCATTCTTCGCCTTTTTTGATGGCAAAGATTGCTGTATATAGAAAACTTTTCAGTATGCTGTTTTTATTATTATTATTATTATTTTCGTTTTTGTAGACCAAGAAAATATATTAGTCAGTAAACACTCCATAAAAGAACGAGTTCAAAAGACAGTCATCTGTGACGAACAATCTTTTTCAGTAAAAAAAAAGTATCACACGCGTGTAGACTCAAGTGGTGGTTGTACTTTCAAGAAAGAGAGATTCCTTTCTATCTTCTTATTTTAGAAAAAAAAATTAAATATCATGAGATCACATACAACGCTTTAGACATACTAAATAACTGGAATTTGTGTAAAACTGCTGTTTTTATTTCTCTGCTGTCAATAAAGCTGTGTGTTCAAGGCTACAAGTGATTTGCATTGTAGATTTATGACAAAAATATTGATAAGAACTCTTTTCAGAAAACAAGCGAGAACTCAAGTGAAAGCTACAGGTACATACAGAACTTCAATGCAAAAAAAAATGATAAAAGTGATATCGATATAGTATTCCTAAAAGAGACAAATAGTTAAATTCGCAAAGCTTGAGAATGTGTTTATGTTACCGTCCAAAATGGTTTCAATCTTGCAAGCTACAAAAGACTAAAAGATATAAAAGAATAATGATATCAATATTAATAATTATAATGATAATTTTACACGTGATGAAAATAACAGTTACGATAATGATGACGATAAAACTACTGATAATGGTAGTGGTAGTAATGATGATAAAAATTGAGCTATTTCTGACAGCTCGTCACGGTCAGCTATTTACTTCTTTCTCTCTACTCCGTGTAGGTCTGAAGGACTGAGTGATAAAGCTAAAATGCCAGTTTTTAAACCCAGTTTTATCGTAGATAGGAAAACATGTTATTAAAAGATCTGCTGAGATGGCAACCGCGTGATTTAAAACTTTTTTTTAGGCGGCTTGAGAATAAATTTTATTCTTTTGTTTTCATCACAATGGCAAATTTTACCCAGTAAGGTGTCAGAAGCATCGGAGGTTAAATAAATTCAGAGTCATTCAGAACCAATTCTGTTAGCTTTTTTGGCGCCCAGTTTGTGCACTAGTGCGATGTATTTAAATAAACAAGTGAACTCGAATTACTGACAGTCAACAAGATTTCTCCATTAAGCGCTCACTATACAACTAACAGAGGTTCATGTTTAATTAAACTAAAATAGATGTGAGGTTAGATCGTAATATCTTGTAATTGTATCGGTCGGAGGTTAATTCATCTTTTTAAAACACTTTATTCAATAAATCGCCCATAAATGAGCCACTTTGCGGGTGGAGGCTTAACAAGTCAATCTATTTCAATGCAAAAAGAAATAAGGCAAAAATGTGTCACATCTGAGCTGAAGTGCGAATAAGACAAAGAAAAAACATTAATAACGCTTCTGTCAAGCTTGAACAAACAAACGTAAATTTTGTTTACAATAACATAAAAGCTAAGCTTTTAAGTGAGAACAGTTCTTTTGGCTGAGGAACTATGACCCTCCGGTTTATCGAATTTTCTTGCTGAAATTCCTCCTGTAAATTGCTATCGAAGGTGAGGAAACTTGCTGCTGAGCAGGATCAGACGTGCTTTACATTTTCTTTATTTCTCGGGAATGAGGATAAAAATAATTTTTTTTTGTTTTTGCAGGTGTTTGACAGATTAAAATTTATGTATTAGTTTAAAATCTCTGAAGCCAATGAATATTTAAATTTGTGATTTTTAAAAGAAAGGATATAGACTCGTGGCCTAAGGGCGTATCATATGATTGACTCAAGCACAAGGTAGCATAACGGCTGAACAAAAAAATTCCGTCCTCAACACGTTGACAAACTTGCTTTTTTCAAGTGAGGAATAACCTTCAAGTTCTGAAGGCTGTCATGTCGTGGTACACATACAGCAGTCTGGCTGTCAGCCTCGTAGCTGTAACAGGGAATGGAGTCGTTGCCTGGTTGATTATAAGGCGATCTAGACTACACACATTAACTAACTGGTTTATTCTCTCCTTGGCTGTGAGCGACCTAATGGTTGGCTTGAGCATAGCGCCCGCGAATATTGCGTGTAAGAGGTTTGGCACATGTGACATTTATCTTAAAGGTGCATTTGAGGAACTTTTTCTATACGAGTCTATTTATAACCTGTGCGCCATGACAGCCGATCGCTTTATCGCCATCGCCTACCCACTCAGGTATCCATATTTAATGACTTACTGTTGCACTAAGACGATTATTGCGATCTCGTGGTTTTTACCCCTGTTCAATTTCTCCCTTCATTTTTGCTGGCTCTACGCTGAGCCTGAAACAAGAAAAGCCTGGTATCGCATTTTTACTATCACAGAAACGATTTTCATGGTGGCTGTTCCATGCATTTTGCTAACTGTTGCGAATGTGAAGATAATCCGAGTAGCACAGCTACAGTCAAAAAGAGCTACAGTTCAACTGCGTCAAGTAAACTTTAATAACAAGGAAACATTCTCAAGAAAGCCTCCAAGAAAGGCTGTGTTTAAATACAGAAAATGGCACTCGAGGGTGTATACGGAGTCAGAAGAAAGATCCTCATCTAATAGTAAGCACCTTTCACGGCTGGAAATGAGAAGCAAAGAAGAATTTCGCCGAAGATTTCCGAGACGAAGGCTGCCGAGATCTTCCGTTAAAGTAACCGTTGCAGTCATAACGATCTTTCTTGGGTGTTGGACTTTGTCCTTGTATGCATCATTGTGCAGTTATTTCGACTTGTGCAATCTATCGCCAGATTTGCTTGATATCTCTTGGCTGTTAATGTTGTTGAATCCTGCGATGAATCCCATCGTGTTCATCGCGTTTAAGAGTGATCTAAGGGAAGAATTGAAAAGGAAAATGGCTACCTTGAAGAGCTCATACATCTTTAACAAAGAGACTCCTTGAATAACAAAGCGACTAAAGAACAAATTAATATCATAAATAATATAAAAAATGGTGACAACAAAAAAAAGTTGACGTTTGACTCATGAGTCACATTGAATTTTAGCCATGAGTACAATAGATTGTACTATGAGTTGTGTCATTTTGTTTCGTGATCTAATGAATTATACAAACTGCAGCTTCAATGATTTATATTTCGTTAGAATGGATCAGCAAGCTGAAATGAGGATGCAAGGAGATGGTTTTATCAGACACAGCTTACTAGTGACGAAATGCTTTCTGGACACAATATTCAAAGACAAGGAATTTTAAAGAATAAAACACAAGGTGAAAAACAGAAACAAAATTGAAGAAAAACTTCAGTATCTGCTCAACAATCGCAGGCGCCGCTTCCTGAGAAGCTCTCCCAAATATTTGTACACTCGAGGACCTCAATGTCAGTGTAGACGATAGTTCTGTTTAAAAACCTTCGATAGTATTTACTGTTTGGGAGAATGGCTGCATTCACAGTAATTGGATAAAATCGAATTTTCATTTGCTTGACTGTCAAGGTACTCATCCACGCTCCTGACAGAGGTTAGAAAAAAACTGGTTATTACGTAACCTCCTCTAGCAACATCCGGGTGACTCAATGGGGTTTAACCATCATTCGCCAACAGCCTGAAATTTAACCGTCAAAATGGATAAATTCTTACCGTCAACCACCAAAAAAGTACTTCTATACTAACCATCAAACAGTTGAAAGGTCTTGCAGATCTCACTTTTTAAACCGATTGCTAAGAGCAGTTCTAAATATCGAAAAGTCTTAAGAATGGTAAAATATTCTCTTGTTTTTGTAATGTACTCATTGAACGGTTATTTGTAACGAGTATCGACAACATTTTGATCATTAGAAATAGCTTATTTCATTTATTTATTAATTTATTTCTGACCACGCCACGCCGTGTCATTCCCGCCGTTCGACCACGTTGAGATCACGTCGAGCGTTTTAATAGCCGTCTTTATCATTTATCGTACAGTCGAAGATAGAGCTGTCGAGCGATACAATACACGAGTTTCTATGGGAAAAAGGCCAAAAACACAAAAGTAGTTATCATCAACATGTTATTGATCCGCTCGGTTTCAACGACTTGATTACACAATCAAGCTTGAGTTAGGTTCATTGGGAAATTGCAGCACAGCAATTCAACAACAACTCGACTTAGTGCTACTAAAACTATTTACTAGAGGTAGAGACGTTGAATTAAACGGTGAGACGTGTTTTTGTACGGTGCTATTAAATTATAAGTATTAATTTATAGAACTACGAATTCAAATTTTTTATTTTACAAGCGTAGAATTCTTTAGCAAAGCGATCGCTTATGTTCGAGTTCTGTAAATTGCTCGTTGCTTTAATTTCGTTTGCGGTCGGAGGTCACAATAATCAGATCTAGGAAGTTCTGCCATTGATATTTGCGCCTCTAATACAGGGAGTAAGATATTGGTAGAAACCAATGATTAAAGGTCGTAGAGATACGCTTCACCTTACTTCGTAAGAGAACGACTAAACAGGTCTGGATACAATTAAAAAATGCAAACAAGCTCTATTTTGAATTAAACTTTAGACTTGCCGTAAATGTTCCCTGATAATGTATTTTTCGAAAACTACAATAAAAAAGATAGGTCTCCGTACCAATAATGAGATATGATGGGCTTTTCTGCGAATTGAAGTCAGAGATGAAAAAAAATTGAGAATAGCTCAGGTATGCACTTTTTTATGTTTGAAATTTTTGATCAGCGCCGATGAAAACTAAGACAAGAAAGTAATGCTCTTGCTTCGAAATAAAATGACAATCAACTTGATCTCAGCACGGCTTTCTAAATCTATTAATTTAATTCAGTCTTGAACGACTTCATTCGTTTAAAAAATTAAATCAAACAAAAACCAAAAAAAAATAATAAAACTGGAACGAAGTCTTACTCCTAAGTCTAACCGTTTCGTTGATGACTAGTTTAAGTTAATTTCATTCTTTCACATAGGAACTCGTCGTAAACAACTCCATCGTTGGGTCGCTTGATTTCTACATGGTTTCGCCATAATTCCTGATAATTCCGTTCAAAATGCTTTTCAACTCGAAGAAGGTGGTGCTCAAAAGAGATGTATTGTCCTAATTGAGAAGAATATTCAGTAAACAAGGGGAAAAACGACGACAATTTCCAAATTATCCTTTACAAAATTATGAAGAAAAACGAGTAGTGCTGAAATCTAGTAGCACGAAACGAAATGACAGCGACACAAATCATAGAAAAAAACTATTTAGTGGGCTTCAAAATTTAATAGATGAATCAGCAGACTCGAGACTAAACTGAAATGTACTAGTTTAAAAGTTTAATCGCCCATGTGGATTCATAGTTAACAACTTACTTGCCGTATCTATAACTATCCTCTGTTTGCGCTCGTTACATAACTCTCAAAGAAGATAATTTCGTTGTCCTTAGAGTGGTCTATAAAACCGAAAATTCAAAGGTGATGGTGATCTTTAAAAAGCCGAGGCGATGATTCTCGTTGCAACGACTGCTAAATCACTTTTCAACACAACGCGACGGCGTTCTCGACCCAGTTTCTTATCGGCATTTTTGCTGCGCGCGCCGTTCTGAAATGACGTTCCCGTCCTCTTGCTAAACCACTCTATCATTTGCATCCACGAGTATTAAGTTCGTCCACGCTTTTAGCTATTTTTCCCCCTTCGATGATTGGTTTAAATTTCTCTAAATTAGAGGGGAATAATAAGTACACCAAAATTATGCACACAAAAAATGTAGGTCACCGCGCTCGTTCAAGAACTTAAGATCATCGTACCTCTTAACCTAGTCCATTAAAAAACGATACCGTGGTCTCTGAATGCGCGCGCGCTTATTCGCCTGATTACGTGATTTTTTTGCGCAGTTCAGGATGTGCAGTGCAGTATTTAGGAATCACCTTAAGCTGCAGAGTTTTCCTGGGAAGTATTGGATTTGCCTTATTAAGCTCCACAAGGCTTTTCGCTTTTTGATTTTCGGCAACGTTATTGCTGTGAATATAATATTTTCAATTTTATAAGGCAATTTTCGTCCTTTTATACCAAAGCGGAGTTTAAATTGATTAAATTCACTGAGTGGGATGCGGTTTAATGCGAGCTGCAGCCAACAGTTTATATAAGCCTGAGATAAAGTGTAAAGCTATCTACTCACAAACAATTAGTGACTCGTTACTTGCCAAACGTCTGCAGGAGAACGTAAGAAGTTGCAAGTTAATGACAGCTTTCTTATCTCCTCATCCTCATATTGCGATTTATTTACTCGATCAATTTTTAATCTTTCGTGTTTGGCTCGGGGACTTAAAAGCACTCAAGAAAATTAATTCAGAAATGCCTAATTTCGGTAAAACTGAGGAACACTTTTAGACACAATTTTACAGTGCTGTGTTTAAAGGATCACATCGACACCTTCCAAGAATTTGCTTGAATTGAATTTGAATATGATATGTCAATTTGAATTTTGATGTGTTATTTCATATAAAAAATTCATTTTAGGTATTAACAACAAATCCTCTCTGTTTAGGTAAAGTGACTGAAACAACTTCCTATCAACGGACTGAGTGGAAGCAACTGATGTTTGATATATCCTGCTTCTATTTTCAGCCTCGGCCTCGGCCTCGGCATCACAAAACTGATATTGACAAGGTGAGTCAGAACTGAGTATGTATTGACAACTTCGCAAGGTGGTTTAAATATTTTGAATAGAGTTTGACTTTCACCTGGCATGCTTAACTAAGATAAATAGTTAATCTCCCTAGCATTCTGGCTTGTGGTGTGTTTGATATAAATGAAACAAAAAACAACAAAAAAGATGTCTTCACTGACTGAAGATCGCTGACATTAAGGAATGGTAATGGTTTTTACTGAGTTAACTGAGTTATAGGTCAGTGGTTCGATGTAGGTCGTATATCGCCATATGTAATCGAAACTGAATTATTAAAATTTAAACAAAAAAACACAAAAACAAACTGAACATAAGCTTCTAAGCCACGATCACGAAAGTCCAAGATGAGAACTCGTATATGCATACAAAATGATTTCCAGTAACCTTGTATTAATTAAGCCGCTGGCTGAATAGATGCGATTATCAATTCCATGCTTTTTTTCCCTTCAAACAATGAAGATAAACGTTGGTGATGAAAATTCATCTAGAGTCCTGCGAGGTGTCTGATCGATAGTGAAGGCCAATGGAACACTTGGACAATTTTCAGCAAAATTTTTACCATATGGTAATTTTAAATAGTGGTTCATTTACTTAATTTGAAAATTTCTGAATATATCCCATACATAACAGGCATGGGAAGGATTGCTTTCAACTCAGCGTACTGTACACAATGCTCTTGAAATACCTGATCGGTTCCAATTTATTATTTCAAGTTTTTTTTTCAAATTTTATGTGTATCAGATTCTTCCCTCATGTATGCAGAGGTGAATGAAGAATATTCCTACACTCCTTCTTTTTCGTATTCGTACAAACCAGAAATATTTACGATGAAATTAATAGTATCTATTCATTTCGTTGTGTTTCGTAGGAGATAAAGACTATCAAAAAAAATTGCATCCATGTCAGCAACCAACACTATTGAGGGAAAGGGAGCCTTTTGGTACTGGATCCTAGTCTCTGTAATGGCCTTTGTAATAATATGTGGAAATTCCCTGGTCATATTTTTGATCGTTACACGCGCAAGACTTCATGTGACGCCAAATTGGTTCGTGCTGTCGTTATCGATAGCTGATCTCTCTGTAGGACTGATTGTGGCGCCATCATACATCGCTTACACGTTCTGGATTGATGCCAATTTCGGAGTGCTCGTTATGTTCTACAACTTACTTTTTTATGCTTCAGTCGGGAACCTCTGCGTCATGACTTTTGATCGTTACGTTGCTATCACAAGACCTCTTCGGTATCCGTCTGTAATGACAACTTCAATGGCACTGCGACTGATTGCCCTGGCGTGGGTTCTGCCCATGATGATAACGCTGATGCCTCTATGTTGGAAGGATCTCAAATGGAGTTCGCCAGCTGCGCAAGATGCATCCAACAGCACGTTTGATGGAGCAGAGCGGGCCAATCAAATATACTTAGGGATAGTCCTGGTTTTATTTGAAATTCTCCCTTGCATTGTCATACTTTTGACTTTTACTCGTCTATATTTCGTTGTTAGAAACCAAAGTCGCCGAATAAAGGCTTTAGAAATAGCCATTCGCTTTAATTTGGACATCAGAACCCAGCGGAAGAGGAAGATTGAAAGATCAACTGTCAACGCGTTTTTCGCTGTAATAATCATGTTTGAGATATGTTGGGTGTTGTCGGCTTACAGGGCATTTTGCAGTTATTACAACGTCTGTACAATTTCGCTACTTTTTGTCCAAACATCGAGGTTATTTCTCTTTTTCAATTCTGTTGTGAATTTCTTTGTATTCGCCTTGCTGAAGAGTGACATTCGAGATGAGATAAAGCAGTTGATCAGATTTTGATCAAAGGTTTCAGTAGGAACAGTTACTATACAAAAGGAAAAGCAAAGAACACTTTTACCAAAGAAACCAAGTGTTTTCATCATGCGCCAGCGTGCGAAAAAGAAGTTATCTAGCCTCTTGCACGAAATGTTTTAATTATCGTAAAATCATTTGGAGGCGGCGGTTGATTGCACCTACTTACGCCCAAAAGAAATTGGGCGGAGCTTGATCCAACAAACTTATACAGGTTCATTATTAATTTGATGATTGTAAAGCAGTATGTGCATATCGGTTTTGTTCGTACGTGACGGGGCTTTATTAGCTATCTATCTATTAGTTATTCCATTGTCACCTTAGTTCACTCCTAGCTCATTCTAGCTCATTAAACCCAGTTATTTCAGCATGAAGGTTGAAACATTTCTGTAAATTGAAAAACTTTTTGATCATTGACTTTAAGACAAGCAATATTAAAGGAGAAAAAAAATTGATTCCACACGTGAGTGCACTATAAAATCTCTCCCATTATAAATGAGGTAATTAGCAAAACATGAAACAGCAAAAAACATTCATAGAGGTTTATTACCGATTTTAATGTAAAAGCTATAACGAGTAAAATGTCAAGGGCTCAAAGAAAGATTGACATACCAAATCCGTCTGTATTTTTTCCTAAAAAATTGTTTCCGATTGATCACGTTCAGCAGCTTAAACGCCCTTTTCTTGTCATAGAGAGTAGTCTTTGTACCGATAATAAAAAAAACAACAACAACATCAACAAACAAAAAACAAAAACGAAAAACGAAAAAAAATTATATTTGTCTTCTTGCCAAGCAAAAAAAAAATTCGCTCCATTCAGTCTATTCAACGTAATTTGTTTAGCGAAGTTATCTCCCAAGTGACAGGCTGTCTCCTTTCATCATTGAGGGTGAAAAGAATTCATTCAAGGTAACCGGAAAGTTTCGTGGGCTCCTCTTTCAAATGAAAGGAATCATATTAAGATATTCAAAAAGAATATGTGCGCATCTCACAATCTTGCTGCTTGCAACAAGAAGACTTAAGTTTGTGAGTATGCCTCAAAGCAATTTGCCTAGCCAAAAGCAAAAAAAAAGAGAATAAGAAAAAAAAAATTGTTTCTGTGTCAATGCGTTTGACGTCTTGATTTTAAACACCAGGCGAATGACACGTTTTTGCTCCGTGACTGGCTTAGCTTATCCTACTATTTCCGTTAGCATATGTATGCATATCGAGCACTGTCACAGACCCCGCTTTGCAAACATCGGCTGAAAGACGAAATTATTGCTTTCTTCTGTGGTTTTTTCTTTGAACTCGATTAATCCACTTTACTGTTTTTCATCATTTACGGTGCTGTCAGACTCTTATTAGGAACATTTTAGCACGATAAAGCTTGTCAGCTTTAGTAGTTAATAACTGGAAATGAGCATCAAGTGAACATTAGACAAAAGAAATGGGAAATTTAGCTGTTTTTGATTTATTAACGTGGATGCTTTTTCCTTTAATAACTTATATTTGTTATTGAGCAATCTGAGTTCAAAGCGGCAAAAACGTATACAAAAGTAAACTTCAAAACTAAAATTACCTTATTTGCATGTTCTTCAGAAAATGTTGCGAGGGAAACAGCTGCTCTTACTTCCGAGGCAATCTAAAGTTTGGAGATAAAAATTACATGCGTCAACAATTAATGCTAAAGACTGTCTGCCGAACCAATGAAAAGATTGAAGCGCTATCTATAAGATCTTAATGTATAACTTTTGCGTGGTGGTGTTGATATAAAAATACACAGCCAGGAGTCGTTAGGCATTAAAGTTCGCGTACTGTGCATCATAAGTGTACAGGTTATCACGGGCTTGTTAGATACCAGCACGCAGAGGCTTCTCTTGATCTTAAAACGTCTGGCGACGAAAAACCGATCCAACTTTTTTCGGTTGTAAGAATTAAACTGAAGTGGTCACAAATTTGGAGTTTTATGGATACAAGGAACGAATCTGTTAATGCAACGCAGACTTCACCTGCTAAAGGCTTAAAGAAAGATGAAGTTTGGTTTTGGATTATCTTGGGTTCTACTGGAGTGGTTGCCATCCTTGGTAATTCTATAGTCATATTCTTGATTACAACTCGTAGAAGGCTGCAAACAACCTCCAATAGCTTCATTCTGTCCCTCTCTTGTTCTGATTTGTTAATATCCATCACGACAATACCGGGAGCTTTCATTTGTGATCGCTTTGGAGTACAGTGCTCTCTCGTATTCTGGAACTTCTGCAATTACTTTCTTTGTGCCTCGGTAGTGAATGTTTGCGCGATGGCAGGAGATAGATTTTGTCGAGTGGTATTTCCTTTGCGCTATCCCGTCTTAATGTCTCCTAAACGAGTGACATTAACCATTTGTATAGGATGGACGCTGCCCATATTTCTTTACCTTATACCATCGCTTTGCATTACACTGATCTCAACTACCGAAGCCAAAGACGCCGAAAGGATTTTCAGAGTTATACAAATATTTGCGTTCGCCGTTTTACCTTGTGCTGGGCTTTTACTTGCCTTCGCCAAAATATCACGCATTACCCTAAAGCATTCAAAACGTCATCGAGTTCAAGTGGAGCAAATCACTAGCAACTCGGCAATTCCGCAGCGAAATGTTAGACAAAGCAATCGAAAGTCTTATTCCGTTCTGGTTCTCGGCGCAGTAATTTTCTTCTTCGTGTTATGCTGGTCTTTCACTATCTACAGAGGCCTTTGCAACAGCTTCTCCTTGTGCCATGTACCGCTCACAATGGTGTACGCTTCAAGGATTTTTTTGGTGGGCAATACCGCAGCTGATCCAATGGTATATGCTATTCTTAAACAAGATATCAGAAGGGAGCTCAATCTCACGTTTGCCTTCATTAAAGGGAACAATTTGCAAGTGCAAGAACTGAGGACGGAAACCCGATTTGCTGGACAGTCGTTGTATTACTAATCAACCAAGCAGTAATACAGTTATGTGGACCATACAGTCGGGGTGTTACCCAAATAGATCCTATAGTTTACCAAGGGTATTCTTCTCTGTGCTCTCTTGATTTCTGTGGTGTGCTTCTTTTCATATAAAGTCTGTATCTACGAAGCATTGGAACCGGAAAATCAAAGAACAGAGAGACAAAAAGTGCTCAATTTCGAATAGCAACAAGCGGACGAGGGTTTGAAACAGTAGAAATAGCATTTCATGAAGAATAACCTGAAATGGCAAAAGACGCTTCATAGTATTTATGCTTTTCACGTGGTGTTCCATTATAAAAGTGATTCATGCGTGTCAATAGTGCTGAAACTTGGTAGAATTGCTTTAATATCTGACAATTTGAGACAAACACAAAAATAAGGAAAATTAGACAATAAGTTTGCAATCATATTTAATTCGAAATATTAGGAACAAAGATTTTGCGGAATGTCTGGTAAGGAGAGATAAAAAAAACCATTATCATAACTTTTAGTCAACATTTTTGAAGAAACTTTTGAGGTTTTTCTCTTGCAAACTTTCCTTTGAAGTATAAATATATCACCTATCAAGGCAAGTTTCCAGAGGGTTTTTGATTAGGAAGCTGTTCAAAATCGATGGTCGAGCAAAAGTGAATCCAAGCTTTTTTTCAAGGAAAGCTAAAATTTTTTTTCAAATTTATTTGTAAACGTTTTGATTTGTGAAGTGTTTGTTATTTCACAATATTTTCCTTACAAACACTTTGCAGATTTTGACAACGAGCTTGCTCAAATTGTACTTTTCTGTTGAATTAGTATTGACATAACTTCCTGGGGCGTATTCTAAATAAGAATGACCATTAATTGTCATGGCATCTAAATTTCTATCTCAGTGCGCGTGCATATCATGTTATGGACGGATGAACTTGAAACCTAAAGTGCCTGACTTTCACTCTTCCTTCTGAGGGCAGTAAACTTTCGAGAATATGTACCTTGGTTCCTTAAGATACATCGTATGATTTATCTATTGTATTGAAAAAATATTTTATTGCTGTTTTCTATACAAAACTGGAATTAGTGCCATCACAATGTCTCAAAGACGTTTATTGTGTGGTGTGCATTTTGTGTTTTATTCTATTTGAAATATATTTTAAGTTATGCCGCCCACACGTGTGAATTCTTTTATGCACTTTAGCCGAGTTCCATTTGTCGTACTGACGATTCGATTTTAAAAATTTATTGAGAAAATTTTCCCACTTCTATTCTTTCGCATTAGCTTTAAAGTTTCACTTTAGAAACCCAAGCTTCCAGCTATCGAAAACGTACGAGGAACCAATGAAAAAACGCACGTGGTTATAACCAGTACTGTCATAAATGGGATAAGACTGGCCCATCATATCTCTTAAACTAGCACGATGACCTATCTTTTAAATGCGATTTGGTAAGGATCATTTATGGAAATTTTTAAAAAATAGTTAATACCTTTTTTTTCTGTGGAATCACCTTAAATATGTTCTTCAAGTACACCAATTCTACCAAACCTTGTTAAACGAACAGATTTCTCTGAAAGTACTCATCTTAAAGCTGCTTAGGCAGTGAAAAGTCTTTAGGGGATTATGGAAACATAGTGCCACAGTAAAATAGAGAGGGAAACATTACTTTGATTCTTAAAAAACATAGTCACTTGAAAATGATGAAAACAAAGACGAAAACGCAAGACACGAACCATAATAGCGAGTTTATTGGTTAGAACACCGCGTAAGTCTTCGTATCTCAGTTCGAATGTCTCTTTTCATCAGTTGACACCAGAGTTTGTGCAGATGAAATGCAAGGAAATTCGGTCTAAGACATGTTTTTCGACGGACCACTCCAGATAATACCTGCATATTGACTTATAGATATCAAACTTCCAGCACATCACAAACAGGATAACCACATACCAACAACTCGTACAGATCTCTCCTGAAGTCGTCTTCTTGAACTTGGTATGAGATTGGCACTAGAAGCTTGGTTGAAACTCAGTTGAGCTATATCGCTGTTTTTCTCCTGAGTGCTCGGGTCGTGAAAGGTATTTTTAGGTACATTAATAATGAAATTTCAGGTGGTAGAAATTCGAAAAGTATCAACATAGCTGCGGTACAGGTCTTCTTCGCTTGGTTTTTGTCTTCGTCAGAGATGTGGTTACGCCAAGTGAACGGTAGAAAGGCAAGTGTTGCGGGAAACACCCAGGCATTTATTATCGCTTTGCGGTCATGAACATTTGGTATTTCAGGGCACGCACGAGCGCTAAGTATCTGTCGAAAGTCATCAAGCAGGTATTGGCGACATAAATGGCTAATATGGAGTTAAATGCCGTAAAAAAATACAACAGCATTACAAGAAATTCCTTCCTTCTGGCAGATGAAAGAACAAGATGGAAGCAGTTGACCAACGCACAAGTCTACCATAGACAAGGATAGGACGAACCAGTTGCAAGCGGTGTGAAGATTTCCTAAAGTTAAGATAATAAAAACAAAAAGGCCATTGCCATACATTGTTACGAGCTAAAATTACACATTGCAAGATCCAAAACCACGTGGGTACTTCACTACTTTTGCCGACTTTGGATCTTTCGGCTGCGTTGCTCATTCGATTTTCTATAAAGTTTAAGGTCATTTCCTTGATGTTGGCTGTCACTTGAAAACCTACCTTTGGAAAAGAGTAAGAAAGTTTCATATATAATCTTACGTGGTGTTTTTCTACCAATCTCAGTAAATAATAATTTCCAGTACAGAAGAGAGGATGAAGAAGAAAATACAGATTTCACCATTTTTTCGTTAGTAAAATTGTTCTTATTACCTCCTTTTAGCTCGGCTTTCCTCGAGTATAAACGTTACTCTATTGAGTGTAGTATTCGTAGCATCTTTGATTAAAAGATTGATCTTTACAGAGGTTAATAAGATAGCACATAAAGAAAACATATTGTATTTATGGAAAGTTACTAATTGGAGATTCTGAATTTCTTTTTTTTTTTTTTACCTTGACGTGAAATAAAGAAACACAGAAAGGTTTGAGGCAGTCGATCAGTTGAACAGTTAAATGCGACACTTCATAAAGGAGTATGTGCATCTACTTTGAATCTCCTCCGGTAAACTTTTTACTATGAAATCTGGTCAAGCTATTATTTTTTTATGGCACGATCCACTATGAAGTTAATCTCCTTCTTATTTGCGGTGTTTGCTTATCAAACAGGAATCGAAGGTAAAAACCGCAAATAAATGTTGACCCTGGAAGGCGCCCGGTTTTTGATATGGAAATGTCAAAGTCATATGCAATTCAATCAAAAACATTGTTTTATTGTACCGTTCACGATGACAGAAGATATTACTTTTCAACGTTGAAAATCAAGCACTCTTCTATGTCTTAAATCCTTATCTATCTTTATTTTTTATAAAGCAGGCCGTCTTTGAATACAAATCACTCATCTATGCAAAATAAATAACTATTTAGGCCTGTATTTTCTTTTCTGTTTGATCTTCTCTGTCACATCCTAACCCAACAACAGCACAGGTTCTTAACAAAAAACGGCTTTCGAGGCAATCATTTTGATTTCCACGTTGCTTTTTCCACTTTGATGAAGAAACTATGCTGGTGCTTGAAATCAAAATTTATTTACATTCAATACAATGTCAAATTGAAATCTTATGCATTTCCTCCTGTTCGATAGTTGTTTTTTTTTTTTTCAATTTCACTCATAATCTTTATATTTCTAAGCAGTTTTCCGACTTTTGCTATGCATCAAAGTCGCACAACATTCGAAAATTCTTTTTTATTTTACATTTTCAATATTGACACTATCAAATTATTTTGCTTCACATATCCATCTTCTGTTAAAATTTTGTTGTATATAAATTAGAATTATAATTTCTTATTCAGTTGTCAATTCAATTCAATACAATTGTTAGTCCCGAGGAAAAATCGAGATTATTATCAGTAAAAACGTAACCTCCGCTATTGCGAAATTCTTGAAAGAAAAACAATCCGGACAAATATAGAGCGCATTTATAGATCTCTATTGTAAATAGAAAAAGGAAGAAATCTCATATCATCATTTGGTTTATTTACCTTACGTGTTTGCTTTTGGTGCGACTGTTTACCGAATGCAAAAGTAGTCATTCGCAGTATTAATATTTCTCTTTTCTCATCAACTTTCTCAAACGGCCGATAACTTCGTATATCGTACTTCGTAAAAACTAAACTGGACAGACGTGTTTTTTTCTTTCGCGGTTTCGATGTTTTATATTTCAATATTTTGATTCAATTTTCTCTTTTTTTTGTTTTGTTTACCAGATCAATCATTTTATTTCAGTTCTTAATTTCAAGTAAATTCGAATGCGCATTTCAATTATTTAACCAAATTTAGTCTAATTCGCGGTATGTTTTTACCTGAAAAAGGGCGTTTTTTCTCTAATGATAGAGCAAGAGAGCATTTTTTCCCCACATATTTGTATAGGAGTATGTATCATTCCACATATTTGTATTGCTTTTCAAAGTCCCTGCCTTTTCCTTTTTCTTTTTTTTTTCTCTTAAGTCATGATGAGCCTCCCCTCAGCTAAGCGGCGTCGAAGATGTTTTATTACGCCTTAAATAAAAGGAAAGTAAAGCGATAATTTATCTGACATGATGCTCATTCTTTGTCTTTGAGCTGGAGTTTTCAATTTTAAGCGTTTTCAACTAAATTTCCCAGTGTTTTTTTTTTGTGTGTGTGTGTGTGTGTGTGTTGTTTTGCTGGGTCCTCAGTCAATATTCTTCGAGACCCAAGCTGATCAGTTTAAAACCTTCCTTTAATAAAGTGTTTCATTTTCGAAAAGCATAAAACTCCAAAGGTATAGCCTGTGGCAGACGAGGAAAACCTTTTCAAGTCAATTATTACGGGTTATAGCCCTGAGCTACGGGAATACATCTGTTTTTCAAGTATTCTGAGTGCGAAAATTGTAATTTAGTTTTGCTTTTCCTGAACGGAAATTTCAGCGAATTGTGAGTATGTCTCCTGCTAATTACATGTACACACACAACATCCCCTTTACTCGCCAGCCCGTCAAATTTAACATGCGGTGATTCCTCAGATTACAACTTGTTGGTCTGAGGAGAAGCACCAAAGAATCGACGGAAAAGTGGAGGTTCCATCAAATATTCGAAACCGTTAAATCCCTTTCAGGATTTTTCCCCTTATTGTGCTGATTCAATCAATTATCGAGCATTCGCTGCAACGAAAATTTAAAACCTTGTACAGATAAATGCTTGTTTTATTGATATCATATGCAAAACTCATTTACGTTGTTGAGTTATCCAAGAGCCATTTCCTTAGATCTCCCCTTTATTGCAGTTATCGCTGCCACAACAAGAGTAAACGCAATCCTGTTTGTCTTTACAGAACTCTTTACACACTGACTCTTCACTGCACGTTCTTCGGTAATAGTACTCGTTCTTCCCCTTAGCCTTCTCTTTCATGATTACGCATTTCCATCCGGGTTCACAGTAACGAGGTTCCTGATGGTTCGTGCACTGGTCCCACGAGGAAGATTCCAAGCACTCATAGCACGACAAACCTTCCCCTTCGTATAACAAAATAATAAAATGATTTATACATCAAAATAATACTTCTCTGTTTTCTCTAGATACTTGCCTAGAACAATGTGACGCTAATGTCTAATTAAAAAGCCCTTATACAGTTGGTGATATGATGATTATTTAGCAGTGTAATACTAACGGTATATCAATGGGATAGAAATCAAAGGAGTTAAATCATCCTCAGTTGATATATGTCCAGAAGCTCATTCGATTGAGGGAGGCAGAGGTTCACTCGATTGAGGAAGGCAAAACCGAGACAGCGCTTTTCACAACAGCCAATCAGAACAGACGTGAAAATTAGAAGGAACCAATCCATTATGACTCACATCAGAAACAGGACACAGCCAACAATAGTTGGCTGCAAAACCATAAAGGAAGTAGTTGAATCATCACGGCATGACCAGAGAACAACTGGTACAACATGATTTATTGCGGTATTCTTGAAAAATTGGATACTTGCAGCAGTTGAAATCATTGATCTCTAAACCATTTTAATTAAGTATTCAGTGGTTTTGCACTACTATTTATGTCATTAGTGTTTCAAGTTCCAGATGATGGTGTAAAATGATTTTAGAATCCATTATAACGATGCTTGACTCTAATGTGCAATTATAATCCAACGGAACAAATCTAACCATGTGAATGTGACCAATTGGTCTGTTCCTTCGTTTCGTATCCAAAAAGGCGCATCCCTGATTGTATTAATTCTACAGAAATTATTGTCTCATCAAACGTTTGGATTTTACATCAGAAATCTTTTGGTCCAGTATAGAATTAATCAATTATGGCAACCAATGTATCATAGAAATCATGAATTTCTAAATTTTTTCGTTAAAAGATAACAATTTTTTGCCCAAGAATCGGGGGCAACCATTGAAGCTCCTGTTCTTCAAATAAAGGCCATTTTTTCTATTATTTCATATTTATATTGCGACCATTCATTAGCCATTTTAAGTCCCTTGTACGAAACACTTACCACGTGGAAGCAAAAGCAACACCAAACAAGTTACGGATAAGGGCACCTTCATGGTCTGAAACTGTCTTCACTATTCTTCGTTTCTCAGTTGAGAGTGAGGGTGTTTTAATTAAGGTGAGTGTACTATTCGTACTGATTAAATTTTTTATTTTTTTTCAATTAGCACTACAAATTTGGAGTCATTTTTTAATTGGCAGGGTTCTTATGAAAATAAATAGCCAGTGCAAACAAAGCGTATCAATATCAAATCATCTGCTCGTTTCGTGTTGTTTTTTTGGCGTGAAGTAACCCTAGATTTAATTAGTAAATGATCATGCAACAGAGCCCAAGTTTAACCTAGCAGCTGAATCAACAAGAAAAAGAGATAAACCATGACGTTTGGAACAATATATCAAAATTAAATCACAATTAACTTCTCGAAAGAATGAGAATTTCAGCATTCTGCCTAAGTCCATTTTCATATCTGTCTTGGGCTATATCGATATTTTGTTACATTTCGATGAACTACAAAACTTTTTGTCGTGACTCAATGCAGATTAAATATATTTAAAATACTGCACACCGAAGGTTGAACAAACAGGCCCATTGAATATATCAGGGAAGAGGAATTATACCACTTATTTACGTGTTAAATAAGATAAGTATTTGCCTTAACTTTTTCCTTTTTGAGGGAATGAAAAATGAATTCTAATGGTATTGCTCTTAGCAAAATTTTCTTATAAATTTCTCTTTTTTATTTCCGACTATCTAAAGTGTATCAAGTGTTAAGAACGAATCATCTAAATCATCATTATCTTACAAATCATACTTGTCTCGACTTATTGAATACTGAATTATATATTGCTGAACATTTGCGCAAAGAAACTTCAATGCATCATCCTTATGGGAGGGCAGTATCGTTGACGTAGCATAATCGTTGTTAATCGATCAGTGTGCTTTCAGCTCCTTAAGTTCATCGGCATACAAAACAGTTCCGGAAGATGGAAGGTTAGAAATGGAAGAAAACCAGCCCTGAGATTCCCTGCAAATTGATTGCTTGAACATTTTTCATGCATCCTAGAAAAATTCAGTGTGATTGACGAGTCTGATGTATCGTCAAAGGTGCACAAGCCTAACCTTTCTGGTTTGAAATATCAAGACTAATGGGTCCTACAGTATGTGCGCTTGTAACAGGACAGTGCCTTCACACAAGGAATCACCCCACGTGCGCAGAAAGTTAATTTAACAGCCCCTAGCTTGATGTTTTCTCTCTCTTCCAAGATTGAGAGGGACAATGCTGGCGGCTTGAAGGAAGTATCGAAATAAATAGAGGCATTAAGAATCAAAATACAAGCACATAGATGGTTAAAGAGAGTTAATCAAAGAGTATAACTCGGCCGCACCTTTGACAATATCATAACCTCATTTTCTGAGTACAATAGTTCATAAGCACTCAAAAAGCCATAAAATTATACGAAAAATGATTCTCAGTATAAAAACACGAGCCAATAAAGTTTCCTTTCGGACCAAAGTCTTTTTTTGTAGATTCTTAGTTCATCGCACCACTCTTATCGAGTTACGATTCGACTCACTGCTGGCTCTAGACGATCGCTCTACTAGCAAGATATTTTCCTTCGATCTTCTCGCTGGCCTTTTGCACGCGTAGTACAGTTCTTCCCGGATATCCTTTTTCAGAAACGCATAAACAACGAAGTTTATTCCCGAATTCAATAAAATAAGAAGCCGCGAGGACTTGACCAGGGCTTCAGATACATTACACAAATGAAAAGTTCCACACACTGCACGACACACAGAGGGGATCCAACAAAGTACAAAAAAGGCTATGACAGCACCGAGCACTTTGACTGTCGAGGAACGTTCGCGCCGTCTACGTGATTGATTTCGCCGACTTTCGGCTGCATTCCCTTCATTAAATCTCAACTGAGTGATGTGCTCGGCCGATAGTCGTCGCTGTTTCATAGCTGCAAAAAGTATCCGAATGTACGAATAAACCAGAAAGATAGACGGAAGAAAGGAGACAAGAAATATTAGTGTTAAGATATGAACTTTATCAGCTTCTTCTTGAATGTGATTTGGAGCTTCAAGCCAGAGAAGAGAGCCAAAGGTTAAAATTCCTGGAAAAATCCATGACGTGGAAATAAGACCTACGATTAGTTTCGAGGTCATGCATCTGGTATATTGTAAGGGCCTAAGCACGTAGAAATAACGGTCAAATGTCAGCACGCAGAGGCAGTATATCGATACGTTGATTGGATAGTTATAAAACGACGCGCGCACTTTAAGTGGCCAGATACACATTTGTGCTTTCCAAAGGCAAAAAAGCTCTGATGGTGTAACAATCAAGCCGGTACAAAAGTCCGCTGAAGCTAATGATAGAACAAACCAGTTTGCTGTACAGTGCAAACGCCTTCTCGTACAGATCAACCACATAACCACTCCATTGCCAAGAACAGCTACCAATGCTATGACGGACTTTAAGGGCCAATAGACCACATCGGGCAGAGATACTTCGCTTAGCAAATAACTAGTACTCATTTCGTCCACTCCAGGTTGAGATAACTGAAATAATAAATAATAACAATAATAATAATAAATAATAGAAAAAGGTCACCTACTCTTTTCGTTAAATCTAATAGCATTGCCCTTTCTACAAAAAGGATTTCGTTCCATAAAGAACTAGTAAATAAGCAGGGTACATGGACTTCTTTTCAAAAAATCTTTTAGTGGCTGCGCCAATAAACTGAGTAATGATTTCAAAAAAAAAATTTTTGGCACTGCGCATTGAAATTTATATGAATATTCAACTCGTCATCGGAGAATCATTGTTTAACTTAATTTTATGCGATAAGCTCAATTCCTATTACAAAAAGTTTATAATAGGAATAGAGCCCATAACATACACCTCATTTTTGACAGCTTCATTTGGTCAAAGAAGTTCGAAAGGCTAGGCTTAGGACTGCTCTCAAATTATCGTCTCTTAGATAGCCTGGAAAATCCAAGGATACCAATCGTCATTTTCTAACGGGTTGCAACTATTTTTAAAGCTTGGATTGCGGTTTTCCTATCACCTACAAATACGTGATTTCATTTCAATTTAGTTTAACCAAAGAAATTAGATTTGAATTCAGTTAAAAGCGGCGTTTTTTCAGTATATTCGTTACAGCCGCGATCGCGGTTCAATACAGAGCCCGTATACTTTTGTCGATTATCATATGTGACCATTTGTAATGTCCTCGGCTGACACTAAGTAAATTGGTGTAACATTCTCATGGTTGTTGAGATATGGTAACTTTCAGTCTTTTAAGGCAGCAATACATGAGATGAATATTCAAAAAGAACCTGCCCATGGAAACATTGAAATCACTGATAATGTAAATAGGTTAAAAATTAATCTTACTTCATGTGACGAGGAAGTGAAATATGAAAATTATGACCACCAAGTTGCTTACCTTAACTCAGGAATTAAATGAATTTGATGGTAGGTTTTTATATATCTAAAATATATTCGGGATCTTTCCAAAATCTCTGAGCGCCAGAGTAATTGTATTGAGTAAATATTCAAGACTGAAGCAGTGTCACACGCATGCACCCAGTTTGACAGCTTGCCATGCTGTGTTTACTCTGATGTGTGCTTCATTTGAAATATAATGAGCTTTACTTAGGCTTGCATTCCAACTTTAACACTATGCTCTCGAATGAGTACTCAATCGATTTCCTTAAATACATTTGGGGAAGTTTAATCAAGCTGAATTTTGTAAAACGAATAAAATTAAATTGGGTCATAACTTTTTTTAAAATGCGGTTCCATAAGAGGTAACACCTTAAAACAAATTGCAAGACTCTATTTCGAGTGCACTTCTACCACTATTGAAACAGCTGTAGCTTCAACAAACCCGACGCTATTGTGAATGTGTTTGTATCTTCCAAATACTTCTTAATTTAAGCGTTAAAGGAGTCTCCTTATATATTTGATTGAATTCAATGGTGATACTTTATATCCTCTCGGCGTGTGGAATTCAGAGAATATTTTGAGACTCTTGGAGAGGAAAAGCCGAATCAAACAAAGTCAATTCGCTATATTTGCGTAGATTCTCTCATTTTATTGCTTTCTCACATTAGCAAGTCGATAAAGTCACCTCAGTTGATAAAAATATCAACATAACAATAAACTGCAGCTAACCTCAGCTGTTGATTTACTATCTGAATTGGGATAAGAGGAGGGTAAGCTAGGTGATGGTCTAATAATTCTTTCTTATTCCCATCATATTATCTTCCCGAATATCCATGAGTCAATATCATTTTCACTAACTGATGTGCTAAGATAGCTAATGGATTATGCTTCTGAAAGACGCCATTGTTATTATCGTGCGCGGATCACTGACGTCTGGGATCCTAAACGAGTTAGTAAAGGATTAAGTCACTACATCTTACCGACATCCTAAGACATTTAAGGCCCTGAAATCGACCATTTGGGAATTTTAGGATAATAATGAGACGACTCAATTAATATTTACTCCACTTGCTGGTACCTTTATGCAAATCAAGAAAGCAGAGGCTCAAACAAAAAACGCTAAGTGCGCAAGTCTAACATTACCTTATTACCCTCCGGTCAAGCACACAATCCACTTCCAAAATCCGCACACCTGGGTCCCAGGTCATCGTCGGCAACGTGGGAGGGGAAAGAAGCTGTCCATCCACGGTTGAAGATTTCTGTTTACTGAGGTAGTAGTAATCTAACTGCACGCCGGCCATGTACTAAATTCAACACGTCTTGGCGGCATTTGGGGCGTGCTGATGAACTATCCGCCATGTTGAAAGTGCCTTCCAGAGAGTCTCCCTTGATTTCGTAGTAATTTATGGTGGCTGTGAGCCAGCGATACTGAGTTTTATGAGAACCCTTACGTTTGTTCGACGCTATTGGAGAAAATACAGAAAAGATTCGGTGATTCCGTTAGATTACAGCAACCGGGAGTCATATCTGAAGACAATAACTATAGAAGTAGTAGTAGTAGTGGTAGTAATAGTAGTAGTTTGTTACAAGAGCTATTAATTATCCCAGTACTCCTGCAAAATAGTTTATTGTAAATACTGTGGTTCACATAAAAAATGAAAATGTAAA